AAATATATAGGCTAAGGACTTTGAAAAAGAAAGGAGAAAGGTCATTTAATTTTTTTGGCTCCGGTACAAAATATGGAATCGTTAAAATATGGAATGGTTAAAATCGCGAATAGGCTAAAAAGGGGTTAAAATACCGAAACGTTAAAATATGGAAACGTTAAAATATCGAATCGGGTAAAAAAGGGTTAAAATATGGAATCGTTAAAATATGGAATGGTAAAAATGTCGACACGGCTAAAATCTGTCAAAATGTCGAATTCTTTTAAAAAAGGGTCATATGAGTGCAATACGCTGATTGTTGATGACAACTTATCAACTTATTTTTGATAATTTGATTGATAAGTTTCGTATGTCGTAGTAAAATCAAAACTAAGCAAAATAAAAATTTTATATTTCATTTAAAATCACCGAACAAAAATCATTAAAGCTAGAATCATTGAACAATAAAATAATAATCAAAGTCAATAAAAAAATAATAAAAAATAAAGTAAAATATTAATAGATAAATAATGAACTAGAAGCGTCTAAATAATCTTGACTAATAATTTGACTTTCCAAAGTTGCACTATCCACACCATCTTCAGTATCACGTTCTTCCTGTTGACGTGTAGCAACTCGCAGTCCCTCAACATAACCACTCATTTGTAAGCCAAGGAGCGTTAGAACATTCAGAAGTTGTCTATTATCATCGTATTCGGCTTCATTTAGCTTCATTATTCGGCTTCATTAATAGCACGCCTTACTTCTCTCAATACTTCCTGATAATGAATTGTCTTTTTTGTTGGAAGAAGGGCTTGGACACAAACAACAATGCGACCTCGTACAAAAGCACCAATACAAAAACATTGCGCAAATGGCCTTGGGGCGGATTTGAAGGTGCCATCACAGGCCCAATGCTTATTTTGAGATAATATATCGAGCAACTAAATTTTTAAAAATAATACTAGTTCAAAATTATTAAAATTAACCCTTGCATGGCTAAAGACAAGAACAACATCCTCATTTCCACGCTCATCTCTACTGTCGTAAATCAACGTTGATGAGTTGTATTTTTCTGTCAAAAACGCTGGAATGACCATTTTTCCAAGATCCACACAATTAACGTTCCCAAACTTTTGCTTTTTTTGCCTAAAATGAGGGTAATTTATTGAAAGAAAATAATGAAAATAAACCTCTTTATAAGCTGATTTAAAGCATCATCACTACCCAAAGCAATGTAAACTTCATCTGGGATATTTGCTCGTACTTCTCCCAGAATTGGTCTCTTATCCTTCTTCAATCTATTTCTAAGCTCTTCACAAACTTTTTTTTGAATTGCTGGAGGATGATTATGCTCTTTTTCTCCTAAACTGCCAATAAATTGGCCATTTTTCTCTTCAGCTTTTGCAGTTGCCTGGCAGTCCAAGTTTGAACAACGCCAATGAATATTTTTACTCTTGACATATCGATACCCTCAAAAAATCCATTTTAATAATTTGATATCTAGCTCAAACCTGCATGCCAAAGGCTGACGCCACCCTTCTGTGTAACTCCTTGTTCAAATTTTGTCAGATTTGCTCCATAGCATTTTTCATTTTCTCCATCAAGATTTGCTTCTGGTTCTTGTTCATTTAAATCAGAAGTATCATTGATTTGTAATCGTCGTTTTCGAGTTTTTTGTAATTTTGCTAAAGTTGTTCGTACATCCATTTACGGATAAAATTCTAAATTAGAGGTAAAATCTATTAATGAGGTAAAATCAGTTGCAGAAGACGGTATATTTAATCTGATTTTGGCCGTGTCGACATTTTTACCATTCCATATTTTAACGATTCCATATTTTAACCCTTTTTTAGCCGATTCGATATTTTGACCATTCCATATTTTAACGATTCCACATTTTAACCCCTTTTTAGCCTATTCGCGATTTTAACCCATTTTTACCCGATTCGAGATTTTAACCCTTTTTTAGCCTATTCCATATTTTAACGATTCGGTATTTTGTCCGGACACGATTTTTTTACAATGAAAGAAAAAATTATTTTGATGGATTTGGCTTAGAAAATAAAAGAAGAAGAAGAAAATTAGAAGAATAAAAAAAAAGAAAAGAGATCGAATAACGAGAATGGAAAGAAAATTGGTCAAAAAATGAATTATTGGCTGTGAATAAAGAACACCCAAAAATACTAAATAATAATCGCTTCTTTCCTCTTTATTTTAAAGGGTAATTTTAGAAAAAAAAGAATATTTTTATTTTTTTAAATTTTATTTGTGAAAAAAATTAAAAGAAATAATTTTATTTTAAATAAATTCTGGGATAATCTTAAAATTTGAAAAAAAAAATTTAAAATTAAAATAGTAATTAATCTAAAATATTATTATATTTAAGGAAGGAGAGGGAATGTGCGCGAAATAAATATTTGAAGAAATAAAGGAAGGAAGGAAAGAAAATACGCCTAGTAAATTGTTTTGTTGATTACAAAGATATAAAAATATTTATTGTGTAATCATGTGGAAATATTTTGTAAGTAAATTAAAATTGATATTTTTAAGAGAAAATAACAAAATACTTTATTTTTAATTATTAAATTAAATTACTTAAAAATTTAACGAAAAATAAAGAATTTGTTGTAGAATTAATTGAAGCTGCTGGTTATTATAAAGAGAATTACTTTGTCCGAATAAATCTGCTTAAATTAAAAAAGAAATAAATAAATAGTAGTTATTTTTTAATCGAAAAAAATATACATATGTATACATATTTTCTTTTTATATTTATTTTTGTTTTTCAAAAATTCACAAATTTTGCATGCGCAAGTATAATAAGTACTATGTATGTAACAAATAATAAAAAGAGAAAATTGCCGGAAAGAAAAATTTTAATAGAATTGTTATATTCGAGATTGAAAATATTTAAATGTTTAATAAATAGAAAATAAGAATATTAAATTATGGGCTACTAACTAATAAATTAAATTGGCCAGTAAAGATAAAAACACTCAACTACTTATCTTAACAATAGGGGTAACACCACAAACTTAGCTAATAAGTAGGGTTGCCAGCTCGCTCGAACCGAAACTCGAAAGATCAAGCGAGCTGAGGCTTTTCAACTCAAAAAACTCGAAAACGAACCGAATCGAAAAAACCAAGCTCGAAAAAATGCACCGAACGCCGGCTCGAACCGAAAACGGCAACACTACTAATAAGAGCAAAATTTTAAAAAAATTGCCAATAAAGGCAAAATAAATTAAAGGGTAGGGTACTAGACTAGTTTTTACATACTAGACTAGTATTTGATTCCTCTCACTGAGCTATGCAGGGATTTGGATGCATTTTCTACCGGAGAACATTAAAAAATTGGAAAATAATTTTCCCGGTAATGGGCTTTCCCGGCTGGACACTCCAAAAAAGCAGAAAGCCGGAAAATAAACCAGATACAGATCCCACTCCTATCTCTACCCTTACTTCGGCAACTCCAATTGTGGAAAAATTTAGACGAAAACACTCATCGAAATAGACATTTCTTTTCAAATAATAAAGCCTCGGATATTTGAATTAAAAGGATGAGAAATTTTGGGAGTATAAAAGTAGGACTAAAAAGAATTTGGGGTTTGAAGGATGCTTGACCCTAAAATAAAATCTATATAAATATATGTACATCCTTGGGGAATTATGAGGGAAAGACTTATTAAATTTTATAAATAAATTAATAATATATTAAACATTAATCAAAAAATGTACTATAAATTAAATATACAAGGTGCTTCAAACGAACCAAACAACGATCATTCTGTATAAATTTTTTCTAAATTTTTGGTCTTAAAAATGAACCGAAAGAAGTTAGCTTCAAATTTTTTCAATGCTAATCTTCTGAATTTATAAAAGAAGAAAAATTAGGGGTTCTTGCATATGCCCTTCACAAAATGAGAAAATTCATTTCCTCCAACCTCAAATTACTCAGAGCCTTCCACGTCAAAGTTAGATTTTATATTTAAAATTGGTACTATTCGCAAAACCTAATTGAATTCCGTTGAGTTATACTAAATTTCATTGAGATTTAAGGTTTAGGGGAACGATAATACTTATTTTATTAAAACAAAATTGAAAAATCTTATCCTCTGGCTACAGATCTGCCCTATATTTTCCAACATTATGTATAAAACAAATAAAATTCTGTTTAGGTTGCACTCTGAATTGGCTCTCAAACAAAAAATATCTGATATCTGCATCGATATTTTTTACGATACTCCCCAGTTATACTTTGAATTAATAGGCCCAGGAATTATCCAATATCAACTGGCCACAAAAATCAAATCAAAGTTCAAAGCCAAAAGTCATCCTAATTTTAGACATTGATGTCCAAACTCCAAATATTTATCGATATTAGTATCCAAAATCCTGGGACTCGTAACTCAACTTTTTAAGAAAAATAATTTTAAAAAATCAAAATTTAACTAAAAAGTATTTAAAATCATACAATTTCCACACAAATGAGTAATTCCAAAATATTTTTTTCAATTTAAAGTAATCCCAATTTCTTTTTTTCTTTTGTTTTCTTCTTAACAATATCCAAATTTCTATCCTTCCAATTACTTTTTCTTAATTTTATTGGCCTATTTCCAACATATTTTCCATCCATTTCTTTCATTGCACGAATAAAATCCTATAAAAAATAAAAAGAAATCAAAAAGTTCTGATAAAATTTAAATTAAATAAAAGTAAGTAATGAATTTGAATTTCAGCGTTAAAAATTAAATATATTTTTGAAGAAATTTTATATAAAAACATATGGTTGGTTTGTAGTGCTCGGCAAATGGACCGAAAATTTCAAAATTTGTTCGGGACGGTTCCGGTACCGGGAGTACCGAAAAATACCTACTCATGTCAGTATTTTCGAGAGTACGGAACCGTACCGAACACTAGTTTGAACCTTTGACCAAAAATCATCTTTGATTTAAAAATTTTCGGTCTTAGACAGTTACAATTACAGATAATAGACCAAGAACAGGATTTATTACATTCTAAATAAATATAGGAAATTCACATTTTTCATAACCCAAAAAATTAAATTTTAAGAAATTAACCTCTTGGTTTTTGAAAGAGACAAATCCAAAACCTTTCGATTTATTTGTTCGACTATCACGGCAAACTTTAGCCTTTTGAAAACTTGGAAATTTTCTAAAAGCTTTAGCCAATAACTCATCAGATACTTCATTTCCTAGATCACCACAAAAAATACGAAAATCATTCGGATCCCATTCAGCCATCGAAGCATCTTCCCAAACCTTTTAAATTTTAAAGATTAATCCAAACAAAATAAATTTTAAAACCTGTCCACCACAGCAACGAACAAAACGTTTCATTTTCTTTTCACCACGAAGTACAGCACCCAAATAACTATTTTCATGGGCTTTTGTTGCTTGTTTTCTAGCTAGAAGTAATTCAACATCAGAAGGTAATGCCTGAATTTAAAAAATAAAAAAAGAAATGTAAATTTGAAGTGAAAATAAATTTTTTTGGAATTTTAAATATTTAAAATTAAAAGTAGACAAAAAGAGATCTAACTGATGATCCATGTTTTTAATTTCCACTATAAAAATATTTAAACCTGTGTTCGAAAATTTTGTTGTTGCGCACTATTATAAGAGATTGGAGTATTTGAAGTACCACTAGAACTAGGTTCTGGCTTATTCTGCTGAGTAGAAGCATTAGGGACTGCATTAGCATAAAGCGTTGGCCCCGACTCGATTACCGCTGGAACAGATGGAGGTTGTAAATGTGGAGGAAATGGAACACGTCCACTCGTAAAACTAACTTTTTGAAGCTTAAAAAAATATAAATTTTTGTAAATACTTTTAAATGAAAAACCTGATGTGGCATAAATTTTACCGATGTAGCAGGGCGAGAACCACCAATATCGGGAGCCTGTATCGGGGCTAAAAGAATATTTATTTATTTATTAAAAATCCTAACCATCTTGTTTTGTTCCCTTTGTTAAAGGCAAATTAGAATTACTAGATTTAGCTTCATTATCACTTGCAAGCACTTCTTTTTCAAATCTAAATAATGTAAATAATGAATTCAAATTTAAAAATAAAAGACTTACAGCGCTAATTGTTCTTCAAGAGAACTCATTTTTTAAATAATTATAGTTGATTGATCTAACAATAAAAAATCTGAAATTCTTCGTAAACAAAGCAAAATCAATAACGACTTTTCGTCAATAGAATTTCCGTCAATGGACCTTACGTCAACGGACTATTTTTTCGAAATTCGTTAATGAATTTGAAGAAAATTCTGCAATAACAGAAAATGTGGAGTATGTATTGGAAGTGTGTTAAGGGGATCTGCGACATTTACGCCGCTGTTTTCTGCGCCGCGACTTATGCGCCGCCTGAACTTAAAAATAAAAAAAATAAATAATTAACAAGACCAAAATTTTCGCATGGCCTGCCAAATACCAAACTCCAATCTTACAAAAATTAATTTCTGCCATTCTGGGCCCATATCATAAGAAGGTGGTTAGGTAACCATCGTAACGGCAGCGCCGAGGCGACCCTACGCCGCGGGTTTGGCGTCGCCGTTTTTTCTCATTTCTCCCTATTTATGAGAAAAATCATAACTTTTTTTTAAATGGAGGTAAAAATTTTATTTTTTTGCCAAAATATAGATTGGAGTGTTAACTATGATTTGACAAAAAATCAAAAATTTTGACCGATTTATTTAAAAGTTATGATTTTTCTAGCAAGGTACTACTTTTTGTTAAAAAATCACTGAAAAATAAGGTACTTTTTTAAAAAAATTCTCATAAATTGAGTTTTAAAGGGAAAATTTAAAAAATTATGTCGAAAAATAGAGGACACTTCAAGCTATTTAAAAATATTAAATTTTTAATTTTTCCATCAAAATTCGCTTTTTAATGATTTTTTAAAAAATCTTCTACCCTGCCCCTTAGCAGGGTAGAAGAAAAGAAGAGGAAAACTACAGTATACTTTTCCTCTTTCTTTTCTTCCCTGTTTTTTCGGCGCAGCCATTTCTCTCTTCTTTTTAAATTATAGGGGAAGAGTTGGGCGCTGGTTGGTCACCTAACCATCAACCACGCTCTTATGATACCGGCCCTGTTTGAAACACGCCAGAAAAACATGCTTATAATTTTTCTAAATTTAGGTGTATTTTTTCAAATTATAATAGGTAAAGAATTGTATAGTCCATATGTCCTCTAAACTACACAAACTACATAGTATGTATATTATGATTTCCATAAATCCCATGTTTACTTAAATTTAACGTTTAAGATTAGAAAACACACTCAAACACTTAAAATTTCACTCTTTCTTGCATTTAGTCGTAAATGAAAACACACTCCTTTTCTCAAAAATTATTTTTTATTTTCAGCATATATTTATCACTCATTTAAATTTTTTAATTATTCGATCACAGATTTCTCGTCAGTCCAAATACTACATATTTATTTTTATATGAACAATTGCCGCCTTCTTTCACTAATTTTCGCAATTCAGCTTTTGGCCCTCTTTCATCATCTCGAAAATAAAAAAAAAGGGGATTGACCACCCGTCACCTATCCTTTCTTCTACATAACATCCAGCCGGCTATATACAGTGTTAGTATTGATGTAAAAATATATTGTTTTCTTCCACTAGCTACTGGCTTCACTTCTTCACCTCTTTTTTTTCCCTGACATTTTCCCTTTATTTTTTTAAAATCGCCGCACCAGTCGCCGCCACTTTTATATAGGATTTTTCAACAAACTGTTTAAATTTCAAATATGAAAGATTTGGCGCCAAAAACTCGTAAAATTGCGCAACTTTTCTTAAATTTATTCTCTTCACAAATTGCAACTTTTACATATGATTTTTAACGATTACAAAGCCTCTAATTTTTTGTTAATGTGAGGATTTCGTCTGACTATGGAGATACATATATCTGATTACAAAGAACATATTAATATTCTACGTTATTTAAAAAATTTAAATGGCACGCGGACACAACATTTACTTACATTCCACCTTATACATACATATTTACATAACTTCTTGGCTAACTGCCATCACTATCATTTATTTTTTCTCTCAGTTCATTCCTTTTCTCAATTTCCCGCGGTGATCAGATCAAATTTTTTGTTCTGTTACATATGCACATATTGTGGGTATACATACATATCACGACACCCCGTTTTATCATTTAAACCCTATTGGGGAAGGTTATTTTTTATCCTCAGATGTTGGAACAAACTTCCGCGATGTTGGACAACCATCTTTTACTTCGAACAAAAATTAATACAAAATAAAATTTAAAATTTAGTGTAGATCATATGCTTTTCGATATATAGGGTACTTATTCAATGGGTGTCGATATACGAAGTTCATCCCCATATTACGCATACATATTTCTTCACCACAACTTAAACATATTTTATACTTTCCTTTTAATGCTTATTTTGAAGGTCAGACGAACAAACAAAGAAGTCAATGGAGATAGAAGGGGAGAATAAAAAGGACTTGGGGCAATGAAAATAGAAGAGCAGACGTTTCCAGCGACCGGCGCAACAGTCGCAGCCTCCGAACGGCAGTCCGGAGTTCTTTTGTCCATTCCTTTTTTCCTCTGCCATTTTTACTGGGCGTCCATTCAGGCCGCCTTTTACTGCCCAGCCTCAGTTGCCCATCCTCGTTTATACAGGCATCATTCATCGATCTTCTTTCTTATTCATTTTTCTTATCCTCCATCTTTGCCACTTGTGTTCTTTATTTTTCATCACTACACACAGTTCAAAAACCAAAGATGGAAAATTCGCTCCAAACCAAACAAATTTATAGCTCAAAAAATAATTATTATAAAGAAACTGATGAGGAAAACATTATTTAAAATTAATCTTCTCCAAAATATTTTGTCCTGAAATGATTATTTGCTCCTCCCCATGCTTGCGTCTTCCTTGCGCATTCTTTCGTTCTAAAGCAGAATACTTGGATCATTTCCTTTTTTCGAACGTTTGGGTGGCAGATGGTTGCTTGCCAAAATATTTTTCTTTTTAGCCTCATTTTTACGGCCTCTGTCTTCCATTAAATATTTCCTTTCCATCCAAACAAAATCTATTTCTTCCTAAAAGCTAAATTTGATAAAAACCGCTTTATTATTTTCTTTTTTTTTATTTTAATGAGTATTAGTTCTTGGATGGGTGTGCCTCTCCAGTCGTGTTTTTGGCCTAGTGTCACTATTTGGCTCATGACTAGATCCACACTCATCTAAGCACTTTTTGCTCAATTAATTTAAATCTAATATTTAACCTCAAAAAAATTAAACCTCAAAATCCTCCTAGGACCACAAGCCTTATCAACTGCGATTACATTGTAATTAAAGATTGTATCACAGTTCGATATGGCCTCTGATCTAGGGGTGGTATTAAAAAATTAAAATGTTTAATTATTAAAAATTATTCGAGTTTAAACAACAAAGAAAAGGACATTTGTAATCATAATTTATGTAAATTATACGTACCAACCAAAGTTTAAAATTGAATGAAAAATCTCGTCAAAAATTTTAGATTTATTTTCTACTCGTGCTCTTGTTCAACATACATTGCAGCTTCACTTGACTGATTGAGACCCTCAAAAATCAATCCTTGAAAGTCAGTAGTCAATACTGGTGAACTAGGAGTCTGGTATTGTTGTGAATTGCTTTGGTCTGTCGTTGGCTGTGGCATCTCGATTTTCTAAAGAAGGTTTGGTTCTTTGCTTTTTTCATCCAAAATTATGTCAGTTTTGTCCGCGAATTGTGTGGAGAGGTTAAATAAACCGAAGAATAATTAATAAGACCAGGGCTCCGATCGACAAAATGCCACTCAAAAGTATCAAAATCTTGTAAAAAAAGTACATAGGGAGAAAATTTGCAAATAAAAAGTACACTCAAAATTAAATTTGAAAATATTTATTCGTGATCAATCTTTTATATTTCTCTCCTAAATTAATCTTTTCTAATAATTTCTTGTTTCAACTGAGCATTTTGTGCATTTCATTGCATGACATGTCAAAATTTGCTGTCACATGAAGCAAAGCTCTGACAGTCAACCTCAAGCGAGTTTCTTTCCTTCGTCCATTGAATGTTTGCCATTGAGAAGCGCCGCAGGCGAAAATTTTTTGAAATTTGGAGCCTAAGAAGCCAGATTTCTTCTTTTTCAGCGCCGCAGGCGAAAATTTTAAGAATTTTGGAGGTCCTTAAGCCAGATTTCTTCCATTTTTTGCGCCGCAGGCAAAAATTTTGAGAATTTTGGAGGTCCCTAAGCCAGATTTCTTCCATTTTTTGCGCCGCAGGCGAAAATTTTGAGAATTTTGGAGGTCCTTAAGCCAGATTTCTTCCATTTTTTGCGCCGCAGGCGAAAATTTTGAGAATTTTGGAGGTCCTTAAGCCAGATTTCTTCGTTTTTTCAAAAATGTTGATAAAAAAGTACATACTTTCAAAAAAGTACAAATTCAATTTCGGAAGTACGAAGGGTGATAAAAAAGTACAATACTTTTAAAAAAGTACGAATCGGAGCCCTGAATAAGACGTGTTATAAGCAATTTGGCATTTTAAGATTATTTCTAGTAGTACGGTATGCCGCGTAATGAATTGCTTACATAAAATACGTTGGCCCTTTTACTGTTGGCGCCCAGGACCAAGACTGTTGCAAACCCTTTATAAAAATAGAAGACACAACTTCTTAACGGAGATAGATTGAACTAAACCGAGAAATAATTTAATAAGTCAAATTAAGATTGCGGAGAAAACTGACGGATTTTTGGATGCAAAAAGAACAAAGTTTAAATAGGAGGGAAAATTGTTATTTAGGTACAACATACATAATTCTAGAAAAATTTAAAATGGCTGAAAAGCGCTTTAATTATTATTAGGGATACTTTTCTGGTATGTGACCCAAAAGTCCACAAATTTTCCCCCAAAAGTAGAATGGCACCTTCTGCAAATAAAGAACAATCAACTTACCAACTGATCAGACTTGAATTGTGTTGTCAACTCTTGAAGAAGCATGTCTGTACGTAATTGTTGATATGGAGTTGCCCGGACAGTTAAAGAATCTTCCTCGTCTTTATCTTTTTTCTACATTATTTAAAATATTTTAAATAAAATTATACAAACTTGATTATTTAAATAATTATTGTCATCCATTTCTTCTTCCTCTTCTTCATCCACTCGTTTCGAAGGTTTTGTTTTAAATTCCCAAGAATATCCTTTTGATGATGAAAATCTAAAATCAAATAAAGTTATAAATTAAAAAAAGTGCTTATGAAGTATCCAAAACCAGTGTATGCGGATAAATTACAATTAAAATGAATTATTCCAATCACTAAAACTTCCCATGGCCGTGAAGTTTTAGTCATCTTTTCCTGACGGTGTGGTCCATAAAAATGGTTTAGGGCAGGGATGAGCGCAAGAGCCAATCTCAAAAAACGCAACGTAAGGCCAAAATTTAACGCAAATAACGCAAAACGCAAGAACGAAAAATTGGGAAAAAAATTTTTTTATCATGTATTACACATTTTTTCAGTTAAAAATCGAAGTATTACTATAAGTTGGGGAGTCCTACTCGATTTTATGATACATGTAAGTTGAATGGGTAATGATTTGGAGTAATATAGGGGATATAAGGGATTATGAAGGATATCAGAGGATTTACAGGGATCAAGGGGTTTAACAAAGTAGCTGGTTATTACGGATGTATTTTGGAGGGATCAACAGATTTGAAAAAATCCATGTGATTACCGAAGGATGTCGGTTAAGTTGGGGATATATCGAAGGATAAGGGGCTACTAATGTTATGAATTGATGCCGGTGAATCAGGGGATTTGGAGAGAACGTGAGATCTGAGTTCCAGATACTAAACCGATATTTTTTTAACTGCTCCATGATGGAAACATGGTAATTAAATCCCCTACTTTTGGCGCCGCAGGCAAAAATTTTGAGAAATTTGGAAATCCAGAAGCTAGATTTCTTTCAATTTTTGCTCTCAGATTAAAAAGATAACAGGGATTTTAGCATAAAGTAGGTATCAGGGGTTGAAGAGATATGAGGATTAAGAGGATATAAATAAAATTGGTGCAGGTTTTCTAAATTAAAATGATGCTAGATGATTTGATGAATCATAACCCTTCTAACCCTTCAGGACAACAGATCTTTCCCTTAACCACTCATTATACTTCTTCATTTTAGCGCCGCAGGCAAAAATTTTAAGAATTTTGGAAGGCTAAGTAGCCAGATTTCTTCCTTTTTCTGCGCCGCAGGCGAAAATTTTTAGAAATTTGGAAAGATAAGAAGCTAGATTTCTCCAATTTTGTCCTCAGATTGGGTATATTTTTTGCCTATTTTTGCGTTAATTTCATCGAAAAAACGCAAAACGCAAGGCCAAAATTTAACGCAAATAACGCAAAACGCAATGTGCTCACCCCTGGTTTAGGGTAGCCCATAAAAACAAAAAAACCTAGTCATTTCAATAGCTTCTAAAAAAGCATTTCTCAATGGGTCAATTATACCAATCAATTTAGAATGTAAAAAAGTATATAAATCTGGTGCTTGATAGACAGTTCCATCCAAAATATAATAATGACAAAGAGGAGTAACTTAAAAAATCTTTAATTTTTATTAAAAAACTTTTTTCAAACTTTTGTCAGCGCTCATTCTTTTTTGTTTTCTAACAACAAAAAGTGGTGGAGAACTTGGGGGTTGAACAAGAACATACTGAATGCCCTCTATTCGTTTTAACATTTCATCAAATTGAGGTCCACTTGCTACTTGATGTTGCATCATTATGAATGCATTATCAGAATTTACATCAAAAAACGGATTCTCTCTTTGACAAAAATAGGCCATCTTAATAAAAAAAATTTAAGATTTAAATTCGTATAATTACCACAGTGTCAATTGTTATTGGAAAGAAACGAGGATCTTTCCACGGCTGTTCAAGCATTTGTCTATCAATTGTAAATCTAAAAACCCAAGGTTATTTCGAATTTTTTTCAGAATATTCGCCTATTTCCTGTCTCTGCCTGTTGAGTAACACCAGAAACTCCCTGTTGCTGCCTTCCTCCAGCGTTTAGCGTTGTATCTACAACTGTTGAAGATGCATCAATTGTTGAAGAAGGTAACATATTTGACTGACCAAGAAGCATTTTAAACCAATCTATTTTTAAATAATATTTAATTCTATGCAGAAATAACAGGTTTTAAAACCAAATTAAGAATTAATATATGTAGTACGTAAAAACATTTATAATTTAAGTTTGTTTCATTCCTGAAAGGTGTGAAAAAACCTGTATGCAAAATAACAACTACATATTTTTAGAAATTTATTTTTATGCGTCAAATCGCACCCTTATAGGTCCAATAAAATGTTTATACGTCAATCGAAGTTTTATGAGTCAAAAAATCGTTATGCGTCCAGTTAACTCAACTCGTGATGTACCCAGTTCGAATTGGTTCCAATAATATTAGAATATCTGATTTAAAACAATTTACCCATAAGGTTTAATTAGAGCATAAAATTTTTATTGTGTATGAAAACTTGATTGAACGTATAAAGGCGCGATTAGACGCACAAACTGAACAAGAGTCAAAAAACAACATTCGAACTTTTAAATGTATAACAATGATCAATTTAAATCCAGAAATAAACTATCATCACTTAAAATTTCTTCATCCTCATTTTTTGATGATTCTGAATCACTCGATACTTCATAAGCAACAAGAGGTTTAACTTTTGCCTCTTTTTTTCTTCTCTTTTCTGCTATTTTTTTGCCTCTATTATTATTCTCAAATTTTTGTTTAACTTTTTCAACTGGAGCAAGTGCATCCTTTTGAATTTGAACTAAAATATGACTAACTCCGAGATTCTGCCGAGAAAATTTTGATCTTGTTCCATTACATTCTGAATTATCTTTTTCATCTTTCTTTTCATCAATTTCTTCTGAAATATTAAATAAATTATTATTTTGTTTTTATTAATTATTTAACCTTCATCCTTTTCTTTCACTTTTTTATCGTTTCCGTTCTTTTTGACATCTTGCTTATTTGCTGGTTTGTTATTCTTTTTTTCTGTTATTTTTACTTTACGAGGTTGAATTACATTTTTTTGTTCAGTAATTATTGGTGCTTTTGTTTTTTTAATAGGTAATATTCCTTTTCTTTGAGAATTAGAGGAGGTAGAAGAAATTGAAGAACAAGGACTTGTAACTAATCTCAATTGCTTAACACGATCCAATTCGCGATTTGTTGTAGAACAAATTTCCTGAGATTCTTTAATCCAATCTAGTTCAATTGGACAAATATCACGAGCATAAATCTCATTTGTTTTAATAAGTTCAGAGAAAACAAAGGCCTAAAATGATAAATTATTAATTTGTAATTAGCTTAAAAAATTCTGATTTAAGACCCTTTCACTCTTATTCACTCAAAAATCCTTTACCGGCATTGTTTGATTTTTTAAGCAAGATGAAGGGTGAATACGAACAACAATCTTTCGATCCTTTGCAAAGACATAATTTCTTGAAGAAGAATCATAAATACATGCATTTTGGAAGAGTCCTTTACAAATGGCTTGTCTAAAATTTATTTAAAAAATTTTTTTAATTAAAAATACCTCAGAGAAGTAAATTCGCTACCACAACTTCTAACTGGTAGTTTTTTATTGTGACATAATTTAATCAATTGTTTACGAATTAGAATCACAGTTTCTATAGAATTTTCGATTAGGCCAAGCTCACGAAAAAAATTCTTAATAAAACATTTTAGATTCAACAATTTATTAAATATAGTTTCTAATATCTTTTCGTAAATGCAAGCTAACATAAATCTCCAAGCAATAAAAACCCGCAGGGGTTCAAATTGAAATATCTTTTTAACTCCTCTATCCTATAGAAATCTTTTGAAAGTTATCCCGGGCATTAAATCTATTCTATATTTGCACTAGCTATAAAAAAATTTTTTTAAATTAATAATCACCTTATCTTTCTTTGCAGTTTTGTCACTACTATATTTTCTAAAAATTTTAACATAACGAACATGATCACCATCATTAGTATTAAAGTTAGCTAAAGAGGTATTAAGTGAATTAGAAGAATCTTCTTGGCCATATTTTCCAGTTTCTAATTTACAAAAAAATTCTTGATTATTATTTTGAAAAATATGTTCAACAGAGAGAAAAGCAACAACTGTACAAGCTTCTTCGAGACAATTAAGCCTTGAAGCAGCCAAAAGTATTCTTAAAATAAATAATTACGAGAAAATTTTCGTATAAAAAGTACTTTGCAAGAATTGGCTCAACTGGAAACAAAATAAGGCTTTGACCTTCCTCTGTTATATGAACATTCAAATGATCCCCTATTTGTTCCAAATGAATAGCATTTAATGCAAGTAATTCAGAAGTGGCCGATTGAAGTTGATCATTACTTGGAGAATCAATAAGTTTGCTCATTTGCTCAAGACGGGACAAACTATGATTAATGAGGCTCAGCAAAACCTGAAACAATAAAGAGATTGAATTTTATTTAAAATGTAATTTTAAAAAATACCGAAGATATATTTGAACGAAGCAATTCAGGCACCTCCACCGATTCAAATCCCTCATAATCGTGTTGGGAATATAGTCTATAACATTTTCCTGGAGCTTCACGTCCTGCACGTCCAGCCCGTTGTATAGCCTGGGCCTTTGAAATATTTACTACTTCAAGTACATCCATATGATTTTGAGGAGAAAATGTGCTAAAATTAGAAATATTAAATTTTTGGTTAAAAATAAACGTAGAATCAATTCAAAAATTATCAATTTACCGTCTTTTCATTTTTCCCGAGTCAATAATTAAACGAATTCCTGGTATAGTAATTGATGTTTCAGCAATATTTGTTGAAAAAACAACTTTTCGAGAGCCCCATAAAAATAATAATTGTTAAAAAAAATTTTAAACTTATACTTACATTTGGAGTTGATGAGAAAATAAGATTTTGTTTGTCTGTTGGAATTGCTGCATAAAGAGGAAGTGCAAAAATATTCTCATATTGTTTCTTCTCGGCTGATTTTTCATTCTTTTTTGTTTTTCTGATAATATTAATTGCAGTTTCTATTTCTTCTTGACCAGTTAAAAAGACCAGAAACCCATTACTAAAAAATTGTTTAAAAATATTTAAAAATAAACTCTATGATTCCACCCCAGAATATAACCACTCTAGATATTGTTGACACAAAAAAGTTGCAGCAATAATTTTCAGAAATACCATATGATCAACACCAAATTTTTAAAATTTTATTATTATTGTTCAAACAACAAGCAAGGTTGTTCTAACGACGGGAAAAGTTGTTCCAACTACAGAGAATAAATTTTTAATTTTATTATTACTATTTGTTCAAAGCTAAATATGTAGGTGTATTTATATATATTGTGTGTGTGTTAAGGGTATTCGAATATGTTATTCTAAAGAGCTCGGTAACTGATATGAGTCGAATCCGATCTTTAGTTGAAACAGCCAATCAACCTCTCATTGTCAGTTGTTTGAATAATAATAATAAAATTTTTAAAAAATTGGTGTTAATCATATGGAGTTTGATATTTAGGGCAATCGATATAATGGGTTTTTGAGTCATCGATATTTGGGGTCACAATATTTCGGGTGCCGATATTCTGGGTTGATCTCAACTCTATTGGCTCCGTTAAATGTAACTGTAGAACAGTAGAGATTGCATTAAATAAATAGTCATTTTCATTAATTTTTAGACTTGGTGCATTGAAAAGCTAAAAGTAAAATTTAATGAGAAGAGGCAGCTAACAAGGACGCATCCAGGATTTGATTTTTTGGAAAGGGTAGATCGGCGCCGGAGGTGCTAAAAAAGAATTTCGGAAGTCCGTAGGCCAACGCCACCACCCCTCCTGGGTACGGGCCTGGTCGCGAATTACTTATTCGATCATACTTAAAATATTTTTCCCATCTCTGGGCAGGGACTCAAACCACCTATATACACTCATTAGATAATAATAATCAAAAATACAAAATACCTTAACAACATGCTGTCTTCCACGAACATAATAAGCTTCGGCTTTGTGGAAATATTTTTGTAATTTTTGTAGATTCATAGTCGCAGACATAAGAATTAAACGAAGTGGGGCCTCATCCTTTTCTTTTCTGTTAGTCTGTGCTTGTTTAAGGATATAAAGCAAAACATCCATATTAATCTATTAAAAAATAAAAATTAAAAAAAATTTTTTGTTTAAATTAACTGTTCTTTCGTGTACTTCATCTACAATAATTGTTGAATAACGTTTAAGTCTAGCATCATGTTGAGCTTCACGTAATAAAATTCCTTCAGTTTGATAAAGAATACGTGTATCATTGCCACAATTGTTTTCAAAACGAAATTTATAACCAACCTGAAAAAAATTTTCTGAAAAAATATTTTAAAATAATTTCCCTACAAACCAATTGTCCAACTTTAGTTCCCATTTCTCTTGCAACTCTTTCAGCTAATGTTTTAGCAGCAACTCGTCTGGGTTGTGTAACACCGATAAGACCATTTTCAGAAAGTCCAGCATCGCAACAGAACTAAAACAAAATTAACTTTAAATATTAATATTCCGAAAAAAAACCTGAGGAATTTGTGTACTCTTTCCGCTGGCAGTCTCTCCAATAAAAATAACTGTGTCCTCTAGATGATTAAGAATTTCAATAATATGTTTTTTAAAACAATCAACAGGTAAAGGATCACGTTTAAACTAAAAATTATAAAATAAATTATTAATACTTATATGAAAAAGCTTACATTTCCATTACATATAGTCTTTGAATTGGAATTATTAGAGTTGCGACTAACACTCCTTTCTTCATATTTCTCATTTTCATTATTAAAATCAAGCGGTTTTGCAACCATCTTTACTTATAAATATTATTTACTATTTAATGTCTAAAACAAAATCTTAAAAAAATTTTCACAGTGGCGGGAAATAACATTACAGTTGTTTTAAACCAGTACATATGGTTTACCGCAGCGGAGCAAGCAGGGTATGTGCAAGCAGGAAACGACGGACGAAGAGTTTTCCAAAAACAGTTTTTCCATAGAAGAGCCCTTATGTGCGCGCCCTTTCGATTGCGCCTAAGTGTATCACGCCCAAAACAACGCGGGCCAAAATTACGTGCCGAAACTACGCAGGCCAAAACTACGCAAGGCCAAAACTACGCACGCCAAAAACTACGCAAAACTATTTAGTATGTTCAAATTGAAAGTCTCGCTGTTGATCAATTATCACTCTCCCGTCCGGCACGAGCATGAAATTCGAAATCCGGTTTCCGGATCTAGAAAATGATTAGTGTACATTACTAACAATATACATATAGGTTCGCGTAGTTTTGGGCGTGCGTAGTTCTGGCGCTGCGTTGTTTTGGCCTGCGTAGTTTATAGTTTTGGGCGTGCGTAGTTTTGGACTGTACCCGAATTGCGTCTATGTAGTCCGTTCACATGATTTTTTACTGATTTACTTTTTATGAGTTTAAAATTAGAGTCCGGCAAAATCGCATTCCCGGGATCCCGGAACGGGATTTTTTTCAAAATTTTGTACGGGACGGGATCCCGCGGGATTAATCCCGTAAATCCCGGAATCCCGGTAATACCGTTTTCAAATTTCCCGGGATCGGGATCCCGCCGGGATTCCGGGATTTTCATAAAAAAAATTTTTTAATTATAAATATGTTGAATATTGGCGGATTTGGAAATAATATCGGTGGATTTCGACGGATTAAGGGATGAATGAATTGATATCAGAGGATTAAGAGGGATATCAGTGGATTAAGAGAGATTAAGAAGATTTGAATGCTTATAGGTGGATTTAGGGGGATATCGGTATATTTGGAGTGATAAAGGGTGATTTGAAGAACGGTGGGTTAGGTCGAATATAGCGGATTTAGAGGCTCAACTGGATCTGAATTGATATATGGGGATTATTCCTCTAATCCCTCAATATACTCTTAATCCTCAGATCCTCGATATGCCTCTTAATCCATAAATCCCTGATACCCAGTATTATCCTCCAAATCCCTCTTAATTTGGTGTTAATCCCAAATTCATGATATCCTTTTCCGATACCCCAACATCATATATCTCTTAATCCTCCGCAATTGAACTTAAGACGATTTAAACCTTACAAACCAACGTACACCTTACAATCCCTCTATATCTCTGTTAATCCCAAAGATTCATTCTTATTACTCGTAATCCATCCACCACAGCCAAAACTTTTCGAATTTTTCTTTATTTGGAAGGCTAAGAAGCCACCTTTTTTCACTTTTTAGCGCCGCAGGCGAAAATTTTGAGAATTTTGGACGGCCAAGAAGCCAGATTTCTTCCTTTTTCAGCTCCGCAGGCAGTTTACTGGAGTAATTATAAATCCCGTAAATTTGAAAAAAATTCCCGGGATCCCGGAACGGGATTGGGTTTTCAAAATTCGACCGGGACGGGATCCCGCGGGATTAATCCCGTAAATCCCGGAATCCCGGTAATCCCGTTTTCCGCGAAAAACCCGGGATTCCGGGACGGGATCCCGTAAAATCCCGTACGGGGTCCCGTCCCGTGCCGGTCTCTATTTAAAATTTCATTTTTTTACTTTATGTATTTGGATATATATTTGTTTCTTAAAGCCATATTTTTAATTGATAATATTTTAGATTGCTTATTGTGTTTTTGTGAGTCTGATTTTTGTGTGAAGCTTAATACTTCATAAATTTAATTGCAAGTGTTTTTGTGAACTGTTCAATGGAATTGGATTTTTTGCGACAGGCTCAGTACAAACTTCTTGAGGGTGGTGAAAAATTTGATGTTTCGTCTCTTGACAAGGTTTATTTCATTATTTCATCAATTTCTAAATAATTGAAGGTTGTTGGCTTGATGAACAATACGACTGGGGAGGCTCAAAAAGTTGCCTCTGATTTGTTGGCTCGATTTAAAGAAAATCCCGATTCGTGGACTAAAGTTGATGCTATCCTTGAATTGAGGTTATTACTGTGCAAGTTTAAATTTTGATTCCCTTTCCAGTGCTTTACTTGAGACAAAATACTTTGGTTTGCAAATTCTCGAGCAGTTGATTAAGACTCGCTGGAAAGCCTTGCCAAGAGAGCAGTGTGAAGGCATTAAAGGATACATCGTTAACATGATTTTAGAAATAAGTTCTGATGCTGAAAAAAGTGAGAGAATGAAACTGCTTTTGCAAAAATTGAATTTAGTCTTAGTTCAGGTTTAATTGTTATTTGTTATTTATCTATGCTCTTTTTAAGATCGTCAAGCAAGAATGGCCTCGTCTTTGGCCTTCTTTTATTTCTGACATTGTTGGTTCTAGCCGAAATGGTCAATCACTTTGTATGAATAACATGACAATTCTGCGTTTGTTAAGTGAGGAAGTCTTTGACTTCGGCACAGGTCTTACCACTGCTCGAGCTGTTCAACTTAAGCAGCAATTCTGTGGTCAATTTGAAGAAGTTTTTATGCTTTGCTATGAAATTCTTGTAATTTTATTTTAATATATATGTCAAAAATTATTTTTCAGGAAAATTCTGATAATGCCCAACTTGTCTATGCGACATTGAGTACTTTGCATGGCTTTTTGGACTGGATTCCTGTTGGTTATGTTTTTGAGAACAATCTGATCGATCTCATTTTAAAGGTTTTTTCCTCAATAATTTTAAGTTAATACTCTTAATTTTAGTTTCTTCCTTTTCCTGCTTTTCGTTCTATTTCTGTTCAGTGCCTCGTGGAGATTTCTTCAATTTCAACCGAAGATAGTCCCCAGTACGGCAGTCGACTTGTTCACTTGCTCAAGTCCGTCATGAATATTATTTCGCAACAACTGCCACTTACAGTCGATTTTGCTGATTCTTACGCTAAAGGGCGGAGTGAAGACCAGAAATTTATCTCTGATTTTGCGCAACTGATTGGCACTTTTCTCAAAGAACATTCTAATCTGGTTGAGGTCTTAGAGCTTAATCCAACACAAGAACAGCTTGAGGTCAAGCAGGCACATGCATTGGCTCTTAAATATTTGTTAAAAATCGGTCAAGTTGAGGATGTTGAAGTTTTTAAGGTATTTTTGTTCCATCTTATCATGGGGTTTTTATTTGTTTCAAGTACTTACATTATTATTTCATATTTCTGGCTTACACCTAGAAATCCCAAAATTTTGCATGGGCACTAAAATTGATTTAGGAAGCAAATATCCGACATATATGATGTTCTGTACGCCAAGTATTCGCCTTTCTAAAATTTGACTTGGATTGCCTTTGATAATTTTTCTTTTCAGATCTGTCTTGACTATTGGAATTGGCTTACAATGGAACTCTTTCGTGAAAGTCCTTTTGAGCAATCTGAACACCCGCTTATGGATACACTTCGACGTTATAATCGAAACGAGTCTCCGCGGCGTAAGATCTATGCAGAAGTTCTCTCTGATCTAAGAGTTCTGATGATTAGTCGAATGGCAAAACCTGAGGAGGTCATTATCGTTTTGAATGAGAACAACGAAGCAGTTCGCGAGCTAGTTAAAGATACGGATTCTATGATGCTTTATAAAACGATGCGTGAGACATTGGGTTACTATTTTTCTCGATAATTGTAAAATTTTAAACTTGATTTTAGTACTTTTGACTCATCTTGATTACCGAGACACGGAACTGAAAATGACTGAAAAATTGCAGAACCAAGTGAATGGAACTGAATGGTCTTGGAAAAATTTAAACACAGTACGATTTAATGTTTTTTTTATAAATTATTTTTAACCTGAAGTTGTGTTGGGCGATAGGTTCAATTAGTAGTTCTATGCACGAAGACGATGAAAAACGCTTCCTTGTGACTGTCATTCGAGGTTATCTTTTGTATTTAAATACCTTATTGTGATTTATTACAATTATTAGATCTGCTTGGTCTCTGTGAGCAAAAGCGTGGAAAAGACAACAAGGCAGTGATAGCTTCTAACATAATGTATTACAACTTTTTAAAATTACTTTCGTGTTATTTTCAGGTACGTGGTTGGGCAATACCCACGATTTTTACGATGTCATTGGAAATTTTTGAAAACCGTTATAAATAAATTATTCGAGTTCATGCATGAATCACATGAAGGGGTACAGGATATGGCCTGTGATACATTTATAAAAATTGTCATTAAATGTAAACTTCACTTTGTTGTTGTTAGTTTTACTTTCTTATGCTAATATATTATTTTTTAATTTATCAAGATACAAACTGGCGAGACTCAACCATTCATCGAAGAAATTTTGCAAAATTTGAACAACATTATTTGCGATCTTTCTCAACCTCAAGTGCATGTTTTCTTTGAAGCTGTCGGGCATATAATTTTCGCAGCAAGTACTCACCAAGCACAGGAACGTTTGATCGAAAAATTGATGGTTCTTCCCAATTCAATTTGGACAGAAGCAATTGAGGCTGCTACCAAAGTTTAACTTCAGATAGTTTTGCTTTAATTATTTAAATATTTTAAGGATGTTAGTATTTTCACTGATCCAGAGGTATTGAAAAATTTAACTCATATTTTGAAAACAAATGTTGCTGCCTGTAAATCAATTGGTGCTCCTTTCTTTAGCCAAGTATAAAATTTTTTAAGATAAGAAAATAAAATGTATTCTTTTAGCTCAAGCGCATTTTAAATGATATGTTGAGCATTTATCAAGTAATTTCTGGGAATCTAAACAAAGCTGTTAATGAGCAAGGAGAGCATGTATTGAAATGGCCTTTGATTAAACATATGCGAGTTGTAAAGAAGGAAATTTTGACTCTTTTATCAACCTGGATTTCTAGAGCATTTGAGGGCAGAATTATGGTTTCTAATATTTAATTTCGATTTTAATTGTTTTTTAGGAAGAAGCTCTCTTACCAATTCCTCTTGTTATTGAGAACATTATTAAACCTTTGTTTAGCACTGTATTGCGTGATTATGAAATGAATGTTCCGCAAGCAAGAGAGCCTAAAGTTCTCTCTTTGCTTTCCATTACCATTGTATCGTTGAAGGTTAGTGTTCCACTTTTTTGTTAGATTTATCTGACTTAATATAAATTTAAAAGGAGGAAGCGAATTCACAGGTGCCAGAAATACTTGATGCTGTATTTACTTGCACACTTGACATGATTAATAAAGATATGGAGGCATTTCCAGAACATCGTACAAATTTCTTTCAACTTCTGAAAGCCTTAAATACCCACTGTTTCAACGTGTTGATTTCATTACCGGACAAAGTTTTGGGTCTTATTATTCAGGCAATTGTTTGGGCAATAAAGCATACAATGCGTAATGTTGCTGAAAATGGTAATTTTTAAATAAATATTTTTAAAATAATTTTTAAGGAATTGAAATTTTGCGTGATCTTCTTGGAAAAGTTGCGTCTATGACAGATAGAGCACAAGCACGGATTTTTTATCAGAAGCATTTTATGACTATTATGGAGCATGTTCTTGGTGTTTTAACTGATAATAATCAAGTTCAATTTGTTGGTAGGTTTTAATTTTTTATTTCTTTTAATAAAATCTTTTTTTCTATTCATTCATTTCTTTTCACAAATAAAAACACTTTTAGGCTTAACAAATCTTGCTGAAACTGTTTGTATTCTTTTCCAAGCTGTTGAAAATACAATTGACATTCCTCTAAATCCATCAAATTCTTCACAATCAAATACAGATTTTGTTTATGAAACAATTACTACTCTTTTTGTGAATCACTTTAAAAATTTGACAGAGTGAGTGGCTTCTAAATAATGTTTTTTGCAAGAATTAAATTAAATTTTAGACCTCAAATTGCTTTAACAGTGAAAGGATTTATCAGCTACAATCGTATACTTAACAAAATGCGTGAGCACATTCGTGACTTTCTTGTCCAAATTCGTGTATGTATATCTCGATAATATTTAAAAATATTAATTCAACTAATTTTAGGAGGAAGCAGGAGATGACACTGCAGATCTTTTCTTGGAAGAGAAGGAAGCTGAGATTCAACGAATCCAGGCTGAGAAGCAAGCGATTCCTGGAGTACGTAATCCAAATGAACTTGTTGAGGAAGATATGGCTTAAATTTATGATTTGATTGATTTTATTTGTGAAAAGGTGATTTTGCATTGAAGAAATTTTTAAACGAAATACAGGAAAAATTAAATAAATCTAGTAAAACAATAAAAAAATTTTTTTAATTCTTTAGTTTAAAATCTTCTCTATGCACAACCACTTTATGTTTATTCACGTTTTCATCGTTATTATTTATCTGATTTTAATTTAAAGGTAGCAAAAATTTTTTTTGAGTATTATTCGTTGTTTTGAAATTTTAAACAGAATTGTTATTTTAATAATATTTTGTTACCTTTATTTAAACAAAATACCTTCCATTTTATTATTGACTTTATTTTTAATGTCCTCTCATTCATCGATCTTCATTTATGGTATTTTAAATTATAAAAAGTAAAAAAAAACTCAATCGAAAGCCTTTGATTATTTTCAACATTTTAATAATACGTATATTCACCTCAATACAAATTAATTATTTCTCTTTTTTTCAAAGCTTTATTTAATATTTCTGAGAATGTTTTTAAATGTTTAAATGCGTGGAGTGAATTTTTGAAAATATGTTTCTGTTTCTCTTTTTTATTGCGATTGTGTCTAAATTATTTTATAATATTTTTTTACATTTTTTGATAATTACTTTTTCGGTTCTTTTTTAAATGTTTTTATAATACTAGCGAAGGTGCTCGCCCTTCGGGCGAGCGCCTCCGCTAGACTAAATCTAAATCATAACAAAACTTAAAATATTAACTTTAAACTATCAACTATTAACAATTAACTATCAACTATTAAAAATTAACTATCAAATATCAACTCTTAACAATTAACTATCTACACTTAGTTGATAGGTGTTCGAGTCTATCAGTTATTAACTATCAACTATTAACTATCAACTATTAACAATTAACTATCAAATATCGACTCTTAACAATTAACTATCTACACTTAGTTGATAGGTGTTCGAGCCTATCAGTTATTAACTATCAACTATTAACAATTAACTATCTACACTTAGTTGATAGTGTTCGAGTACTATCATTTATTAACTATCAACTATTAACAATTACCTATCAACTATTAACAATTTACTCAGTTGATTGTGTTAGAGAACTTTAACTATCAACTTTTAACTATAACAATTAACTATCTACTCTTAGTTAATAGGTGTTCGAGTACTATTAGTTATTAACTATTAACAATTAAGTAACTTTCACATATTAACTTTCAACTATTAACTATTAGCCAAACTTCAACCATGATTCTACTATTAACTAATATTTTCAGTTTTCAACTATTAACTATTAATATCTATTTCAATTATTAACTATTAACCAACTTTCAAATATTGGTGTACACCTATTAACTTTAATCAACTTACAAATATTAATTTTCAACTATTAACTATCAACTATTAACAACCCTTGTCACTTAACCGTCGTCACCCTTCCATCTCAGACATTACCGGTTTTTACCATTTGTGGGACCGTTTTTTCATGCCTATTGAATGACTATATTCTTTTTCCTATTGACGGGCTCTTTTGACGAACCCTTTTCTCACGCCATTTGACGGACACTTTCCTCTTTCTTATTGATCGAAATCTTTATTACCGCCAGTTCCAGACACTTTTCACCCATTTACGGGACCATTTACGCTCACCATTATTCCAACCACTGCCAGACCTATTTCACCCACTTACGGGACCCTTTTCGCTCACCATTATTCCAACCCTGCCAGACCAACCCTGCCAGATTGTTTTGACTGGTTGAAGGGATATCGTCAATATCATCCAATACAATTCTTATATTGCCTCTCATTTTTATTTAATAAGAATAAAATTTAAAAAATGAATCAACTATTAATTATTAACTATCAACTATTAAGTCATCAACTGATAACAAAGATTTTCAACTTTGAATTTCAGCTATTAACTATTAATCATCAACTATTAATTTTTAATTATTAACTATTTTACTATATACTTTTTATATATTTCTTTACTATATACTTAACTTTTTTACTATATATACAACTGATAGTTAATAGTTAATAGTAAAAGAACTTTTTACTATATATACTACAACTGTTAGTTAATAGTAAAAGAACTTTTTTACTATATATACTACAAGTGACTAACTACAACTGTTAGTCACTCTAGTACTCTTCACACAATGTCGAACTCTAGGACTATCAACTATTTAGCATCACACTATGTCAACCTTGCTAGTACTATAAATTATAAGCTATTTAGTATCACACAATGTCAAACTTTAGTACTCTCAACTATTTAGTGTCGCACAATGTAAAATTCTAGGACTAACAACTATTTAGCATCACACTATGTCAACCTTGCTAGTACTATCAATTATAAGTTATTCAGTATCACACGATGTCAAACTCAAAAACTAAAACCTAGCTATAATTATACTAAAAACAAACCTCACAAAAATTAACCATCGGCTGGACACTCTTTTAGATAAAATATCAGCATTGAAAACCAACGGTTTGACACTCTAGTCGTTTAAATAAAAGATTGTTTGATTATGAACCTAAAAACAATTTTTAACTAAAACAAATTTTAAAAAACAATAAAAAACAAAACAATCAAAACACAACTTAAATATAATTAACAAACAAAAAAAATTTTTAAAATTCCAAAAACAAATCAAATTTTAAAAATTCACATTCTTCTTTATTTCCCTAAATACACACTATTTTTCTTACTTAAAACAAATTTTAAGAAACAAAACAAAAAAACAATCAAAAAACATCTTAAATACAATCATCAAACAAAAAAATTAAAAAAAAGACAAATCTAATTCTAAAAAATTCACATTTTTTCTTTTCTTCTCTAAATACACACTATTTTCTTTTTTGGGATATTTTGTCATTTTTAATTAAAAACTAAACACAACGCCAAACACGGTAAAATTTAAAGCTGCGGACAAACAAACAGACAGGAATTCTCAAATTTAATATAGGATTCTTATAGTAATTGAATTAATTTTTTTATTACAAATACAAAATTAATTTAATAATGAATTTTGATTATGTGTATTGTTTTGCTATTGTGTTGAGTGTATTTTGGGTGTCTAGTTCTCTGTTTTTTTTATAAATTTTCATTTTTGATAAGCTATGTAACTAGAATAGACGGGTATTGTGACTTATAGTGGGTTTTTTTTGGCTGAACCGATTTCGACAAATGAGGTGTCATTCGAAAGAGCTTCGAAAACTGAGTCGAACTAGATATGGGGGAAGTCGGTCCGACAATCAGGGGCCGAGTTACAGACCCCTGAAGTTTGAAAAAGAGAAGGGGGGAGTAAGCTCATTTTGCGATGAAAAATTCGAAAATGCAAATAATAGCTTATTCGACTCAGCTCGACGAGCTGAGTCGAATGACACCAAAATCACCGAAATCTGACTTGATTAGACAAAGTTATGACCGTTTGTTTTAGCTCCTTACCTATGGTCTATGTGGAGGTTTTTGCTGCAACGGAGGCCCCAAGTACGTCCAGAACAAGCGAGATAGGAATAGGTTTATGTTACTGACCCAGACCCAGCGCCCGTAGACTCCCCGCGAGGCGCGTGCCGCAAAACCCCGCGCGAAGCGCGGGGTTTTGCACAAGCGCCTCGCCAACGCCCCATAGGTTTACGTTGACCATTTTGTACAACAATAATCTTTATTTTTCAAAAAATTTGTTTAAAGTTTCAAATACATTTGGAGTATTTTGGATTTAATTAGATTTATTTTCAATAAGAACTTTCACTATTGAAACTTAAACGCCTTTTCGTTCCTTTTTGGCAATAATTTTCTTTTTATTTTCGTCGTCGTTTGTTGTTTCTACACTTCTTCGAATACCATTGCTAGGAGGCCCTAAAATTATTTTCTTTAAAAACTAAAAATATTTCCTACAAATATTGTTTGTTGGCATTAAAGGAGGAGGGGGTATATTGCCAACATTTGATATCGGTCCATTTATTCCTCCAATATTTGTAGAGGGTTCAGTATGGATATAAGCACCAGAAAATGGAAGTGCTCCTCCTCCTCCTATTTGTGGATTAAATTGTCCATATCCCCCCAAACCTTTTAAAAAGAAAAATTTTTCTAAACTAAAATTTAATTTTATTTTACTTCCAGTTCCATAACTTAGAGGTGACAGATTTGCAGGATTCATTATATTTGAAGGAGAACTGCCAAGAGAAGAGTAATTATTTATTGGAAAATTTCCACCAATATTATTGCCGTTTTGAGGGCAGTAGGGAATGCAAAAATAGCTGCCAACTGGTGGGCCATTAATTACTTGATAGCCAGTTCCGTACATTGGAGGGGGTGGAGGGAGTGGAAGATTCATTGAAGGAGGTTGAGGAGGAAGTGAATTTATTGGAGAGATTGATGGAGATGGAGGTGAATAAAAAGGTAGAGGAGGAAGTGGTGGTGGAATTAAAGGTGAAGGTGGTGGGGGTGGGGGTAATGGAAAGTTTGTTGTATATGGATTTGAAGAAAGAGAAGAGGAAGAAGAAATTGGTGGTAATTGAGGAGAATAATAAGAAGGATTTTGTGTTGGTGGTTGTGGAGGTGGTGGAGGTAATCCTGAAGGAGAACAAAGGAAACCTTTGGAAGAAAATAATAATGATTATTTTTTAGAAATTCTAAAAATAACCTGGTACTAGTCCATAATTAGGTCCATAAATATTTTTATTTCCATCTAAAGCTATTACAGAAATAAATAAAAATATAAAATTAATATAAATTTGGATAAAAATAAAATTATTAATATTTTTAAACATTTTTAATTTTGTAAAAATAATTATTATTTGGCCATTTTTATATGCTTTACTTAAATAATTTTTGGAGGCAAGCAAAGTTTTTGCAACTTTTGTATTTAGGCTAAGGATTAAGCTGAGGGAGAGGGGGAGGGGGGGGGGGGGATTTTGTGTTTAAACGAATTAAAATAAAATTATTTTTTGAGGTTTTCCAGTCTATTGGCTTTTTCTAGAAAAAAGTTTTTTTGTTCTATATTTTTGAGAGATTAGCTAATAAATATATATTTTAGGAACATTAAATCAAAATCAAGTTTTTTAAATGTTTTTATTTTTAGAATTATTATATATTTTTTTATTTATTCTTGTTGGTTGTTGCTATGGAAATAAATAAATAATTTATTTAAATATTTTTTAAAATTATTAAAAAGAAATGGAAGTGCAACAAAAAATTAATTTAAAAAATAATTTATATTTACAAATTTGTCTTTATTTTCATTTTCGTCTTCTTCCTTTTATTTTATTTTCGCAAATTATTTGTTTTGGAATTAAGGTATTTTTTAATTAAAAATTAATTTTTATTTTTTTTATTTTGATTATTTACATCCAACATATCGAGTTGTTTTGTTGTCCCTTCATTTAATTTCTGTTTTTATTCAAATTATTCGACCATTTCTTGGTTATTTGGGGAATTTAAAAGAAAAAGTTTGTTTTTTAAAAATATTTTTTTAAATTAAAAGTTAAATATCCTAAAAAATTTAAATTCTATTACTTTTCCAAAAAAATTTTATCATTAAATAATTCTTGATTTATTTATTCTAAATTCCCCTATACAAATTTTTAATTTTCTTTTTTATTTAAAAAAAGATGCCAGAATTGTCCGGTTTTTGGATTTTAACAGCTCTTCTACATATACCTTCACAACTATTTTTGGGTCTAAATCCAGATATTTGGCAATTACCTTTAGAAAAATACACAATTTTATTAGAAATTATTTTTTCTTTTATTGAGGTAAGAAAAAAATAATTTTAAATTTAAAAAAAAAGTTGTTTACTTCAACTATTTTACTTCGTAAATTATCTCAACTTCAAATTGAAAGATTTAAAAGAGCAGCAACTTTAGCCATTCAAAATGAACAAAAATTGGAAGAAAAACAAAATGAAAATAAAGAAAAATATTAAAAATATTTTTAATTTACTTAATTATATTTTGTGGATATTTTTAATAAAATTTCAGTTAAAATAATACAGACTGAGAATACCAAATACATATTTATGTACAATTTCTGGTAAAACCAATCGAATTATTACACCCTCCTCACCCCCCCCCCCATTTACTCGTTTTCTCCATTCTCGATAATATTAATGAGGTACATAGTTTTAATCAGGGGTCGATCGGAATTCCAATTTGTGGCACTTTCTTCATTTCCGATCGACCTTTGGTTGCAATAAAAAAAATTTAAAATAAATTATTTACAAATTAATTATTTAAACTTTGGGAAGTAAAATTTTATTTTTTATTTATGTAGACAAATAAAATAATTTTTTAAAAGAAACAACTGTCGGCTGTCCTTTTTTCAATAAAATCCGGTCATTTAAAGAAAAATAAAAAGAGTTTTAAAAAATCTTTTCCTCCTCATCTGCTTTTTACTTTTTCTTCCAAATCACTTTTTGCTATAATAATCCACAAAATAGTTTTTATGGATTTTTGAATGATTTTCTTCATTTTTTTAGTTTTTTTTAAAGAAATGAGTTTTCGAAATCGGCGTAAAAGTTCTGGGCCAAGTTCTAATTTTATGTCAATTCGACGCCGTTCAAGTGCAACACAAAGAGATTTTGAAATTTTGATGTTTCAAGTAATTTTTTGTTTAAAATAAAAAATAAATTGATTAAAAAAAGAAAAAACAAAGATTTCCTGATTGGTTATTGATAATTATAATGCTTGGAGGGCCTGTTTGTTTAATTCTTTTTAGTTTAGAAATATCATCAAATAATTATAATATTGAGGTAGAGCATACTAATACTTATACAATATTTTGTTTATTTTTTAAAGTTATTTTCACTTTCTGGGCCTTTAATTGTTTTATTAGTTTCTCAACTTCAACTTTTCTTTTTATGGCATATCCCAGCAAAAGAATTAATTCAACTTACCGAAGAAGATCCCCCACAACCAATTAAACATAAAAATACTTCTTTCGAATCTTGTATTTTAATTTGTTTAATTTATTTGTTTGGGGCTCTTTTAAATTTATATCCAGGAGAATTAGTAAGTTAAAATTAATTTAGAGAAAAATCCTTTGCCGACATTCACCAATTTTCGGGAATTGGGACGGCAGAATCCCTGTCACATATTAACAAAAGAGAGAGATTTATGTAAGTAATTGGTTGAGTTTTAGGATCTAATTTTAAATCTATCCGAGGCTCTAATTGAGAGGTGGGGGTAATATACATAGATGTAAATATTAAATTAAACAATGAGTTAAAAAACTTTAAAACAAAATTATCCATTATGATCATCCAATTAATTTTTGGAAGAACTGTAAATATTAAATATTCTTTCCCTTTTTTAAAGGTATTTATTCATTGGACATCAATTTTGGCTTCTTTAAGCATTTTTTGTGTTTTACTTTTATTATTAATTTTTCTTTTTCTTCCATCCCAAGAAGATCAACGTTTTGATTTTTCTGTAATTTCACAAATATTTTATGGTCGCCAACTTCGACCTGTTTTGTTAACTGTTGATTTAAAAGCTTTTATTACTTGTAGAATTGGGTTTACATTTTGGGCATTATATTTAATTTCTTCAATTTTTGAATATCAAAAACTTTATCCAAATGAAAAACCTTCATGTTAGATAAAATTTAAATTAAAAATTTTCACTTCTTTAAAGTCTCTTTATTAACAACTTTTTTTCTTCAATTTTTTTATGTTTTGCGTAGACAATGGTTTGAAAATTTACATACAGGATTGGATAATAAAAATGACAGAGCTGGTTTTTATAGAATTTGGATGGTTTTAAATTTATTAATTTGTTTATATCTTTTGCCTATTACTATTGGAATTAAGGCAAAAAATTTTAAAAGAATTTTTTTGAAAAAATAATTTTAAAGGAACCAGAATTTGAACGTTCCTCCCCCCTTTTGTGTGGAATTTTATTTTTATTAGGTTTAGTTTTTCAATGGATTAATACAACAATTGATTTACAAAAATATAATTTTCGTCAAAATATTGGACAATTAAAAATTGATGGGAAAGATCCTTTTTATATTTGTGCAAGATATAGAAGAGAAGGGGGAGAAATGGGAACAACTTTATTACTTGGTAATATTTTATTTAAAAAATTCAAGAGTTTGAGAAGAGTTTGGAGCATTCAAAGTCAATAGGCATTAAGAGCACAGGCCTTCAGGGTTGACCCCCGATTTTGCAAAAAGTCAATGAGGGAATACAAAGTAATAGCCTCGATAGCTTGGGCAGTAAGTAAAGCACCAAGTGGGGAGCAAACTCCCTAGCAATAACCGCCAGGAGGTTGCAGTTTCACCTCCTGCCAGTAGAATATGGCAGGAGGTGCCAATTGAATATCGATTAATATTTTGATAAATATTTTGGTCCATAAAATTTGAAAGGATATTTTGAAGGCTTCGTTTTAATTTTCTAGACAAGTAATATTAAAAATGATTTTGAATCCAGAGCTGTAATTGTTTTGTTAGTAAAAAAGGAATGCCTAAGACGTTCCTCTCTCTGTTAGTATATTCTGAAATTAAATTTTTAATTTTTTAAAATTTTTTAATTAAAAAGGAAGTGGTTATTGGGGTTTATGTAGACATCCAAATTATTTAACAGAATTTTTTACATTTCTTTGTTGGACATTACCTTGGAATGATTTATTAATATATTTACCTTTAATTATTTTATTTTTAATTCTTTGGTGGAGGATGGTTAGAGATGAAATGAGATGTTCAATTAAATATGGACAATTTTGGATACAACATTGCCAAAGAGTACCCTATTTGTTAATTCCAGGAATTTATTAAAAAAGAAAGGAAAAATTAAATTTATTTTTTTTTAATTTTAATAAAGAGATCAGAAAAATTTTGTATTTAATTTCTAATTTATAAAAAATTAAGTATTTTGATCAAAAAATTAATTGGGACTAGAGACAAAAAATCTTAAAATTTTAGAAAAAACCTCTTCTATATTTTTCCATCCAATTCAATAATTTCTCTATAAATTTCATCCAAAAGAGAATCTTCATAAGCTGGTGGAGGTGAACGTCCACTTGTTATTGATGTATTTGAAGCAGCATTTCCGTATATTGGTGGGGGAATTATTGCTTGTTTTCCTTCTTTTTTAACTGCCAAATTTCTTTTTCGAATATTTCTTGCATCTAGAAAAAGAAATTTAAAAAAATATTTAATTAAAAAAAACTTTGAATTGCTTTAAAATTTCTTTCTCTCAATCGAGCAGTAAGTCTTTGAATTACTCTTCTTGTACGTCTAATTTCACCAAAATTATCTAATTCCCATTGTTTACATTTATTAATTCCAACAATCATCGCTATAACCATTCCAATACAAAAAATAATTGTCGGAATAATTATTTCTGTAACAACATTTGTTGATGGAATATAAAATTGTTGTCCAGATCCACCATTCATTTTCAGTCTGTAAAATTGAAAATATTTATGTAGGTATTTAAATTGTTTTGAATTTTCAGAAGACTTAACAAGTCTTTATTGCCTAGATAGTTTTCAACTGGCTACACTCAACAGGCCCATTCCAACCACTCTACCGTTTAGCCTATATAAATACTGTAAATCTTGGAAAGTCTCTCCCTTTCAACAAATTATTCTTCAATTCCAAATTCTCTTCAAATTCAATATCCACCAACATAATGTTACAAATTATTTTCTTTCTGTCATTTGTGCTATACCTCAACTTTTTATTCTACTTCACGTGCTGTAAAAATACCAAAAAGCAAAAAAAGACACGTTCTGCAAGCAAAAATGTTGTTGAGAAGAAATGTAACCACCACAAGCCTATTCGGAAAGGTTCAGAACGGAAAGGATTAAATGATCGAAAAGGTTCAGATGACAAGAAGGGTTCAAAACGAAAGATTTCAGAACGAGAACATCCTCTTCAAAAAATCTCAGAAAAAGAAATCAAAACACAAAAGACAATAAAGGAAAATAATCAGAAAAAAGATGCTACTGTTAAATCAAAAGAAGAAGTTATCACAGTCAAAAAAGAGCAAGAAGTAAAAGTTGAAGTAAAGACTAAAGAGAAAGAAAAGCAAAATGAAGTGGAGAAAATAGCAGTCAATTCGGGTAGGGATTTTTTTTAAATAATTTTTATTAGAAAATAAAGTGGTAACTTAGAAGTTTGGGGATGAATTTAGATGCCGTTTTAAATAATAACCTCGTAAATTAAAAAAAAATTACCGGGACCCATAATGGATTTGGATTTAGAGGGGTAGGAAGGAATGGATCCCGGGTAAATACAGAAAGTCCCAAAAATTGCTAAATCCGGGATTTAGGATCCATGAATAGTTTAGAGTACATATGTACTTTGTCTACTGGGTATCAATAAGAGTTTTTACTGCCCAAATCACTCACTCTCATAACACAATTACCTACATATAAATTTAATTTTTTCAGTTAAAATAGAAGAAATAAATGGAGGGATTGCTGTTTCTTTTAAAATGCCGAATGAAAACAGTTTGGCAACAATATCTGATCTTGAAAAATATAAAGAAGAAAATGCTCTTGCGAACGAGACAACTTCTAATTATGAGAAAACAGCTAAAACTATGAGAAAGTGAAAATTACTGTAATTTGTGATATTGTGTAATTTGTATTGTTTACTTACATTAATTATTGTATTTAAATGAATAAATGGATATTTAATAAAATTTGTTTTGTAGTTTTCGAATAGACCACTAATTTTATCAGTTCATCCCCGACTGCTAAGTTTTGATAAAAGATGCCAGTTATTGAAAAGTTGTATACAGGACTCAACTGGTTATTCTCAACCGGCGGCGCTCAACTGGCTCGTTCCAATTCATTTCGGTGGGGTATATTTCGGCGCCTACGTTTCCGCGCTTGCCCAGTTATTTTGTTAATTTTCGGCGCAATTTTGTTCATTCTTTGCTTATTTTTGATTTGATCTGATGAAATTTATTAACTGAACTTGATAATTAACAAAAACATTTTTAACTTGGTTGGCACGGAAACGTGAGCGCCGAATGGTGTCTAATCGGATTTACTTCGATTTATTGAGAGATATTTACATAATTTTATCGTTTAACTTTTTCATAGTTACATTTTCTTTCAAGCTAGTAATTATTTGAATAATGGGACGTCGTATTCGTGCACAGCGTAAAGGACGTGGAGGGATTTTCAAATCGCATAGTAAACATCGCAAAGGACCTGCCAAGCTTCGCCCTGTTGATTATTCTGAACGACATGGCTATATTCGAGGAATTATTAAAGATATAATTCATGACCCTGGTCGTGGTGCTCCTCTTGCTGTTGTTCACTTTCGTGATCCTTATAAATACCGAATAAAGAAGGAATTGATGATTGCGGCAGAAGGTTTATATACTGGACAATTTATTTATTGTGGCAAAAAAGGTTTATTTGATAAATAGAAGAAGATAATAAGTTTTCCAATTTATTTAGCCCAAGTTCAAATTGGAAATGTTATGCCTATTGGAGAATTACCTGAAGGAACGACTGTCTGTAATCTTGAGGAAAAGGCTGGAGACCGTGGCCGATTAGCTAGAACTTCAGGTTTATTATACTTTAAATATCTAGAATGATATCTGGTCCCGATTTTTTATTAGGAGGAAATTTCTAAACAAGGAAATTCTTACTATTAGAATAGGGACAGTTTAAAAATCCTGCTTTTAACAAGTTTATCAAATATAAATTTAAGGAAACTATGCTACTGTCATTGCTCACAAACCGGATGTTAAACGTACACGTATTCGTCTTCCTTCTGGAGCCAAGAAAGTTGTTCCTTCTGCGAATCGTGCGATGATTGGTATTTTATTAGTAAAAATAATTTTTTATAAAACATGGGTCAGCCTCATTTTTCATTTCCTTGTATTTTTGCGTAGGGTTTGTAACTGCTTGAGTTAGAAAGTAAAAAATTCCCAGTAAAGTTAGGATTTAATTCCCGATAAAAAATATAAATTATGACTCTTGAACCCAAACAATGTTATTGAATCCAAAAGTAAACACTATAATCAAATGATAAATGAAGGTTGAATAATAAGTGAAAGGCTATTATTGAAACAGGTTTTTGTAACCAAGAGTAGATGGATCTAAAATAGTTTTGAAATTAAAGGGAAATTTTAACGATTTCCTTTTTTATTTTTGATATCTTGTATCTTTAAAATTGCTTTATAGGTATTGTTGCTGGTGGTGGTCGTACAGACAAACCTTTATTAAAGGCTGGACGTTCTTATCACAAATATAAAGCAAAACGTAATTCCTGGCCAAAAGTTCGTGGTGTTGCAATGAATCCAGTTGAGCATCCACACGGAGGTGGAAACCATCAACATATTGGACATCCATCAACGGTGAAGAGAGGTACGAGTGCTGGACGTAAAGTTGGATTAATTGCTGCTCGTCGAACTGGACGTATTCGTGGAGGTAAACCCGAGAAAAGAGGTAAAGACGAAGCAATGTAGAGACAAAAAATTAAAAAGAACTTTTTGGTGTGTTAATTTCTGATTTAAATTTGTGGATGTTATTTGTTATGTTGGGAAAAAATAAAATTTGTTATTCAATATTCTTGTTTTAAATATTTGTGAGCTAGATGGCAGGGCAAAATTCTTTTTAAAACGATGAAGATTCGAAACGTATTTAAGGGTTTTATTGTTTAATAGTAAGATCGAGTCATGCATCGATATATACTTGCCTGAAAAAGGCTAACATAAGAAAAAGACCCGAAAAGATTTACAAAATGTTTAGGGTTCCCCTTTAGACTTACTCAATTTCACTCTGTGGCATACTAAAATGAGAAGACACTGATAAAGAAAAGATTAATTTTTTTCAAATTAACCAGAATAAAATAACTCACTAAATAACTCACTAGGTTCAATAACATGGTCTTACCAAAACACGGAGCGACAAAAACACGGAATATTTTTAAAATCGGATTTTTTTGAAGTCAGAATATTTTTAATCATTTCCGAACGATCATTTTTTGATAATAGAATATTTTAAAATCATACAATAATTATTTCTCTGGACCGTGTTTTGTCTGTTACGTGTTTTGGAATCCCTCGTTTTACATCCCAAGATATAGGTGCTGTGGACCGAGATATAGGTTCCCGAATATTGAAAAACCATTGGGGGAGTTAACCCTAAACCTTTGTTTACCCCACAATCTTCACCGTTATTAACGATTTAGTGTTACTTATTAGCCGTTAATTATAGACAAAAAAACATTTTTTATTCAATTATTTTATTTTTTCATTAATATTTGAAGGGGGAGGATTAATTATTAAGCTATTTAATTGTGAATTTGTTGTATGTAAAAGTGTTTTGACTTTAATTGTTGGAGAAACAAGCTCAGAATTATTATCATCAATCCATTCTATTTGTCCATCAGATTCAATTGTTATTGCTTTTGTTTTTGGATTAAATGCAACAGAAGAGTTATTTTTTGGGCCTTCTTTTCTCCATTTCCAACTTTTGGTACTTTTAATTCCCGCACCTTTTAATAATGTTGAAGAATGTCTTCTTCTGTAATGCCTAATATATTGACATTTAACTATAATAAATATAATTGTTAAAGTAATAATAGCTCCAATTAAGCAAATAATTGTTAATGCAAGGAAAACATCATTCATTTCCCATCTTGTCAACGCCATTTTTTGATATTTTTAATGATAAGTAAACTTTAAAAAATTTAAAAAAATAAAATTAGAAATATTATACAGATAAAACAAAAATCTGCCCGGACACCCACCACCTCGGGGAAGAATTATAATGGGAGTCAGCTGTGATATATGAATTAAATCGAATACTTACAAATATTTTTAATTAAATAGTTCAATTCCTGCTAAGACAATCAGAGCATTTTAAGTTAAATTTTTTGATGTTTCGGAAGCAATAGTAGAGTTAGGCATTACTTAAATAATTAAATATTTAATGACAAAAATTAGGATTATTATAACACAGAATAATCCCTAAAAGTTAAGGTTTTAACATGATGCAATACCAACGGAAGCCCAGAAAATTTGGCCCAGAAGCCCTATGACCCAGAGGCTTTAAAACCCCGAAAAAAGTCCTGAAGCTTAAAACTCCTATTAAAAATTTTGTTGTGCAAAAACAATATTTTGAGGATAAGAGAAATGAAGAACAAAATTTAAGAAAATGTTAGCAGACAACAAGAATGCCCTGTCAATATAAGCTATTCATTGATTTTAAATATCCTTGGTGATTTGAGTGAGTCCACAAGGAAGTGCATATATCTTTTACTTCTCTCACTTTAAATCCTTTCTTCAAATAATAGGTTTAAACGTTTAGGTTATAATATGATGAGTAGTAGAGGAAATGCTGATTTAGTGTATATACATATTTTCAAAAAAGATTAATAAAATGTCATAATAAGAAACTCTAATTTGTTAAAATTACCTAAATTTATTAGACTACCGGTCAAAAGTAATACTCCTGGGGGCATTTAGATGTTTTTTCTACATAGGAAGTTTAACGACCTTCATCTCTCTTCTGAATTTTTCATCGAAAATAAGATTAATGCTTTCTTGTAGCAAATTTCAAAGGCTTCAAATGAACCCGAAATGAAAATTCAGAATAATCTATGGGGGTCGAAAATATTTTTTAAAGAGCCTTACATCTGTTTTCGTTGATTTTCAATGTATCAGGATCTCGATCTTGGGTAAAGATTTGAGCTGTTTTTTTGAACTTTTTATTTTTGCAAATTTTTCCTAATGTTAAAAACAACTTTTTAGGGAAGTGAACTTATATTTTTGTAGAGGTCCATTTAAAAAAGTTGTAACTTTTAAATTTGATATTAAAGCACATAATAAAGATGTCAAAAAAGATTGGAATTTTTATAATAATTCAAAAGCTTTAAGTTTTCTAAATTTTGGTGAACCTAACTTTTGTGGAGCAATGCAAAAATTTTCTCAAAATACCCAACATTGTGATCTTCTGTTAACTTTAAATGAGTGACACCCTTAGGGTGGCCCCTTGGGCTTCATCTAATAGTAATCTCGGCAATCAACGTTCTTTTACGCTGGAGGATAAAAGTATAAAGTAGTTTCAAAAAGGTGAATTCAGAGTGTGTGATAGTAGAGGCCGACTGGCACGAGCATAAAGTTGTAACGTCTGTCACGTGCAGTGAAGTATTCATTGTTTAGTGGCGTTATGAATTGTGACAATTTATGTAATGTCTAAAAAATAAATAATCGAAATACATATTCGTTTGATGCATCATCAACTTTGTTTAATCTACAAAAAATAAAACAAGTTTTTTCGAATTATTTGTATGTATAATCGTTTAAATATTTTTTAATTTAAATTAAAAGTTGATTTTCTCAAAATTTTTAAGAAAGCTTGTTGTTAAAGTATTTGTAAAATACAGATATAACTATTTCCTTTATTTGGCTGTCAATTAATAAAAATGGCTGCAATGAACCCAGAATAGTAAGTAGCTATAATTTAATCAGACCTGCTCAAGGATACTGATTTTGGTACCGTATCCGGATATTTATGGCGAATACAGGCGGATATCCGCAGGCGTCTTGATATTATCTGTATCCATATCCTTGAGCAGGTCTGAATTTAATTATAAATAATTTAAACAATTAATTTTTAAATTCCAAAATTCAATTCTTTTTAGCGATTATTTATTCAAATTGTTGCTTATTGGTGATTCTGGTGTTGGCAAGTCTTGTATACTCCTCAGATTTGCTGATGACACATACACAGAGTCATATATTTCTACAATTGGTGTTGACTTTGTATGACAGTTTTCTCTAAAATAATTTTATTTTTCTTTTTAGAAAATTCGTACAATTGAATTGGAAGGGAAGACAATTAAGCTACAAATTGTAAATTTATTTTTAATATAAAATTGATTTTCTTTCTAGTGGGATACGGCCGGTCAGGAGCGTTTCCGTACAATTACTTCTAGTTATTATCGGGGCGCTCATGGAATTATTGTCGTTTATGATATTACTGACCAGGTTTGTTTTTTAATATTTTAATTTAAATTTAAAATGTTTAAAAGGATTCTTTCAACAACGTCAAACAATGGTTGCAGGAAATTGATCGATATGCTTCTGAGAGTGTGAACAAATTGTTGGTTGGTAATAAATGCGATTTGACTAATAAACGTGCTATTGAGACTAATGTTGCGAAGGTTTTTTGTTTATTAGATTATTTATAAAAATATATTTTTGGGTCATTCATGAGTTTTTTGAATCTGGCCGGCATTATCTCTGTTACTTATTTAGTATTTTGCCGCATAAATCATTTCCATCAAACAGACAGTTTTTTTGTAGAATTCAGACAATTATTTAATCCCTAAATATTTATCCTATTTTCAATATGTAGCACAAAATTATTTTTTGTTAGATTCTTTAATTTATTTTTAGGAATATGCTGATCAATTGAACATTCCATTTTTGGAAACTTCAGCAAAGAATTCGACAAATGTTGAACAGGTAAAATATTTACTTTTCAATACATTTTACAAAAAAATATTTTTAGGCTTTCACGACGATGGCAACCGAAATTAAAAATCGTATGGGTCCACTGCAACAGACTGGGGCAAATGCTTCTGCGGTGCGTATTGGACCGTCGCAACCTGTTCAGGATAAGAAATCTGGAGGATGTTGCTAAATTAATAAAAAAGGAAGGAAGAGCTTGAAGAGAGAGAAGTTGTGACGAATGGGGAAGGAATAAAAAAATATATTTAAAATTTGTGTGGAAAAAATAAAAGGACTTGGAATTTTATGTATTTTTGTTAATTTGAGGGATTGAAAATGTCTTTTTTCTCTTATTTTAATTTTTTTGTAATGAAATCTTTTTTTGAAAGTTTTTAGGAGATTTTTTTCTAAATATTCGAAGTAATTTTATGGGGAAAATTGAAAGGTTTAACTTTCAAATTTCTCAAAATCCTTTTATAAACTAAAGATTTCAAAACAAAAATCACTCCCTCCTTCCTCGAATTTTTTGCTTAAAACTGTCCATTTTCCTCTCCCATATATATGTGTGTGTTGTGTTATATCATTGCTTTTCAATTGTATTTCCTATTCTAGAAATACCTTTGGACATAAATAAATATAATTATGTAAAATTAATTTTTATAAGGGAAGGGACTTTCATTTAATTTGTTAAAATACTTATTCTATATCCCCCTCATTTATTCTTCCCTCAAATAAAAAATGGATTTAGCAAGGAATATTTAAAGTAGAATTTATTAAAAATAACACAAATCTTTTTTTTTCTAACAAAAAAGGGGTTTTTATTTAAAAAAGATTGTATTAAATAATTAAAAATAAAAATTATTTTTAAATAAATAAATAGTTTAGAATATTCTAAAAAATGTTTTTTAAAGATTTTTTTTGAAAATAAATTTTAAATTTAGATGGAAACAAAACAATTTCCTCATTTCTATGCTTATTATAATTATTTGGCTTCACTTATACAACAACAAACTTGGGAGGCAGCACAGAAATATGCTGTGTTAATAAGTTGTAATGATTCTCATGCAGATTTAAAATTCCTTCAGGTTTGTTTGGAAATTAATAAAATTTAGAAAATTATTTTAAGAAAATTACTTTCATTTAGGGGGATTTTAAAACCTTGCTTTTATGTTCGTTTCTGATTTTTTTGTCGTTCAGAACATACCATTCCGAGATTCAAAGTTTAATAGAAACAATTGTCTATTCTTAACCGCGACAGATTTTTGATAAATTAACAAATCTTTTTTATATGTACTTTTTAACATTTTTAAAGATTCCATCGCCAGAAAAACGTTATTATGACAGAAGTGTAACAAAATGGCCAGTATTTGGGGATTTAGTAATGATGCATTTAAATGTTTTGAATAATTTAAGTGAAAAAAATTGGCATTCGGCATTTATTCACCAAACAAATGTTTTTTTAAAAATTAAATAAAAATTAAAATAATTTTTAGATGTTAAAAATATTTAATCAAGAAATTTTACAAAAAGAGAAAGATGCTAATTGGTTTTGCCCGATACTTTATATTCTTTGTAGTGATCTTAGATTAGTGGCTAAAATTGTAATTAAATAAAGTTTCTTTTTTTTAATTAAAAATAAAAATTAAAAGGCAGATAAACAGGGATGTACTTTATGGAGTCGGAGTGATACACAAACCTCAACGTTTTATGAAGAAGCTGGTTAGAAATTTTATTCAATTTTAAATCTCTTCTCTCCTATATTTTAAGCTTCCCCGATAATGGAAAGTTATAGAATTTGTGTTGCGGAAAGGTTTTTTTAAATTTTTTTCAATTAAAAAATGATTTTGAAGTCGTTTGGCTGCCGAGACAACAAAAAAGATTGCAATTCTTAATTTAACAAATCAATTATTTCGAATTTATTTTGGGGTAATTTATTAATTAAATTTTAAAATAATTTAATTAAAAAAAGATTAATCGTCTTCATTTATTGAAACCTTTAATTCGAAGTATTGACCACGTTGGGGATTTATATCAACGTTTTTCTATGGCAGACAAAATTACTTATAAATATTTTTTGGGAAGAAAAGCAATGTTTGATATGGTAAAAAATTGTGAAGAAATTTTTAAATTTAAAAAAAATTTTTTAAAAGGATTTGGCAAAAGCTGAGGACTCTTTAACTTTTTCTTTTGAAAATTGTCCGGCAAATTATGTTAGAAATAAACGTTTAATTCTCATGTATTTAATTCCCGTTAAAATGTTTTTGGGGCATATGCCGACACAACAATTACTTTTAAATTATAATTTACAACAATTTTCTGATGTTGTTACGAGTGTTAAGTAAGAAGGGGGGGGGGAATTAAATTTAAAAATAAATCTTTTTTGAAAGAGATGGAAATCTTCGAGAATTAAATGCAGCATTACACAAACATCAACATTTCTTTATTAAATGTGGAATATTTTTAATGCTTGAAAAACTTAAAGGAACAACTTACAGAAATTTATTTAAAAAAATGTTTGTTAATTTAATCTTTCCTTTAAAAAACTTTTATAATAATGATCAGAGCTAAAAAAAATAAAAATCGAGAGCTAAAAATAAATTACTCGCTTAATTTGCCGCAAATGATTTTTAATTTATCCTTTAAACATTTTTTTGTACTAGAAAGTCTCCCTATATAATATTTTTTTATTTAAAAAATTTCAGTGCTCTTATTTTAAACACACATTTAATTAAATTGGAGGCATTTCTTGCTATACTTCATTTTCTTGGGACAGATATTGATGCTGATGAATTAGCTTGTATTTTAGCTAATTTAATTGCCCAAGTAATTTTATAAATATTTTTAAAAAATATTTTTCTTTTCTTAATTTTTAGAAAAAAATAAAAGGATATATTTCACATCAAAAACAAACTTTGGTTATTGCCAAACAGAAAGCATTTCCTCCACTTTCGGCAAAATAAATAAATTTATTTTTTTTTTAATTTTGTTTTGTTAAAAATATTTTTTATTACATATGTTTAGTTTATAAAAATTTATGAAAAAATAAATATTAATTAATTATAAGGATATATCACAAATAAGCTAAAAAAAGTTTTGCGTCTTTCTGCGCGCAATTTCCAGTTTTTTGCCATCGCTATATTTTGTCTCTACTTTCCCCAAATATATCATTTATAGGAAAACAAAAATTTATTTAAAAAAATGAAATTTACTTTTAATATAATTTTTTGTTTATTATTATTTAATTTTGTATTTGGACAAAGGGATTTTCCTGCTGTTCATCCAAGGTATAAAGGAATTGCTTTGTAGTACAAAAATATTTTTTCAAAAAAAAAGATCTTTATTGCTTACAAGTAACAGTAAAAACGGGGAACCTTCATTTGAACAAAGAGTTAAAGCTTTCCCTGCAAGAACAACAACAAACAAAACTCCATTATTTTCACGATCAACTTTTAAATTATTTAATAATCCAACATCAACAACAACAGGAAAACCAGCATTTACCGGAAAACCGGGTAAAAATTAGAAAAAGAGATTGACAGTAATTTTAAATTAATCAAAAAAGGTTGTCAAGTAGATATTGTTCTTTTAATTGATATGTCTGGAGGGGCTGTAGACAAACGAGAAAAGTATTTGGCTTTAGCTTCTGATTTAGTTAGACAATTAGATATTGGAGTATATTCGGCACAAGTACTTTTTTTAATAAAAATAAAATTTTCTTTTTGATTTTAAAAAGGTTGCATTGGTTCGTTATTCGGGTAAAGGCAGAACAGACACAGTTTTTCGATTAAAAAATAGGCACAATCAAACATCATTAATTAATGGTAGAATATAAATTAAAAATAAAATCAGAAAAAAACATTTTCTTGTAGAATTATCACAAATTCAAGCCTTAGGGGGGACAACTCGAACAAAAGAAGCGATGTTACATGCTAAAAGGGAATTTGAAAAAAAATTTGGGGGACGTGAAAAGGCTGATAAAATAATGATTGTATTTACTGATGGATATAGTCAAGATGATCCTTCAGATATTGCAGCAGATTTTAGAAAAGAAAAAATTCATGTATATGCCGTTGCTGTGGAGGATGATGAATTAAAGCCTAATGAGGAACAATTAAAAGTTATTGCCAGTGATACACAAGTAAATTAAAAAAAGAAATATTCTTTCTTCTTTTTTTAGTCTGTAGTGATTGGAACTGCACAATTTGCTAATCTTAAACAAAAAGTGGCACAACCACGTTGTCGACAGTAGAAAGAAAAAATAAAGTAAATTAGCAATTGTGAGGGAATCTCTTCTATTTTAATTTGTAGGGGACTAAGAAAGGGTTGGGAGGTAAAATATTAAAATACATATATTTAATTAATTAATTGTTCTTTAATTTTATTAAAAATCTCTAAAATATACATTTATTTTATAATTTCCTGACAATATAAAATAATTAAACCGGGCTAAACATAAAAAAAACAAACAAAATTTTCACTATTCATTTTATGATTGATTGAAAATAAAAATATTTTGATATTTTTGAAGGAAAATGTGTGTATAAACAAAAAACATGTTTTTGCTCAATACACAAATCAAAGGAAAAAGAGAAAATAAATTCAAATAAAAACATTCTTTCCCTTAAACAATTTCTCGAAAAGAATGCCAAAAAGAATATTTAACAGAGGTTTTTATTTTTGCGGCAAAGATATAGTAAAATAATTACACCGGGGGATTTATGAGGATTTTCTAGAAAAAAAGATATGCTGAAATAATTAATATTTAAATAGAGAGAGGTGTTTTTGGATGGACGGAAGGAAGCGAATCATTTTAAAAAGAAAATAAAAATAATATATTTTAAAATAATCTAAACAAACATTTAAAAAGAGGTAAAAAAGAGGGAGGGGGAAGAAAATTAGGCAAAAGGGAAAAGTTTCTAACAATTAAAAGAATATTTGAGTGCTACCTGCTTTGTTTGAGTAATTAATTTTAAAAAATATAAGCGAAAGGAGGGGAGGAGTAATTTTAGAGAAACAAAAGGGAGGGTTTTATACAAAAAAAATTTCAAAAATAAAAAAATAAGTATGTATTTGAAAGGAGAAATTAAAGATTAAACTGCTAATTTGTTAATTAAAAAATTTTGAAAATAAACAAAAAGTTATCCCTCTACCAAATATAAACTGTTTAAATAAACTTTCCTAGATTATTTTTTATTTAACTTCCTCATTTTAAACTTTCAAATTAGCATTAAAAAATATATTTGTACATATTTTAGTAATTAAAGAAAAAAAAGTTTTGAAGAAGGCAGTTTTTTGTTTGTTTGTTTTTAACGCTTAAAAATTACCAAAATTATTATAAATTTACATCGATTAAGAAAAATACATGGCGAGTATTTTTTAAATTTTACTTCGTCTAAATATTTTCCAAAATATTTAATTGATGTTATGGGGGGGGGGGGGGAGATTTAAAGAAAAAATTATTTTTTTCACTAAATTCCCGGCCATCTAGCCGCTGCAGTAGCTGCAGCATTTGTTTGTTGTGCAGCATCATTGGCAGCTACAGCAGCAGCAGCTACTTGTTGCTGTCCATATTGAAGCATATTTCTTAATAAACCAAAGCCAGAATTTGCACAAGTAAAAGGCTGTTGTTGTTGTTGCTGTATTTGTCTACCCAAAGAATTTAAAGCAGCCATTGCTGCTTGGGCACTAGGCAATCCTTGTGGCATTCCCAAAGCTACAGAACTGGCTACTAAAGCCCCAGCAAGGGGATTAGAAGCAGCGGCCGCAGCTGCAGCAGCAACTGCTTGATTCGTTTCTTGATTGTTTGAAAGGGAAGAGGAAGAAATAATTTCTTTTTTTGTAGGGACTGGAAAAGCTAGAGAAGATTGTTGTTGTTGAGATTTTTGTAAAGCTTCCGCCTCAGCTCTAGCCTTCATCGCGTGAGACTTCATGTGAGCATTTAATGATTTAACTTTTTCAAATCTGTTAGGGGAAAAGAAAATTTTTTATTAAAAATAATTATTTATATTGTTTTTCTTCTCCCAAAAAGCCATGATGAGTTTATTTTACATAAAAATATTTAAACAAACCGTTTTTCACATAGTCTACAATGAAAGAAGCCATCAGCCTGTGGTTGGGCACCTTTTTTAACTGCTGCTCCATGCTGGCCTTTTACCTAAAAATATTTATGGTGAATTATTTTAATTAAAAAATTAAGTAAATAAGAAATTTCTAGTCATTTTATTATAAAGAGCGTCCAGTAAAGTTAATAGCACAAATTTTAAGATGTAAATTGGTTTTTGAAATTTTGTCATAATTTGTCAAGGGTTTCAGGGAAATCTTCACTATTACTAGGATCTCAAAGGTAATTTTAGATATTAGGACTCCCTCTGGTTCTAGCCCCGCCAACACTAATTGGGTGTAAGTAAGGACCGAGTGAATAATCAAAACAAAATATTCTTAAATTTACTTTATGTGTTCCTCCAAAATGATTATTATTACGGCCTTCAAAATCTGCTGTCATTATTGTTTCCAATCCACCTAATAATCCCCCATCGTGATGATTGCCAACACCAAAATGTGTTTCGTTGTTATTTGAGGTAGTTGAGGAAGAGGGGGACGGAAATATTCCATCAGTTCCGTGTAACCACGGATAATTAGAATTATTTAAAGAATTATTACTGCCACCATTAAAATGTTGTTGTAATGAGGTATTTTGATGTTGTTGATTTCCAAGTAAAACAGAAAGTTGATTTAATGAAGATATTCCTCCTCCTCCTCCATCATTTCCAAGTATATTTGAAGCAGAAATGGGGATTGGGGCTATTGGGGGTGGACATTGTTGATTTCCAGATAATTTTCTGTTTGTTGTTGGAGAACAACAATCCATTCCTTGAATATTTACATTTAAAAGAGAAGGATTTGTTATATCAGATTCTGTTTCCGATAATTCTTCGTCCTGTTTTCCATCTAATTTTAACAATTCATTTTCGTCCTCCCCTGAATTTGTAATTAAATTGTCTATTCCACACCGCATTCTTTTCATGGGATGTTTTTGTAATTGTTGTTGACGAGTGTCAAATGAGGCTAGATCCAACTGAAAATAGAAAAAGTTTAAAATAAAATATTTATCAAAATATCTTCACACCCCCCATCCACCTACAAAAATCCAAAATAATTTCAATTAAAAACAAACTTGTTGTTCAAGCAATTGCCTTTTCCTTCTTAAATTTCTCAATTTTCTATAATCATCTGGACATGCCTTCTTCCAAGTATAATAAAAGGCTACACATTCATAAACACTTCTATTCCCTAATTCAGAAGAAACTTGTTGAAAATCTTTTTCTGATTTATATATTGCATCCTTTTTTTAAAAAATATTTTTTAAGAGAAAAATTTAATTTTTACTTGAAAAGAAGCAATTTCTTCGGGGCTCCAATTATCTACATCAACATAACGACTATTATAAATTGCTGGATACTGTTCCCAATCAAGTGTATCACAACGAAGTAAATCCATAACAGCAGCTTGGAGATTCCCTCTATTTTCTGCCAATATATGTAAAGCTAATTCTTTATTTCTTCCAGATTTTGGGAGGGCTACAGAACAAGCTAATGTTTCATATGCAGCCAAAGCTTGCTGAGAAATATGTTCAATACTTGAGGCATTAAATAAACGTTCATCTCTGTCAGGGATTGCTTCTAAAAGAAATATTTTTTTATTTTAAAATGATGGAAGAAGAATCTATTGAAGTTAGAGAGATGGAATAAACAATAGTTAATTAATTAACCTCTTTCTTCAGAGGAAATAGCTCTGTCAGCCCATTTCTTAACTCTTGCTTGAAAACTCTTTCCAAGATTAATATGTGGAATAGCATCACTTTCTGGTGGTTTTTCCACTCCATCTCCACTTTCTGAACTTTGTTGTTCTTCCATTGAAACAGAGGACATTTTTCTGATAAAATCATCATTTGGAGAAGTAAATGCCCCCAACGATAATTTTCCTCCATGACGAATACTCATACGCCCATAATTGCCAAATATAGATGCTTTATGTGAACGATTAGAAGAGGAAGATTGTTTACGTAACTGTTCCAGTTCAGCAACAAAAGAAAACTAAAAAAAAAGAATAAGTAGGGTGGTCAAGGTTTGTTTGAGGAAGGGGGTGGAGGGGAGGGTTGATTCAACACTTAGGGATTGAAATTTGTATCAGGGTTCGGAGTCAGGATTGGGGATGCGGAGAAAAATTATCAGACGCCTAAAATGGCATTAAATCTTTGTATTTCCCCCAAATCACTAACAAATAAGGTCGGATATCACTCAGGTCGTGCCTCTTCTTCTGATTTTTTACAAAAAATTTCATGTTGGCTATGGACTCAGGCTTTAAATTCTTTCCAATATATAATTACCTCATTGTTAGAAGGACCATCTGCAGCAAATAAAATCCCATTTTTTCTGGGTGGTCTTAAATCGCCATTTGCTGCTGTTTGTGGAGATGTTATTCTTGTATTTTTATCAATTCCACTACCATTCTGTATTTCCCCCCTTTCTTCTTCCCCTCCTCCTTTTTTTAATTTTCCATCTTCATCAATTCTCATTTCTTCCTCCACAATTTCTTCTTTTACAATAATTTCATTTTTTGTTGTCATTTCCTCTTCTTCTCCAAAAATTTCTCGTCTTCTCCCCCTTCCTAAAATTTCCTCTCCTCCTTCCAGTGTTGCTTTACAATTTTTATTACTGCCGTTAGCACCAATATTGCTATTGGCACTTTGATAAACTAAAGTAGACGCCAGTGCAGAATATTTTCGAACTAGAAAAAAATATTATTTTTTAAAAAATTAATTTTTTTTCTTCAAAATATTGTGCAAAATGTAGAAAACAAAAATAATTTATAAAAACTTTCAAAAAAAAGAAGAAATGACTAAGAAAAGAGTTTTGTTGCATAAAAGAGCCTTTACAAAGAAGTCATGCAAATGTTAACGAGAAAGAGAGAAGAAACATTTAAAAATAAAATTACTGTAAACACAACAAACAATTAAGTTGTTTTTTTGGAATAAATTGAAAATATTAAATATTTTTAGCATTTAATAAAAAAATTAGTAAGAAAATAGGGAAATCTTTTTTTCAAAAAATGTCAATTTTTGTTTACATTTTATATAATAAAAACAAATTATTACTGTTGAGAGGTTTGTAAGGAAAATTACGGAAAAACGTCATTTTATAATAAAAATATTTATTTTATTGATTTTAATTTAAAATTAATTTTAAAAATTTGTAGAGAAAATAAAGTTCAAAAATAAGTACACATTTTTGAATGAGAAAAAATGTGAGAGTCAGAAATAGCAAAATAATTCTATAATTAATTTCTCTTTAATAATTCTTTTAAAATCTAAAAATTCTTTTAATTTCCTTTATTTTCAATTAAACAATAAAAATGTCTAATTTTTATTATCAGTTAAAATAAACAATAAAATTTTAACAATATTTCAAAAAATAACAAGAAGATGACAAATCTGTGTGCAGAAAAAGGAGAAAAGAGAAAAATAAATTTTATGGAAGGAATACAAACATACAAACAATAAGTCCTTCTTCTTTTTCATTCACCGACACAAATGCAGTAGCAGCGGATTTTGTGAAGGAAAGAGGAAAGAAGGAGGAGGTTAAAGTTAGATGGAAAAAGAGAACGGCCGGCTGGTAGTGAATATACTCTTTTTACAAAACATTAAATAACAGCAGCTGTTGCTGACACAAAAAAAAAGTAAACACACGCGCGCATAAACTTTAATTTAGTAAATACAACTAAAATCAGCCATCGATTAAAGCAAAGAGAAAAAGGAAAAAAATCAAGGAGAAAAAATGAAGAAATTAAGTGATTAAATAGCCAAAAATTTTAATTAAGAGTCTGGAAATTTTAAAATGTCAAAGTTAAAAACTTTGAGTGAAATTTCAACAAAAATTAGTTGTCCAAATTGTAAATTTCAAAATTCCTTTTTTTGAGTAAAAATTAAAGAAATATATATTAAAAAATCAGGTGAAAAAAGGGGAGAGGAAGTAGAGATTTTGGAAGAAAAAAATATTTTGTTTGGAAATTTAAAAGAAGCGTTTAATCGGCAAACAAAATCACCAATTGTAAAAAGGAAAGAGAAAATAATGTTGATTGATGAAGAGAGGAGGGAAGTGTGAAGGGGGAAAAGAAAAATATATAAAAGATTAAAAGCAAATTGTTGGGCCAAAAACATGAGCGGCGCAAAAAAATATTTGTCCAATTGAAAAAGAAAAGAGATTTAAAAAAGTATAGAAATGTGAACTGATTTAAAAATATTTAAAAATAAAAAGGGGAAAAAGAAAGAAGAGAGAAAGGATAAAAATTTGTGAGAAATAAAAGGGGGAATTTCATATTTTGTTGCAGGCTTTCTGTTTAGGATTGATAATTATTATCCTTTTTATGGAAGTCTTTTAAAAAAACAAAAATTTGAAAAAAATGAGGAAAGGAATAAAAGCAAAATATATGTTGCAACAAAAAATTAGTGGAGAGAGAGAGAGAGAGGGGGGGGGGGGGGTGATTATTGTTTTTGTTTTTTTAAAGACTTGAAATCAAAATCACTAATTTATCTAATAAATAGTTTTTACAAGAAAAAATCTTTATTTACGGGCCTTCATTTAAAGTAATCTTTAATAAATAAAAATTAAAAGAAAAGCTATAAAATATTTAAATGTTATTGTGATGGTGGGGTGACAGCTTGTGCAAAGCTAGTAAAACATTTCTAAATATAAAAGGGCAAATATTAATTGTTGCTGTGAATGAGAGAAAGGGGGGGGGGGTAAATGATTTGTGAGAGAAAAAGAAAAAATAAATAAAAGTTCTCAAACAAAAAATGCGTGTGTGTGTTCTCTTTTTTTGAGAAATATTAAAAATAAAATTAAATCCTTTAATTAAAAAAACAGAACAAAGAAATTAAAGTTTTTTGGAATCTATTTAGGGGGGGAGGGTTGTTTGTTAGAAATTTAAAAAATTAATTTAAAAAAGTTTATAATAAATTGATAAAATTAAAAAATAATTTAGTTTTTTAATTAGTTTTCATCATTGCACTTATTAAATTTTTTTTTGCTAAAAATTTCGAAATAAAAATTACGCAAATAAATGATTAAATAATATGTTGATATTAGTTAATTGATAAAGTAAGAATCTCGAGTTTTTCTGACTTTATGAGATTTCTGACAACAATTAGTAGGGCGATATAAATGAGGATATATTTTGAAAAGTTGTTGTCAGAAAAGTTTTTTTCAAAAAAGTCACAAAAGTTGCGCGTCAATTGGAAGGGCATTTTAAATATTAATAGTTTTCCTATTGCAGAAAACCCCAATTTGTGAATTTATAGTTAGACAAAAATGGACATAAAAATAAATAAAGAAAAAAAATAAAAATGAGAAAAGGCTGTTTTTGGGAGCTGTGGAAACGAGACTTTATTGAATATAAACATTTATAAAAGTACAGATTTAGAAAAAAAAATTTGTGTTATTCTAAGAAAATGCCTAGAAAAGTGTAAATAAATATAAAATAATAATAATAAAAATATATTCTCGGCAATATATTCTCAACTATTTTTATTTGCAAGTTCACAAAAAAATGAAATGGAATGACTGACATTAGCCGAGTAAATGCAAAAATGTGTATGTATATTTTAGCAAATTTGTATGTATGTGTATAGACGTGCACAGCCGGTCGGTGTTTTGCTAAAGAGTGGGGCGGTGGTGGCAAAGGGCTTTGGCTCTTTCTGACTTTGCGGGATTGGACCTAAAAAGGTAAAAAGAGAGGAGAGGTTGGAAGATAAAAAAAAATAAAAGGAAAAGAAGATAAAAAGCAAAGAATGTGACTGGAAAGGGCATCCATCGAGAATCAACTGATGTGTGGTTGCAGTCTGCATTTCTCTTTTTTTCTATTTTTACTTTTATCCCTAAAAAATTCAAAAGAGTTTATTTGATGGACAAAACGAATGTTAAAGAAAAAAAGAAAAAAGGATGGCCATTTTTGTTGTCTGTCTTCATTTTCATATAGAATAGTTGCCAGCTGGCTGGTGTGTCTGACATGCACTTTTATATATATAAACGTTCGTCTTCTGCTAATTTTTTTTCTTTTTTTTTCTTTTCTGTCATTCTCTTTTGGCCAAATCCATTTTTTGTTTTTCTCTCTTCTCTTTTAAATTTTGAAAAAAAATTTTAGCGGTCACGAGTTGGCGTTGGAGGATAAAAAAGGGGGAAGTGGTTTTACGTGCAAGAGCAAATTGAAAGTTGAAGAAGGGTTGAAGAAGAATTGTGTGAAAAGAGAGAAAGAGAAGAGAGAGGAAAATAAATCCCGACTCAGAATAAAAAAAAATAAATAAGTGAAGAATTCAAAAATGAATGCGCAATAAAAATAGAGAAGAAAATATTAAAAGTGCATAGTTAAGTGTAAATAAAAACAGACTTAATTAAAGGATTGATTTGAAAAATAAAATTATTTTTAAATAAAAGAAAGTAGTAGTAAATATTTTCTTAAAATAATTTATTGTTAGTTACATAAATTTAGTAAAAATTAAGTTTGTTACTTCTCAGAAGTATAAACCTAGCTTCCTATACTATTTAGGTGCTTCACCGAATAATTTTGTTTTTTTTTATAAAAATTAAACTCCTCCATAAATCTAGCTTTTCCCTTCCTTATTTTTTTAATAATAAAATTTCAAGTTTTGTAAAAGATAAAAGTGCCGCCTATTTTGAAAAATAAATAATTATTTAAAAAAACATTTAAATATTTATATTAAAATATTTAAGAAAAAGATTTTTTGTTCTCTTCCAAAAACTTTGTCTATACATTTAACCCCATCTATCCATCCATCAATTCACCCTCCTTTTTATCTTCACCCTCCCCATTCATTTTGTCTTTTTTTTATTTTAAAATTTTTAGAATTTCAAGAAAAAAGGAGAAAATGAACACATGAAAAGTTTATTGGTTGGTTGTTCTTTTTTTATTTAAAAAAGAAAGGGTGGAGAAGAGTTGAAGATTTTTTACTTTTTGCTGTTTGAATGTGTGTAAAAAAGAGAAAAATTAAAAGGGGGAAAATTTTAAAAAAATTTTGTGAAAAAAAGATAAAAAAAATAAAATGAAGAAAAGTGCAAATAAATAAATGAGGAAAAAAAGAGAGGGAGAAGAAAAAAGATTTGCAACCAGTTTAGCCATAAAAATAAAAATTTATGATGAGAGAGATTTGAATTGAAATTAAAATAAAAAATTAAAAAGGGGAATAATTCTTTCTCAAAATTTAAATTAAAAAAAAACAAACATACATTCTTTCTGGGAAGAAGCAATTTTATTAAAAAGCCCGCTTCCTTGTCTCATTGGTGAAAGAATCGGGGGAGGTGTATATGGCTTAAATGGAGGTAGAGTCCCAGAAGGAGTTGTTGGATTTAAAGAATCAGAAGAATAACGGCAAGGGGAGCGTAGTTGGGAATTAAAACGGCGAAGTGAGGGAGTTGTTAATGAAGTTTTGAAATTATTTTTATTAAAATTATTTTCTGTTTGTCGGCCATTTCCGTTTGTTGGTGGCAAAACAATTGACTAAAAAAATACTTCATTTAATATTTTTATAAAAATATGTACTTTTGTTCTTCTATAATCTTGTTGTTTATTTATTCCAAAATTATTTGAATTATCTATTAAATTATTATTTTGTTGTGTTGAAGGAGAAGGAACACAAAATATAGCTGTTGAATGTGATCGAATAATGTTATTATTTGGTGGATGTTTTTGTTGTTGGATTATTCCATCATTTAAATTTTGTGGCAAATAATTATTTGGTTGGTTGTGGTGATGAGGATGGTGTTGATATGTTTGATGATCATTGCTTTAATTAAATATAAATAGTACATTCTGTTTTAAAATTATAGTAATATTTAAGGTATCACGACTTACATTTGCGCCGCCATATCTAAAAAATAACTGCTGGACCTCATTATACTAGTGCACCCCTTAGATTTAAAAAATGGTACCCAGGAACTAAAGGAAGTTCAGCAAGTACAATAGGTAATTCTGGCTAGGGTTGATGGCCCCTTAAGATAAAAACGAAATCAGCAAGAAACGAATCACAGTTTCAACGAATCACCAGGGAGGATTATCAATTCGTGGGATAATTATAATGGGAGGAGGTTCAAATGCTTTTCAAAAAAAAATTTACAAATGAAGTGCTGGCATTGATTCTTTTCTCATTGGCGGTATTTGCCAATATGTTTGTTGTTGCTGCCAATTATTATGTTGAAAATGTTGTTGTTGAAATTGTTGAGAATTTGGATGTTGATGAAAATTAAATTGTTGGTGTTGTTGTTCAGACATTTGTTGTTGATTAATTGGTGAATTTAGTAAATTTAGGGAATTTTCGTTAAATGTTTGGGGTTGGGGTGAATGTTGAAAAGATGATTTTTGAGGATGTTGATATATTAATGCTGATTGTTGTTGTTGTTGTTGAATATTAGGGGTTGGGAAATAACTGAAAAATTGAAAGGAAATTTAAAAATAAATAAAATTAAATTTAAAAGAATTTTCTTAATGAATATTTGCCTAGGGTGTTACGAAAATTTTTAAAGGCAAGGAAAATTATTTTATATTTATTATACCGAAGGCAATGAAAATTAATTTTTAATTTATTGTTAGAGGAACCAGATCCGGGCCAATTACTCAACCAAGCTATTAATTTTATTTTAAAACCCAAAAATTAACTACTTCCAATTATTTCCAATAATTTAAAATATAATTTAATAAAAAGTTAAAAATCGATTATTCTGGCAAAAATTGAGAGAGAAATTCAGACAAGACAAATGTCATTATTTCTTCCTTTTTCTCTCTCTCCCAACTCAGTTTTTTAGGGCCAAAAATATTTTTACAACAAATATAAAAGATAAACTGATATATACTTCTAGAAGAATTACATATTAGGAAAAAAAATTAGAATAAAGTATGCACATATATTAAAAAAATAAATATAAATTAAAGAAAAGATTATAATTTTTAATAATTTTATAATATAAAAAATATTTAATTTATTTTGTTTAATAAATTTACATTGTTTATATTTAAATTAAAAAAACAAAAACATTTTTCCTTAAAAATTAAAAACAACAAAGTCTTTTCTTTTTTAAATAATTTAATCTTTTTAAGCTCAAAAGGTTTATTTGATGTTGTAAATGTATATTTATTTATTTATTTGAAAAAAAAGATTTTTTTCTTATTAGTTAATATATATTTTATTATTTTGTTCGCCATTTTTAATGCAAAATATTTCGAAAAAAGAGAAAAATACAAAAAATATATGTATTTCTATTCTCTATTTTCAACTTTTGGCACCAACCGGCGGAGGAAGGTAGGCAGTAAGTAAGTAAGAGTGTTCCTTCCACGTCCTCAAGAGTTGTTTAAATTTACCTATATTTCTCTCTTTCTGTTTTTTTCTCTATTTTTGTGTTAAATATAAACGAGAAATTTTGTTTTTAGACCAAAAATAAATTTCCGATAAAAAAAGAAAGAAAAAAATATTTAGGTAAAAAGAATTTAAAAAGTAAAAAAAATTCGTGAGAAAAAATGACTGAAATTTTGTATATAATACCTAAATAATTATAACAAATTTAGAAATGGTTTATAAAATTTAATTTTTAAAAAATTAAATTTTTTTGTTTTTAGTTAAACAATTTTTTAATTAAAAAAAATTTTTTTATACAATGAAGAGAGAGAGAAAAGGAAGGGGAAGGAGAGAGTGTTGCAAGAAACACAAGAGAAGGAAGACTAGCAAGTGGCATTGAAATCGATTGGGGCTGGCAATAATGAAAAGAATATATTAGAAAGGAAGGAAGGGAGGAGGGGGGAGGGGGGGAACACAGAAATGCTTGAAATTTATTTTAAAAAATATTTGTTTTTGTTTAATTTACAGAGTGCGGTAAATTGGCGGCCGCTTTTGTTTTGGCTATAACTTTTTTTGTTTCAAACGAAAATCAGAAATTCTTTTTTTACTGGATTCCCGACACTTTAGAAAATTTTTTGATATCGAATACTCAAAATTTTGTTTCTGATAGGAAAGAGAAACGAGCCAGAATATCTGGAAAATTTAAAAACATTTTTCATGCCAAAGTTGATCCTTACCGATTTTTATACAAAATTTTTTGTTTTTTTGTCATTAAACATTAAATATTATCCATTTATAAACCTATTATTCAATTGGTATTTAGCAGATGGTATATAAATATATAATAATTACCAATTCTGATACATATTCACACACAAAAAATATTTTATTTTTATTTCAACAAAAAATAAATTTTTCTCAATTCTTAACTATGGCACAACTAAATTTTAAATATTTTTTTCTTCAATTTTTATTAGACAATACTACATAGATATGTAGCTGATTTAAATAAGAGATACATATTGAAGATTTAATCGAAACATTTCTTTTTCCCAAAGAAGAAGGGGTATTTTTATAATTTTAAAGTAAAAAAATAAAAGAAAATAACAATTCAAAATAAAAGATTTCCGATTAAAAAGGAGGAAAGGGGAGAGTATATAAAGGGTTTGATAATTTTTAAAGTTTTTTTTTGAAATACATTTATTTATTACCTTTGTTGATGTTGAATATGTTGATTAAATGGTTGTTGACAATTATTTATTTGTTTTGAATAATTGTTGTTATTTATTTGTTGTTGTTGTTCATTTAATTGCATTGGAATTATTTGTTCAAATTCATCACTAATTTTTTGTTGGGAAGAATTAGTATTTAAAAAATTCATTTTCTTCTTCCTTGTTTAACTCCTTTAAAAAAGGGCTTAAAAATAAAAATAAGGAAATTAAAAATTAAATATTTAAAAAAATAAAATCGATGAAGACAAAAAATTATTATTAAATTTTATATAAATATTAACATATTTTAAATAAATAATTTTTATTTATATTTTACATAATTAAATATTTAAATTTAAAAAATAATTTAAATTAATTATTGAAGACATTTTTTAAAATAAATTACAAGTTGAATAAATAAATAAATAAATATTTTTGGAAGAAATTTAATTTAAATTTACAAGCAAAATTTGGAAATTTAATTTAAAAATAAATTGATTATTAAATTAAATTAAAAATAAAAATATTTTGAGAAATTCGCTAAATATAATTAAATGGAAAATGATAATAATCGGTCATATTTAGTAGAACAACAATTTTTAGGTTAAAAATAAATATATTTAAATATATGTAAATATTGGACAGATAAAAGAAGATATTAAATTAAAAATAAATGATATAATATGTATATCATTTATTTATAAAATTAAAAATATATTTTTATTTATTTCCTGCTTTCTAAAAGAAAAATAAATATAAAAAATATGTAATAAATACATAAATATATTAAATAATAATACCAATAAAAATAATTTTTGTTTTAGTAAAAAATGAAAACAAAAAATAATAAAATAAATATTTAAATAAAGTAAAATTAAAAAATTAATTATTTTAAATTGATGAGCTATAAAATAATTATTTTAATTAATGCGGTATTTACTCAAATAATTACCCCCTTCTTATTAAATACCTTCTTACCCAGTATTCAAATACATAAATGAGGTAAATAAAATTAACAAAAAAAAGAATCAATATTTTGGGACAATTAAAGTAAACTTTAAAAACTGCAGGAAATAAAAAAAAGAAAAAAAAATTTAAAAAGGTTTTGAGGGGAAATACATACAAATATTTAGATACAAAATACCCTTAACTAATTTAAAAAAAGACAAGAGAGAGAATTCTTGGAATATATAAACAAAAAAACGTAAAAAGACTAGACCGAAAAACTAAGAATAGTAGTTGTTTGGGGCCAAGGAAGGTTTTTAAACTTCAAACATTTTTAGAGAAATTGTGGGAGAGGAGAAAGAAGAAAAGAAGAAAAAAGAGATGTTTGTTGGTCTATTAAAATATATAAATACAGTACTGCACAAAAGTATAAGAACACTTTCTAAAAGCTTATAACTTGGGACATACTTGACCAAATTTTAGGAAATTTTGTGTATATATGTGGATTATAAAGAGAAACACGATTAAATAATTAAAATTTTAAAATTTTTAAAACATCTCTCCAAAACTTAGTATTATTAAAATTTCGCGTTTTTTTCACTGCACAAAAGTATAAGAACACTTTATAAAAAAGATACTTCCAAGATTGGGAAAAATTTACAAAAATTCTAGTAAGCATACATAATGATATTATGAAAAAATAAAAAAGAACTAGACTCATATCTTTACCCGCAGCCGAGATCCCGAGACCCCGAAAATCAACGTAAAACGGGGGTAAGGCTCTTTAAAAAAATTTTTCGACACCTTACTAATTATTTTCAATTTTGATTTTGGGCTCATTCGAAAGCCCTTGAAATTTGCTACAAGATAGCAACAATCTTATTTTTAAGAAAAAATTTTAGAGAGAGGTACATGCATTCAAACTTCGAAAGCGACCTTAAGGGGAATTTTATGGGGCATTAAGGCGTTTTTTTCTGCATAAGAAGTTTAATGCCTGCTTCTTTCTCTAAAATTTTTCCTGAAAAATAAGATTGTTGCTATCTTGTAGCAAATTTTAAAGGCTTTCGAATGAGCCCAAAATCAAAATTTACCGTAATCCATAAGGGGTCGAAAATATTTTTTAAAGCTGAAAAACCCTGTTTTACGTTGATTTTCGGGGTCTCGGGATCTCGGCTCCGGGTAAAGATATGAGTCTAGTTCTTTTTTATTTTTTCATAATATCATTATGTATGCTTACTAGAATTTTTGTAAATTTTTCCTAATCTTGGAAGTATCTTTTTTATAAAGTGTTCTTATACTTTTGTGCAGTGAAAAAAACGCGAAATTTTAATAATACTAAGTTTTGGGGAGATGTTTTAAAAATTTTAAAATTTTAATTATTTAATCGTGTTTCTCTTTATAATCCACATATATACACAAAATTTCCTAAAATTTGGTCAAGTATGTCCCAAGTTATAAGCTTTTTGAAAGTGTTCTTATACTTTTGTGCAGTACTGTATTACCTAAAATAAATATTTTTTTAAAATGTTTTGTTTGTTTGTTGTTATAAAATATACATATAGATGTGAAAATAAAGAAAAAAATACAAGAAAATATAAATATTGAGAGAAGAAATCGAGAACAGAAAAGATGTACAAAAATTGTTTTTTTATTTTTAACAATTATGTAGATAATTAAAAATAAACAATAATATGTAATTACAAAAAAAAGTTTTAATATTTTTAAAAAGAATTTTTGTAAAGTTTTTTTATTTAATAAAAGTTTAAATTTACTAAAGAGAAAAGAATATATGTACATATTTTTAAATTAGTTTTGTTGGCAAGACTAAATATTAAAAAATTATTGAAAAATAATTTTTATAAAAAAAGCCAGTCAATATATTAAAAAGAAAATTAATTCTTTTTTCAATTTTTACTTAATCTCTAATAAATTTATTTATTAAAGCTCTTGTGTGTTAGAGACAAATTGGCATAGCGCGGTTATGTAAAAATTAAAAGGAAAGGGATTGAAAATTTTAAAAAGAAAAAAAATTGTTAGTTAAAACAAAAAATGTTCGCATTTTCCTTATGGTGAAGGAATTAAGCTAAAATAAATTTTTTGTTTAATTTATAGTGACGCTCGCGGCATTAAAAAATTATTCGAGAAGAGAAAACTTGAAAAGAAAGAAAATAGAAAAAAATTAATATATGTAGGTATGCATATTTTTCTCTAAATATTTGAATAAAAGAAAGTATGTAGATAAGTTGGCACATTTAAGAGGCATATGTATGTAAGGTAAGGGGGATTTTATGTTTAATAGTTATTAAATAATAGAAATTTATTGAAAATTTAAATTAACAATTAAATAAACATTGTAATATATAGTAGCAGGATTAACTATTTCGATTTTTTATTCAGTTCTTTCAGTTTTCGGGCTTTAATTTACGTTTCAGCAAATCCCTAGTGTTTATAAATTTCATATCTGCTCATACTCGTATTTCGTAACAAAGTACGAGTACGAATTTTGATACAAGCTTATAAACACTGCACAACCCTTATTATTAGGCACTCTTAATTTTTTGAAAATTGAAATTTTATTTTTAATTACCTCTAAAAATAATTTTAAAAAGTATAAAAAATATTTTTATAATTTTTAAAAAATCAGATAAAATGGAATATTTAGAAAAGTCAAGCCTTTGTATCACAAGGGTTAATTTACGAATAAAATAAGCCTGGAAAATAAATACTTAATATGTATGTATGTATATAAATTTAAAATTACATATATTTTTGTTAAATAAAGAATTAAAGGATTATTAATTTTATTTAAAAATAATAAATATATTTTTTTAATTTTTTAAATAAATTACGAAAAGAAACAAAAACAAAGAAAAAATATTTTTCCTACCTTTAAAATTAAAAAAATATTTATTTTATTTTTCAAATAAAAAATTAAAGAATGTTGTTATGGATATATATACTCTTTAAATATTTATTTTTGTATATTTTAAAAATAATTTTTTTAATAATTTTTTACGGTAAATTTCCGGTTTTCTTTTAACTATTATTTTATGTACTTTTATTTTTCTTTGATAAATTTCAGAAAAAAAATTAAATTATTTTTAAAAATAGAATAAATAAAATTATTTAAATTAATAAAAAAATAAATAAAATTTATTTTTTAAAGTTTTGGAATTAAAAATTAATTAAAAATTAATATACATTTATTTTTATTTCTCCGGATTTCAACCAGTTCCGCTGGAGTTCACTTCCAATTACTTCGGTAGTCGGGATTATTTTAAAAAAATACTTGTGAAAGTAACCAATAGAATTAGAAAATATTACAAAATGAGGAATTGTGGAGCGAAAACACGAAAAATTTCTCATGGGATCTCGATCTACAAATATCTGGAACCGAACCAAAAAATCCTCGATTCTTCGGTTCCGAACTAACAACCCTACTTCGATTAATATATTAATTAACTATTAATATGTATATTGATTTTATTCAGTTTTTTTGCTTTTGATTTTAAAAGATAATTTTCTGTATGCCGTTTCCATACAAAAACACTTGGTTTTTTGCAGTTTTTAAAAAAGACAATCCTTTAACCCTTTTTATCAGTGGCAATCCATTTATGGACAATCATAGAATGGGTAATTCTCATTTAACCCTTTTTGGCCGTGACGATTCTTTAATTGAGCTATCCTTTAAAAGGCAATCCTTTGTATAGGTGTACAGCAAGTTTACTCCTCCCTCTTTTAGACAATCAATATATAAACTGATTATTTTTGTTAAAAAAGGTCATTTTATTTTTAGTTTTGTTTTGTAATGTGTTTAACCTCTCCTTGTAATTAATCTCCCTTTCCCTCTTTTATTTTTTATTTTTAAAGAATAAATGACCGAAGGCTGTTCAGATTGCAAATATTATTTAACTAAATTAAAAGATAAAGAAGAATATATAGAATATCTCGGTGAAGAAGACTTAAAAAGAGGAAATTTATTATATTCTCTTGTTTGTTTTTCTTTTGATTTTTCTATAAATATTTAAAATTTTTAGGAACAAGAGGTTAAAAAACAAGTAGAATCAATTAATTTATTAACCGAGAAAAAATCAGAAATTGGACATATTGTTAATTCTTTTGAATCAAAATTTGAAAAAGAAAATTTAAATATTTCTAATATTCCAAAAATATTTCAAAATTTAGTTTCTTTTTACGAAGAAATTTATTTTTCGTCATTTAAAGAAATGACACAAGGTAGGTACATTAATTCAAAGGGATGTGCAGAAACTGATTTTAAAAGGGGGAAAATTAAAAAAGAAGCGAAAAACTTTTAATTTTTTTTTATTAAAATTAAAAATTTAATCCTTTTTTTAAATAAAAACATTTTTACCTAATAGTTGAGGGGGAATATAATCAGAAATTAAAATATTTTGATTTTTCTTTTAAATATTTTTTTAGCCAACAAAACTTTTATTCATTTGTGTAAAATTTTAAACAAATTTCCTGTTTTTCAAAATAATTATGTAAGTTTACTTTTGTTTTTTTAAATTTAAAAATTAATTTTTTAGACTTATAATCAACAAAATATCCAATCAACTTCTCATTTAACTCCTCTAAAAATAAATAATTATTATTCACCACTCCCAAAAATTTTTCCAAAAAATAATGAGGGTATATTTAGTAATTGGTCTGATAAATATAATAATTATATTAAAAAAGAAGGAATTAATTTATTTAAAGAAGAAAAAAATGTTAAAATTGAAAATGAAGGAGAGGAAGAAAAAGAAGCAAATTTTGTTTATCCAAATAATGAATTGAATAAATATAAAGAAGATTTTGATAAAAATGAAGATAATTTAAAATATGAAAATTTGAAAGAAAATACTTTAATTATTGAATGGATGGAGATATTTGGGGATGAAAATTTGTTTAAGGAAGAAAAAGGAGGAGAGAATAGAAATAAAATTATTTTAAAAGAAGAAGAGGAAGAAGAGAATGATTTTGAGTTTGTTGAAATTAAACAAGAAGAGGTTATTAATGAAGAAATTTCGAATAATAATTGGATTAAAAGGTAAAAGGAGATTTGAAGGGGGATTTAAATTTAAATTAATTTTAATTTTCAGATTTTTAAAAATTATTTTCATTTTGGTTATTCTTTTTTGTTTTTTACTGCCAAATGTTCTTTCTTTTTGCGGATTTGATATTATTGATAATGAAAATGGACAAATTTTCCCTGCATTTTATTTTCCAATAATTGATGTTGAATTTAGTGAATTTTAATTTTTTTTGGAAATTTTTTAAATTTAATTTTTATTGTTTCCACATTTTTTAAATATATTGTATAATAAAAGATATTCTTTTTTGATGATTTAAATAATTTTTAAGAATTAATTTATCTAAAAACAATACAAATATTTACAAATAATTTACAAAAAAATATATATATATTTAAATTTATACAAATATTACACAAAAAATCACTAATTATATTTTTAATTTTGAGCAATCACAACATTAAATATATACCCATTTTTTCAAAAATATTTTTTTCTTTTTTTAAGCCATTAATTCCCCTCCCCCTTCCCCATCATTCATTAAAGGAATACATTCATCTTCATTTTGTACCAAAACCCTCATTTTATTTAAAATTGTTTGTTGTTGTTGTTGTTGACTTTTTTGTAAGCAAGGGGAAGACAAAGAATTAGTTAAACCTAAATTCGATTCAAACCCACTAATAATTATTGAATTATTTAAAGTTTTTTGTTTTTTTGTTGTTGAATTGTCTATTGAAGGATGGGTTTTTAGAAATAAATTATTTGGATGTTGTTGTTGTTGGGGAGGAATTGAATTTTGGTGATTAGTAGTAGATGATGAAACTGAAAAAGAAAATTATTTTTTAAAAATAAATATGTCGTTCCCTTCTTAATATTTTTTTAAATTAACACAAATTTTTATTTTCTTTGAATGTTTATTTGGGGGATTTGGAGTGAATAAAAGGGGGGGGGGATATTGGTGGTGCCCTCTGATATTCTTCCTAATCCATTTATATCCCCCTTAATCCCTCCTAATCCAAATTTTTGTTAATCAAGAAAGTGTGGGGGGGGGAGGATTTAGGTTTAGGTTTTATCCCAAATTAAATTAATATTTTTTTTCAATTTAAACAACACCTTTTCTACAATTATTTAAAGGTACACGTAATTGTGTTCCTGTAGATATTTTTCTGTCATTATTTGGGGGAAATAATTGATTATTTGGATATATTTGTTGTTGTTGGATATTTGAAGTATTTAAAACTGTTTGTTGTAATTCTGTTATTCTTTGAGTTAAGATTTCTTTAAAAAAGAGAATTAAAATAAAAATTTTTTATTTAATTACCAATCATTCCAACAAATTGATCTTGTGTTCTATGCATTTCCCAAAGTGTTTCGTGCATTTCTGTATGTAACTAAAAAATAATAATAATTTATTTTTTTAATTTTTTAATACTTTTCCAACATCCAATAAAGAATTCCCCCTTTCTTGTAATTTTCTTTGATCCCATTTAATTCTTCTAAATTCATTTATTGCATTTAAAAATCTTTAAAAAACAATTTTTTAATTAAAAAATATTTTTTAATTTATTTACTTTCTTTGATGTTGTCTTAATCTAATTTCATCCCCTTTATGTCCATTTCTTTGTTGATATTTATGTATAAACCTTTATAAAAATTAAAAGAAAAATATTTTTCTTCAAAAAACCAAGTATGTTGTAGAACAGAAGCGGCAGCATTTTTCCGAGCATTTGTTAATTTAGAATCTGCCATAAAATTGTTTACGTGTTTTTCTGCACGGGAAAGTTCCAATTTTCGAGAAATAACGGCAATTAATGCTGAAGAGACCCCCGCCCCCTAAAAAATTTAAAATAAAAAAGAGCAACAATCCCTCTCTAAAAACTGACAACAATCCCTGTAGTAATTGAAAGTAAACGGCCACAATAACTTGTTGGGACAACATCTCCATAACCAATAGACATAAAAGTAACCATAATAAACCAAAGAGAATTCATATAATAATATTCAGTACTTGCTTCTCTTCCATTATAACGTTCACATTGAGTAAACTTTAAAGAGATTTTAGATAAATTTTAAATTTTTCTAACCATCCAAGACATACACATCCAATAGCAACAAGTAAAAATAACTAAAACAGTCATTGGGTGGTCAGCCTAAAATTTAAAAATATTTTTTTAACAAGACAAAACAAACCATCATTGTTTTAATTACAAAACGAAAATCCATTGATATTCGATTTAATGCTTAAAAATAAAAGGATTTATTTAAAGGTTAATAATTTTATAAAAATTTTTATTTTTTACCAACCAGCAATTGAACGAGTAGCAGCATCCTTAAAAGAAAATTTTTTTCAAAAATATTTTCCAAAAAATTTACCTGGAATTGTCTAGAGTGTAATACCATAAAACGGCAAAGCAAATAAGCACGTAAAAACATAGGGACGGCCAACAAAACATCCAAAGGGACAGAAACTTTTGTAAAACTGTGCTCATCTGCAGAAATATAAGGCCAAGAAATAGTGCCACTTCCCGGGAACGGACAGATTGCACAAATAAATATTTCGATAAATCTTTAATTTAAAATATATTTTTTCTTCTAATTATTTATTTACAATTTAATTATTCTGTCAGTCGTTACAGCTACACGCCAATCTCTTTAAATTTTAAAATTAAAAAAAAATAAAGGGGGAAAATTATTAACTCAGCCCCGCTATCAATTAAAGCAATTTTAACTTCTGTTCGGTGATAATTAACTAAAGAAGCAATTAATAAAAGTGTAGAAGCAACACATGCTGAACGTAAAAATAATGAAGGAAGGGAATTTTTTGAAACAATTTTTAAAGCTGTTAATTCTAAAAATTAATTTTTATTTTATTTTTAAATCTTTTTCTTGCCTTGATCTAAAACAACAAAAAATAATCCAATTATAGCAAGAGCCAAAGACAAATCACAGATTTTATTTCTTTTTAAAAAATATAATTTACGCAATTTACAACGCATTTTTGCTTGACTTTCACTTAAAAATTTAAAAGAAAAATTAAAAAGAAAATAAAAAAAGGAAGGAGGAAAACCCCTCAAAAATATTTTCTTTTTCAAGAAATCCGAGCCTTTTATTGCCAAAATATTCCCAAACATTTTCTTATTTTTGTTTTGTTCTTTTTATATTTTAATTGTTCGAATAAAATAAGAGAAATTTTAAAAAATTCTAGGTATTTACATATATTTACAATCCCGACCCCAAAAGTTCAAAAACATTTTTCTAAAATATTATTTCCCCAACGTAACTAATTTAATAATTGAAAAAGTTAGAATAATAGGGATTTGTATTGTTAGATAAGGAAGGGTAGACTGATAAAAAACATATGGAGAAGGGGAGGGCAGATCGAGTATTGAATTTAATTTTTAAAGATTTTGTCAAACATTTAAAAAACTCGATTATTCGACCAATTCCAAGTATAAACACCCCCTTCCCCTAATTTATTCCTTAAATCAAGAACAATTAAATTACTCAAATTTAAATTTAAAATTTTTTGAGAAAATTAAAATTTGTTTTAGCCTTTTATCAATAAGGAAGTAAAAAGAAAACTAAAGAAAAAACTTTAAATAAAAATTTGTGATTGCCTCAATTTTAAATGCCAAATGGGAGAAAAAGGTTGGTTAATTGACTAAAAATACGTTAATGTTTATAAAAGGAAATATGCCCACAAAAATGGTCTTTTTTTGTTAAAAATTTCAAGAAAAAATTAATAAAATATATTTTTGTTTCTTTTTTTAAGCAAAAAGAAAAGAAAATTCTAAAAAAATTTTTTTAATTTAGAAAAAAATTTTTTTGGGAAATATTTATAAAAATATTTTAAAAAATTTTCTCCCAAAGATAAAAATAAATGATTAAAAATTATAAATAAATTAATTAAATATTTGAATTATTATTTCAATTCTAATTTGACCAGAAAGATTTCTTATTTCTCCAGTCCTTCCCTATCCCCAATAAATATCCACTAAAGGAGGGTTTGAGAAGTTTTTTCTAAAAAACACCCCAACTAAAAAAATAAAATATTTAAAAAGAAAAATAATATTGTGGCTTTAAATATTCTTCTCAAGATTTTATGAATAATTTATTTTTTCCGGAAATTGATCTCTTTTCTTCTCAATTTTCTTAAAATATGAATGTCTTGGAGGTAAAAAATAAATTAAAAGTAAATAAATACCAATTATTTTTTACAATATTAAAAACAATTTTCTAATTTTATTTTTTTAACAGAATTTTAGAAAAAAATATTATTTTTTAAATAAAATTATTTTTAAAAAATTAGTATTTTCCCTTTTTTACATAACAACCAATAATATTAAAATAAAATTATTATTAAATTTAACAAAAAGAAAATATTTTCCCAAAACTATATTTTCTTTATTTTTTTTGTTAATTTTCTCACCTTTTCACACACACAAATAAATACCAAAATTATTTTTATTTTTCTCAAAAATTAATTTTTTAAAAAAATGTCAAAGAAAAGAAAAAAACTTAAAAAAACAAACGTTGTTATGGAGATACCATAACCAGACTGTCTTCTCCTCAAAATTTGTTGTTGTTTTTGTTGTAATAATAAAAGATTTGTTTGTTGTTGGGGGTCGGCTAAATTCGAATTTTTATTTAAAATTTCTTCTTCAATTGTTGGACTCCATTCTAAGGATTTTGGAAGATTTAATTCTGTAGTAGTTGATAATAAATAATTATTATTATTTCCTTCACAAACACCGCCGGAAGAATTAACCAAAATTGAGGAAGGCGGCTGTGTGAGGTCGCCGTTACATCTTTCCTCTTTAAATTAAATTATTAAATAATTTTCTCTTTAAAAAAATTTAATTATAAATTGAGAGTGAAATAAATAATAAGTTTTTTATTAAATTAAATAAAAATATTTTTTAAAAAATTAAATAATTTAAGATTTTTTTTCAAAATATAATTATTAATTTTAAGAGAAAAAACTTTAAAATAAAAAATATCCCCTCATCTACTCCTAATTAAACTCCCCCCCCTCCTCTTCTAAATTTCACCCCCTCACCCTCCCAAAAAACCTGTCGAAGAAAAAAAGCTTCCACTATTACGTGAAGAGGGTCTTGGATGTGTTCCAGAACTAGAACAATTCCTCTTTTGTTGATACTGACTAAATAACCGCCTTCTTTGTCTCAACAAACTATGCCCTCTAGAAAGGGGTGAAGAGAATGTTGAAGGTAAATTGTTTGTTTTTAATTTATTTTCTTCACAAAAACATTTATAAAAATTAGCTGTAGGGCATTCTTGCTGGTTATTCTGTTGTTGACAACATTCAATAACAGCAGCAGATCTAAACAATTGTTTTTGATATCTTTGATGCCTCAAAGCTGCCTCAGCTAAATCTGCAATACTAAATCTTCTAATTACTTCTTCGTCTCCCTCCTCTTCCTCTCCATCTTTTTCATTTTGTTTTTTATTTTTAATTATTTTATCACTTAATTTAGCTGTTAATTTAGGCTTCCTTTGTTGGGTGATATTTGTTGATAAAAATGGAAAAAATGTTTTTTGATTTAAAGAAATTGATTGAGATAATAGATTTTTGTTTTCTAAAAATAATTTTGGAGAAGAAAAGGGGACTGTATATTGCCGGTTTTTAATTGAGGATGTTGATGGTTGGGGTGGTGGGGGTGGTGGGGAATTAGTTGTTGTTTTAGTTGTTGTCATTAATTGAAGATTTTCATTTAATTTATAAGAAATATCCAACATATAAAATTAAAAGGATTTTTTAGAAAAATATTAAAGAAATAAATAGGAAGAATGTGACAAATTAAAGATTTAATTTTAATTTAAAAATAATATATTAATACAAATTCTCCCCCTTTTTTTCTTTAAAGTACAAGGAAATTTAAAATAAAAAAATTTTTGGTTATTTTTTTAATTTTAATTACTTTAATTATTTAATTAATAAAATATGAAGAGAGAATTTAATTAAAAATAATTTTCTTTTAAATAAAAAAAATTTTTAAATCTGTCAATAATCATAAAAACTTTTAAATAATGATGACAGCTTTTAAATATATATATTCTTTCCAGACATTTGTTTTAATTTTTTGGAAGTTTAAAAAGTCAAAACTTTTGTTGTTAAAAAAGGAGGAAGTGAAGGGGGAAGGGATGGATATTAAATAAAAATAATTATTTAAAAATATTAAATAAATTAATTAAAAAATAAATAATTTTACAAAATTATTTATTCAAAAAATAATTTTAAGAAGACAAAAATTGAAAAAAGAGAAATACTTACATAAATATATTCGCGCGCCCTTTGGTTAGAGGGTTTTGGCATTTAAAAAATATTTTCTTTTAATAAGCATCTTTTTTCGATTTTTTGTGTGTGCTTATAAATATTTAAAAATTTATTTAGAGAAGATTAAATATATGTAGATATACTTATTTTCTTTTTATTTTCTACTGTCTCCCGTTGCTAGACAAAAATATATGGTAAAAATAAAAAATGAAAGAAGCCTAAATAGTAGTAAGAAGTACTTTTTTTGGAAATAAAATAAATTTTGGCTTCATTCCCCATTTATTTTTAACCAAAAAAGAAATCCCTAAAATAAATAAAAATATTAATTAAGAGATAAAAATGTTTCTAATTTTCTTTTTAAATAAAAGGGCTTCCCGTTTGGAGGAAAAAGTAAGGGAAGAAGCCTTTTAAATAACAAAATTTATATATATATATATATATAATTTTCTCTTTCCTATATATTCAATAATCCTAAATTTATTTAATTTTAATAATTATACATATATTTAATAATTTTTTATGAAAAAAATTTTTAAAGGTGAAATTAAAAAATTAATTTTTTAAAAATATTTTTATGTAAATATTTAATACATTATTTATTTCACTCACTCTCTTTCTCACAAAATTAATTTCAAATAAAAATATTTTCCCTTACCTAAACTTTGTTGTTGACTAATTGCCCCCCTCGGAGTTGCTGATTTTCCTGCCGTCAATGTTTGGCAAGTATCCCCAGGCACAGAATCCCTTCTACTTTTAGGTGTTGAAAGCAAAGATTTAAATTGTTGAGAGTAACCCTGAGCTCTCAAAATGTCTGAAGAAACCTTTAAAAATTAAAAAAAAATTTTGGAATATTTATTTATTTATTTTTAAATACCTTATTTTTAATTAAATTAATTCCAAATAAATTATTAAATGATTTATTTTTCATTTAATTTATTCCTTATTTTTATTTAAAAAAGTTTTTTATAAAAATTTTAAAAAAGATATATTTTAAATGGTGATTGGTCTTTTTGTTTGTTTAATATTTATTAGAGTAACAAAAACGGAAATAAACGATTATCTTAAAATGGAAAATAAATAAAAATAATATTTTTTAACTAAAATAATGAACGATTAAAAAAATATTTTTTGAGAAATTTCAAATAAATTTATGCAGAAAATTTTATAAATTTTTTTAGATATTTTTGTTAAATTAAATAAAAGTAAAATAACAAAAATATCAAACTTAACAAAAATATCTGAAAAAAATTTATAAAATTTTCTGCATAAATTTATTTAAAATTTCTCAAAAAAATATTTTTTTAATCGTTCATTATTTTAGTTAAAAAATACAGAAATTATTAAAAATATATTATTAATAATTAAATATACAATCCCTAATTAGAGACTAAATCGAGAGGAGATCTCGAACAAGATCGTTATTTTTAGAGATTTTAACGATCCTCCCAGTCCGGTTTCTACTCTGAATACCAACCAATTACTCTTTGCTTTCTTCAAAAACAAATTATTCAAAATCGAGGCCGACTATTTTTCAATCAAAAATATTTTATTTTTCCCTTACAAGATAAACAGAATTAGCTCGGCTTCGTCTATCATCCTTTCCATATCCTTCAGGTGAATAAATTAATAAAGCAGTTGCTGGTCTTTTACTAATTGTTGGTTGTTGTTGTTTAGTATTTATTTGTCGAGCAGAACAAGTTCTCAAAATATTATTATTTTTGATTTCATTATTTCCTTCTTCTTCAATTTCTTCTACTTCATCAGATTTAAAAAGACAAGAACTAATTGATGGTCTAATTAATGGATCTGTTTCTAATGAAAGTTGGTGTGGGGAACGTTTTTGGCGTTTTTGTACTCGAAAAGTTGTGGAAGGGTTGGAGGGGGATTTGGTGGAAGTAGGTGATGGAGGACGAAGTAACATTTTTTTGTTTTTTTAAATTAATTGATTTGTAGGTAATCCTTTTTTAATTAATTTTAAAATTAAATAGAAAAATAATTTTAGGAAGTAAAACAAAAAATAAACAAAAAAAAAAATTTTTAAAAAGCATTTCAACACGTGGATATGTAGAGGTGGGTAATTGTTATGAATATATGTATGTACATCCATTACCGGTGTTGCGAAAAAAGGATATTTATTTATATGGGAATGAATGGAGTGGAAAATTGGTTTAATTTAGAAAAAAATGAAAATTTTGAGAAAAGTTAAAAAATGGAAGAAGAATAAAAAAAGAAAATAAAGTAAAAGCTAAATATTAAATATTTGTAGAAAATTAAAATATCTTCAGATCAAAACAATCTATTGTTCAGAAATATACAAATAAAATAGATATATTTCTTTAAATGGGTAAATCTCTTTATTTGGGAGGTAATTGGAGAAAGCTATTTAAATATACCCTAATTTCTTGTTAATAATTTTATGTCATTTCTTAAAACGTTTATTTATTTAATTTAGATTTTATACAAAATTAATTAAATTTTTGTCTTTTCCACAAACAAAAACCCTAAAATATCCAAAAATACTCTTTTTTTGGACAAAAATAAATTTATTGAATTTTTCTTTGAATAAATGACGCCAATAAAGGGGAACTAACTGCAAAAAATTAGTTTTTAAATAATTTGTTTTAAAGACAAAAAGCCGCAGATGTTTTGGCTTTTTCTCTTTTTTAAAATTAAATATATGTATTTCCACAAATAATCTGTAAAAGGATCCAAAAAAGAGAGTTTTAGAGAGGTAATTGGATAAAATAAAAAGGCGGAAACTGACACAGATTGCTTTAACTTTTTAGTATTTAAAAAAGAAGAGAAAATAAATTATTTAAAATAAAATTTTTTATTTTAAATTAATTAATTTAGAAAATTCTGAAATAAAAAATTTTGGAAAGTAAAAGGAATAGAAGATTTTGGAATTAATTTCTGCAATATCCAAATCGAAATAGTAATTTATATTAGGGTTAAATGATTGAAATGATATTCCGTTTTTGGCTGTCAGTTTCAGACTTCTGACGGTTTCCGAATCATTTTTAGACAGATGTGGCACTGAAAACTTTAAAAACTCTTAAATTTTTTAAAAATTTTATATCCGCAATCGTCGCATCCGCACTTGCGTATCCGCATCTGTCGTACCGCCGTACATACAGTATATATTTAAATAAATATTCTGATAAAAAAAGATCAAAAATTAAAATATAAAGAATAAAAAAAAGTAATAAATAATAGTAATAGAAACAAACAAGTAAAATACTCAAAAATGTATAAATATAAAATAAAACAATTGAAGAACAAAAATAACTTGAAAGGCAAGTGTTTGTCGGCATTTTTATATGCCGTGCCAATTTTATTGGAATACTAAATTGGGAAATAAATAAATAAATGATTGGGGATATTAAAATAAAGAGAAAAAAAAGAAATATTTTTTTTGTATTTTAATCTAATAATTATTTAAATTAAACGAGGAAAATAAAAAATTTTATTGAATATTAAAAGATAAAAAATAGGGTAGAAAAGTCAAAACATTTTGTGACAAATTAATCATTTCCGTTAAAGAACATTGACTTATCTGCCAATTAAGAATATTTAAAAACAAAAAAATATTTAATTGACAAAATAAATTTTTGAAAAGAAAATTAAAATATTTCCTCTTTCTAATTAATTCTCAATAGAATTATAACAAATATTTTATTTTAAATTTGATCGTTCGTGGGACTTTTATTTAAAAAATATTTTTTAATTAGTTTTTGTTTGTCTGACAATTTTTTGTTAAAATTAATTATTATTTTTATTTAAAAAAATATTTTAAAAGAAATTACCTGTGCAATGGGATTTAACCGGTAATTACTATTTGAATAATTCTCCTCGTGCCCATAAGATTCAATGCTGCATTTTGCACGAGGAAATGGTGCAAGCCAATCACAAGATTTGTTGTAACGATTTGACAAAGGTAGTCGATTTGAAGTACTTTAAATTATTTAAAAATAATTAAAGAATATTTAATTGTTTAGGGAATTTTTAAATTTAGAAAAAATATAAAAGGAAAAAACTCATTAAGGTATTTGTTGCAATTTCCGGGAAAAATAAAAATATTTATTTGATTTTTATAAAATTAATTAATTTTGCCTATTTCTTGGAGAAGTTACTCCAGCATAACCAATAGTTATGCCTTTTTGAAGTGTACGACCATTTGGTCCAATTGGTGGTGCCATTTATTTTTAAATAAATTTAAGAAAATAATATTTTGGAATTAATAAAGAAAATAACCGAAAAATATTATTTTAAAAAATTTTTTTAAATAAATATTTAATTTTATTTATTTATTTAAAAAGACTTCTTTCATTTAAATAAACATTTAAACACAAATCACCGCCTCTCTCTCTTTTTTTTGTCTCTATTCTTTTTTTTCATTAATTAATCGGTCGTTTAGCATTGGATATGTTCATTGTTAAGTCTCCCAGGGAAACCAAAAATTTAAATAAATAAAAAATATATTTATGTAAGTGTTTGTTTGTATGTTCAAAAAAAGAGAGTAAGGGAAAATAAAAGGTTTTCTTTTTATTTTTGGCCAAAAGAAGTAAGAGTTATTTATGTAAAAACAAATATTTGGAAGAATTTTTAGCTCAGATTTTGACCTTTTCCAAAATAATAAAAATTGAATTTTATATTATTTAATTTTTAATTAAAGTTCAATGACATCCAACGATAGAAATTAGCAACAAATACCTAGAGTGTTAATTAAACGTTTAAATGTCTAAATTTTGGAGAGTTTTTCAATAAATTTATTTTTTAATTAATTAAATATTTAAAGAATTTTTGGTCACAGAAGTAAGAGTTATTTAAAAACAAATATTTGGAAAAACAAAAAACTTTTTTAAATTATTCTTTACCTTAATTTATGTTGATAATAATGTTGATGATTATGTAGATGAGGATGCGGAATATTTTGAATATAATTCGATTTATTAAAATCATTTAAAGTTGTTGGATATTCAAAATAATTAGGTTCTTGTAAATATTGTTGCTGCTGTTGTTTTTGTTTAAAACGTTTGTTGTTTTGTTGGTATAAATGGATTTTTTGTTTGTTGTTATTTTGTGGTTGATTTAAAACAATACTCGATACAGACAATGCTGGCATATTATAAATTAATGGATATTTTGGTGTTGTTGTTAATTGTGGGGGTAATAATTCTTAATTAAAATATTATCTCGTTTTTTAAATGGTTTTTTTAAATATTCTTAGATTTTAGATATGTATTTATTTTTATTTATTTTTAATTTGATTAAAAAAATAAAGGAGTGTCAATAATTATATTAAATAAATTAAATATATTTAATTTTGTGACAATTTTAAGGAATTATTTAAACAAATAAATAATAACCTCCTTCTTCGTTTTCTCCTCCACTACGTAAATCAAAAAGTGAAGGAGAACGTCTTTCCTGTGATAAATTACTCGAAATAGGGGAAGGACTATGAACGTGTAAAGGTGGGGGAAAGGAATATTCTTGTTGTTTTTTTGTTGTTTCATTTGTAGTAGAAGATGTTAGGGAGAGACAACTGGATGAAAGCATTTTTTCTTAATTTTGAAGGAAAAAATAAAAATAAATTTATTTAAGCCTGAAAATAAATAAAAAGAAATAATTTTAAAAATTTTTTGAAATTTTTTTAAAATATAAAATTAAATTTTGACAAACCTTAAAAAATTTTTTTAAATAAAATTAAAAGAAATTAAAATTTATTTTTCTGCGAAAATTTTATTATCAACTAAAATATGTACAAATTTAGAATTAAATTTTAATTCAATTTTTAATAAAATATTTAAAAATTTTTTATTAATTTTTATGACGTTTTAGTTAATATTTAAAAATAGAAATAAAAGAAATTGTTAAGTTTTCTTAAATAAATAAAATTCCAAAAAAGAGGGTAATCTGATTCTCGGGCATTCTAAATAAAGCAAAAAGAAATGCGGCAAAAAAAGGTAAAAGAATAAAATAAAAACAAAAAAATTTTATTCATTTTTGCAGAAAATATTTAATATAAAAATAAAAGATTATTGGCCAAATTATGGGAAAATAAAGAAAAATTTAGAAAAAAAAGTATAAGAAAAAAAAAAGAAAATTTACAGACAAAAATGCCAAAAAATATTAAAATATATCCAAACAATAATTATTAGAAAATAATATTGTTGTGTTAATTTGGCTTTTTAATTAATTAATGAAGAGAATATCCCTCCCCCTCTCCTCCCCCCTTAATTTTAGCAACAATTATTTTTTCTTACTTTGTGATTATCTTTTCTTAATTTAATATCTTTCATAATTTAATATTTAATTTACTTGTCAAATCTTCTAGATTTGAAAAATATTTTTTATATTTATTAACCTTTGGCCGAAAAATAAAATTTGTCATCATTTATCTTCAAATATTTTTTGGCCCGCTCAAATTGGCCTATCCCCGCCCTTTTGTCCCCTTTTTGCTATTTTTCTATAAAATACAATTTTTTAATGTTTTTTATTCAGTTATTCAGTTTTCTCAGTTTTTGGATTTTTTGCAGTTAAAAATTAATTTGTCCTGTTTTTCCCCCTTTTTTTCGTGCATTTGTTTAATTATGGAAAGAACAATATTTTGTGTTTTGTTGTTTTAAAGATTTTTGTTGAGAAAATAAATTGTTGTTGAATTTTGCTTTTTGGTGAATTTTTTTTTTTGGAATTTAAGATTTCCCCCCTTTTTTTCCCAGTTTTAATTCCGGATACGAGATAGCTTCGTTTCCGAGACAGCTCAGCCGGTGAACCCTCACCGAGTAAAACCACTTTAAAAAAAAATAATAAATTTTTTTCCCTTATTATACTTCCCGCTTATTCCATTTTTTTCCTTTTTCGCTCTAAATCCATCTAATTAATTCATTTCTGCCTTTATTGAATTTTAATTTCTTCCAATAATACTTCTACATTTAACCGCTTAATTCTTATATTAACTATAATTAAGAATGTCCCAAGCCTTCCAGCGGCAATTAACCCAATCATGTACTGATGCGGAATTAATTTTGCAACAAAATAAACAATTTCCCATTCCCATAAAAGACCCTCTAAATTCCGAAAAACAATTCCAAAATTGCGTAGAAGCTACAATAAAATCCCTCGATATTGTCCAACAAAACTTAGCTGAGATCCTGGATGATCTTACAATTGCACATAATGGGTGGATGTCCCTAAGGGCTTCCATGACAGGAAACGAAAGAGCCCAAGACACTCCAATTTATGACAATTTCCAGCAGGATACTTCCTATATAAGAATTATGAATGAGCTAAAAAGGTACAACCGAACTTTACGTACTGCCCGTGCTAATTTAGAAGGAGCCCTCACGAAACCTACCTCTCAAGTGTCCCACTCTCATCTCCCTCGCATGGACCTACCCAAATTTTCCGGAAAGTGTACGGAATTCTTATCATTTTGGAACCAGTTTCAGGCCTCGGTAGGCGATATGTCAACCCTCTCAGAATCGATAAAACTGTCCTATTTGAAAACATGCCTTACTGGTGCCCCTCTTTCACTCATTGAACCGTTACCACTTACCGACCAATCATATACTGCCGCTGTTGATCTTTTGACCGAAAAATATGGTAATCCCGAGGAGATAGCCCGGAATTTGCATAAATCTCTCAAAACCCTTCCCCGTGTCCGAAAAGAAAATTTTTGTAAAGATTTAAACGATTTGGTTGATTCTTTTGAAGGTCTTTGTATCCAAATGGAACAACAAGGTACTAATGTGGACAGTCTTCATATTCAAATGGAAGTAGAGTCCAAGCTTCCTCCCTATCTCCTTGAGGAAATTTATAAAGAGAAGGAGTCATCCCACGACGCTTGGACCACAGACCACCTGAGAAAGAAGCTAAAATCCGTTCTGAAGCGAAAACAAGAAATAAATGCCATCCACTCTAATCCCCTTCCAAAACCTCCAATTATGTCAAAACCCACTTACCAACATCAACGAAATTCCTTTTCTCCTCCTCATGGCCCACAATCTTCTCTGACATTTGTTGCGCAAGGGAAAGCGCGTACCCCGACCCATCCCAATAATTCCAAGCCAATCTCTGCTTGTATTTTTTGTGGACAGAACGGGCATTCCTCCTCGTATTGCCGACAATTTCCCGATCCTAATTCTCGGTATGCCCGCCTAAAAGAATTAAAGAAATGTTTTCGCTGCCTGAAAGATGGCCACTTTGCTCGTGCATGTCAAAATCCTCAGAAATGTACGAATTGTTCCGGAATGCATCCCCGCTTACTATGTAATTCCCAAAATAATTCTTTTACAGAAAACAGACAGTTCCAGCCGAGAGTACCGTATAACTCAACCAATTATTCTCATGGTAGCTATCAACGACCAATGCCTTTATTTTCAAATTACCAACCAGTTAATCAGCCCGTATATGGAAATTACACCCCTATGGCAAACAATATTAATGAACCCGTAAATCAAACCGTTCCGACCGTAAACCCGGAAAATAACCCTGTCAATCCAGTAAATCCACCCCAAACAAATGTGTCCTCTGTTTCAGCACCCCGTGGCTCTATCTTATTAAAATGTGTTAGAGCTCACATATTTAACCCGAAAAATCCCTCGTTCTTTTCCCAAGTAATTGTGCTTTTGGACGATGCGAGCACAAACACGTACATTCATTTTGCTAAAGCTAAAGAGTTGCAATTACCGTTAACCCCCACTTCGATGAATTTAGGAGTTTTTAACAATCCCTACTCTATTAAAACAAGTTCGTTTCTGACCGAATTTGGAATACGTTTGGCCGATGGCCGTTCTCTTACATTAAAAGCTAATACACTCGATCACTTGACTCAGCCTACCCGTTACGTTCCCTTCTCCCCTTCATTACTTTCTTATTCGAATGAATTGATTTTCCAACCCGAAACTGTTGTTCCTGTTGTGTTATTGGGTTCAGATTTTTACTACGATATCGAACCGACCCCAATTATGAAATTGCCCTCCGGTTATACTCTCGTTCATACCTTGTTGGGCATAATCGTGGCCGGAAAACCTTATGATTTTGCTCCAAATAATTTTATTCGGCATACTAATTGTATTACCCAAGAAACTACAGTACCCCCATCTGATTTCTTTACCCTTGAAGGAATAGGAATTAATGATGAACCGACTCCCGTAAATTCCCAAAACGATACGGTATATGAAGAAACGATTAAAAATATTAATTATGTAAATGGACGATATGAAGTGAAATTACCCTTTAAATCTGATCCATCCAGTATACCCCTCCCTTCGAATTTTGGACTTTGTTTTGGAAGATTACGCTCAGTATACAATTCCCTTCAAAAAACCCCAGAATTATTAAACAAATATAATGACATTATCTCTGAGCAATCTCGCTTGGGCATTATTGAAAGCCCTCCAAACCCCAACTCTTACTCATATCCCCTTCATTATTTGGCACACCACCCCGTTGTCCAGCCAGAAAAGGGAAAGGTCAGAATTGTTTATGATGGATCAGCCCACACTGGAAAAACCCTCTCTTTGAATGACTGTTTACATCCCGGCCCCTCAATCGTTCCTGAGCTAGTTGGCCTACTTTTCCGCTTTCGTATACCCAAAATCGCTGTAATATGCGATATAGAGAAAGCTTTTTTACAAATATCTGTACACCCAAGCCATCGAGATGTGACCCGTTTTTTATGGCTAAAAGACATTAACCTTCCCCCCTCTCCTTCCAATATTAAAATCTTTCGGTTTGCCCGAGTGGCATTTGGATTAGCCCCTTCACCCTTTTTATTGGCTGCAACTATTCGTTCTCATTTATCCAAATATTCTTGCCCCTTATCCAAAGAAGTTGAGAATAATATTTATGTGGACAACATTTTAATCAGTGCCCAAACAACAACAGAAGGAAACGAGAAGTGTAAGTCTATTTCCCAAATATTTAAAGAAGCAAATATGAAAGTACGGGAATTCGCCTCTAATTCTTTAAAAGCCATTGAAATTGTACCAAAGGAAGACCAACTGCCCGGACATTCCCACAAATTCCTAGGTATCGGTTGGAATACCTTAAAGGACCTTTTGAGTATAAAGATACTTCGTCCATCTTTTAAATCCCCACCTTCTAAACGGTCGATCCTAGCTTTCACCGCCTCACATTACGACCCTCTGGGGTTGATCTCCCCTATTATATTACCCTTAAAAATTTTCCTTCAATCTCTTTGGAAAGAAAAGCTAAAGTGGGATGAGAAATTGAGCCCCGAGGCAGTAAAAGATTGGAATAAATTACAAAATAATTGGAAAGAAGAGGTGATTACCGTACCCCGGCGTTGCTTTTCCTCTGACACTCCCGGCCAGACCCACGAATTACACTGTTTTACCGATGCCTCTTCTTTAGCCATGTGCGCTACGGTATATCTCAAAACTTCCAGTCCCAATTCATCCCGCTCCGAGGTTTCCCTTCTGTTTAGCAAAACCAAAGTCAAACCCATTCCCAAAAAAGGCACTAATCTCACAATCCCACGCCTCGAACTCATTTCTGTCCAGATGGGTTCTAAAGCCCTTAAATTCGTATTAAATCACCTCAATAATATAACGATACACCCAACCTTGAATCTATGGACTGACTCCTCTACCGTACTCTCTTGGCTAAATTCAACAACACCAATACGTGATATTTTCGTCCAAAATCGTATTGATGCTATTCGCAGCGTAAATAATTTAATCATACGACATACACCTGGAAAATACAATCCTGCAGACCTTGGTACTCGTGGCGTGCCCCCTGGACTGTCGATTCAAACCATGGATGTTTGGTGGCATGGACCAGTGTTTTTGCAAAATTCCCAATTGCCAGAAACGGAGATAAGTTTTAAAGAATTTTCTTCTAATAATTTCAAGTTAATCACTTCTAATCCTTCTGGCCCTATTTGTACTTTTCAAGTCCAAGAAGTCGAAAATGAGGTTCCTGCCCCACTCATTGATATTTCCCGATTTTCCCGTATCCCTAAATTACTACGTACAATGGCATATATTCTTCGGTTTATTCAAATTGCCAGGAAGACCCGAAAATCCCATAATTTTGAAATAACATTTTCAGAGATTCACCAATCCCTTAATTTTCTAATAAAGCAGGAGCAGTCACGTTTTCCTCCACCAGACCGAGAAAATGAAGCCTTAGGGCTATTTACCGATAATGATGGAATAATTCGTTCCAAAGGACGGCTTGGAAATAGCTCCCTCCCAATTTCAACTCAAGAGCCCATTTACCTCCCCCCACACTCAGATCTGACTAAATTAATAATTTACGAGACTCACCTTTTAAATCACCACAGTAGCCCCCTCTCCACTCTCTCCTTTATCAGAAGACAATACTGGATTCCCCGAGGGAGACGCATTGTTGCGAGAGCTATTCACGCCCAATGTCTTCCTTGCCGCCGTTTTAATGCCATACCGTATAACATACCCCCATTTCCCCAGCTTCCGATTGGCCGAGTGAGGCAATCTCGGCCCTTCCTTTCAGTTGGCGTAGATTTTTGTGGACCGCTTTATTGTTCCAATTCCGAAGGTATAAAGAAAACTGTCCGATCAAAATTACCTACAAATAAATATTGGATTATTCTCTGGGTTTGTCTCACGACCCGAGCCTTGTCCTTAGATCTGGTAAAGGACCAGTCAGGCCCCACATTTGTTTTGGCCTTCCGGCGATTTTCTGCTAAATTTGGCATCCCTATAACCGTATATTCTGACCAAGCCCCTACTTTTGTCTCATTCCGAAAAATGTTGAAGGAAACCTCGAATTATGCCCATATTGAGTGGAATCTTCGTGTACCGTTTGCCCCATGGAAAGGAGGACATTATGAGCGTATGGTAGCTCTGATAAAATCACATTTGCGCCGGACACTCTCTAAAGGTACAATTCCCCATATATACTCGCCCGAACATATTCAAACGATAATTACAGAAATAGAGTTCATTATCAATTCCCGGCCTATCACTTTCGACTCAGCCAATCCAGTAGAGGCCCGACCCTTGAGGCCTTTGGATTTTTTCCGTCCGTTGGACTACTGTAGTAATTTGCCACCTGCCCTTTCAATTGACAATTCAAATTTAAACCTCCCAAACAAAGACCCGCCAAATGTTGATACAATCCTAGGTCTTTGGTCTTCCATTTCTAATTGTGCAAAAATTTTTTGGTCCAAGTGGAAAGATGATTATTTGCTCTCTCTGAGAGAGCAATACAAAAATTTGGCCAATTCCAACGGTCGTTGGCCTAAGGAGGGAGAATTTGTCCTTCTCTTTGATCCCAACACCCCGCGCTCCCTTTGGCCAACGGCCCGTGTCACCGACATTTTCCAAAACACAAACGGAGTCCCAGACACAGTTTCTGTTAAGCTGAGCCACTCAGGCCGACAAACAACCCGTTCAATTGCACACATATACCCCCTCGAATTAAATTGTTGCTCCGACAAAAGAGATGCTTCCCCTCCCCAAAATTCAAAAGATGTTGAGCCAGCCTTACAAAACACGAATAAGGGAGCACAATATGTTAATTCACCTCCACCTTCTCCTGCCCAAAATTATTTACAGTTGAGAAATAGGCGGGTTTTGCGAAAGTAAAGATGTCCCATCCCTTTACCCCTTTTATTTAAAAATCATTTTTATTTCATAGCTTTTTTAAAAAATAATTTTTCATTAATGGGAAGCGTTTTATCCGTTGAAGTCATCTCTCTAAATTTTCCAATTTTTGTCCAACAGCCCGAAACACCACACTTGATTATGACTTTAATTCTAATAGGGATTTCACTGATCCTCCTCTCAATTATATTCCGGCTCTTATATATCATCTTTGAAAATAAAATTAAAGCAAGACCTCGCTCCCAATGGATTCCCCCTCCGTCTATGTTGGTAATCCTTTGTCTTCTTTTACTCGCTATCCCTACGGAAAGTTATCCAAAATCTCGCCCCCTCATTAAGAAAATTGCTAAGCCAGTCGCCAAATCCACACTTCCTATTTTAAGTACCACAGCCCTATACCTTGGTTTAGATTCACTTGTTCGTTATATTTCCGAGGAGCCCGAACTGTCGGCTATATTTGTCTCTATTTTTGGAACCACGTTAATTATAGCCATACTCCTTATTGTTAAATTTATTTTAAAGATTTATCGTGCTTTCCACCCCACCACCTCACCAATTCCACCAACAGAATTAACCCAATTTCAAAATACTTTAGACGAAATTGTACAACGTACTGTCCCCCCAATTCGAAATTAGCGTTTTTTAAAGTAAATTTTTAGATGCCCGTAAAATCCAACCCTAATAAGAAAGTTCGCCCCCCATTGATTATTATGCTTTCACATTTAAAGATAAATCCAAAAGTCCCAATAGTAATGTCCCATAATCAAGAAATTTCACCCCCTGCCACTATTGAGTCCTCTCTCCCAACCACTAACAACACTGATTCAACAATTAATTTAACTTCTGCACCACCTCCACCTATTTCTGTTCAACAACCTTCACCAGTTAAATATAATTCTACAATTAACTTAAATCCTCCACCACCTCCCCCAACATCATCAGATAAAAATGATACAACAATGGAAATCTTGGAAATTGGCACTGCTGCACGTCCTTCACAGGTTATAACCAATAAACCATACAAACCTAAATTTCCCCCTTTTAAAAATATGTATTACAATTCAACATTGGCACAGAATCGATTCCGTCAACGCCCCAGCATTCATTCACGTGTCCGTATACTACCATCTGGCCGAGTGAAAAATTTGATGGTTCCGAAGAAATTTGGAAGAATTGAGCCGTTGATGGAAAAGAAGATAGATGGACCAATACCGTTGAATTTTATCAAATTCCCTCACGGACCTCCCCCACCTGTCCCTGCACCAAAACCTAAACCCATATTCCCCCATTTACCCTATGCCTTCATCTAAATTTTTTTTTGGGCTCCCGAATGTCAAATCTTCTAGATTTGAAAAATATTTTTTATATTTATTAACCTTTGGCCGAAAAATAAAATTTGTCATCATTTATCTTCAAATATTTTTTGGCCCGCTCAAATTGGCCTATCCCCGCCCTTTTGTCCCCTTTTTGCTATTTTTCTATAAAATACAATTTTTTAATGTTTTTTATTCAGTTATTCAGTTTTCTCAGTTTTTGGATTTTTTGCAGTTAAAAATTAATTTGTCCTGTTTTTCCCCCTTTTTTTCGTGCATTTGTTTAATTATGGAAAGAACAATATTTTGTGTTTTGTTGTTTTAAAGATTTTTGTTGAGAAAATAAATTGTTGTTGAATTTTGCTTTTTGGTGAATTTTTTTTTGGAATTTAAGATTTCCCCCCTTTTTTTCCCAGTTTTAATTCCGGATACGAGATAGCTTCGTTTCCGAGACATACTTAACATTTTTTGTCCAACTTTTTAGAAAGGGTGGCAAAAATTATAAGAAAATTTTTGTGAAGGCGTGAGAATTGAAAAAAAATATTATTATTTTCTAAATAAAAATGGTAAATTGTAATTATTTTTATTTATTAAAAATAAAAGGAGGAATTTTTTAAAATTTATTTGTTAAATAATTTTTATTTACGGTAAGAAATAATTGTGTAAAATTTCATTGCCGAGACTTAAGTGGAAGTTGAAAAAACTTGAAAATTACAGGTTGTCTTTAAAGTTTATTGACACAATAAATATATTTTGCTAAATTAATTGATAAATTTTAAATTAATTTTTTTGTTAGATTTTTGGAATTTTATGGAAATTTTATTAAAAAAATATTTAAAATTATTTTTTTAATTTTCTTCAAAATTTATTGAAAAATAAAAAAAATATTTTTATTAAAAATGAAATAAATTTTTTAACAAAAAATAAGTGGAAGAAATCTAAAAAATTGTTGTTTAAATAATTAAATTTATCAAATATTTTTATTTGCCTGTTTTGACACATTTTTACTTTAAAAAATTTTTTGCAACGTTTTGGCTAATGGATTATGTATATAGTAAGAGAACGGGATTTTTATTTTAGAAAAAAATTATTTTGCCAAAGATTTAGAAAATTTATATTTTTTCCACACAAATGCACATATGTAAGTATATTTATATATAAAATATATTTTAGGTGACATAAATATTAGAAGACAAAAATAAAAGGGAAAAAAGATATTTTTTAAAAATAAAATTGAAGGAAAAAAATGACGATAAAAAAGTAACACTTTAAAGTATTTTTAAATAAAAATATTTTTAAATTAAAGTAGTAATAAATATTTAAAAATAAACTTTTTTAAATAAAAATATTATTTAAACTTTAAATATTTAAATAAATAAATAAACTTTTAAATAAACTTTATTTAAATAAATGGCACAATTTTAAAAAAAATAGTTTTTTTTTTAATTATTTTGTGTCACCTGGGAAAAAAGTTTTTGTTTAATTAATTAGAGACAAAAAAGACTTTTAAAATAAATTAATGGCATTAAAAGAATTGGAAGAGGAACTAAAAAAGACGTTCTTTTAAAAATTAAAAAGAAAAATGTTTAGTCCAAAAATTGATTTTCCCAAAAAATCATCCAATCAATCAAAGCTTAACAGCAAGAACATTGTTAGCTTTAAAAAACTTAAACAATGGAAGAAATGATTAAAATAATGACAAAGTTTTTGAGTAGTTTATAAAAGAAAATTAATTTTAAAAGGTTTTAATTATTTCCCTTATTTTCTTCTCTCCCTTTCCTTTTCTTCCAAAATTATGAAATTGTCACAAATCTTACTATATGCCATTAAGTATCCAAATTTGCATGTTAGGACCTATAATTCGGTATTGTGTAAAGGTTTTTGGGAATATAGTTATCCTATTTCAAAGGAATAGAAAGCTCTACACAAAGAGTTAAGCTTACACGCAGGTATATACATACAGAATTACTTATCTTTTACTCAATCAGTAATAAATTTAATTTTTTGTTTTTAACAAAATTATAAATTTAAAGAATGGAGAATTTAAAAAACGTACCTATTTTAACAATAAATTTAAAATTAAAGAATATTTTAATAAAATAATGTAGAAATTATTATTTATTAATGTATTTTAATTATAAAAAAATAAATGAAATATTTGGGTAAATTCCAATTTTTGGATTTAATATAAATGGAATGACACAAAAAAAACTTGAAACTTTTAAAATTTCCCTAAAATGCAGACATTCTTCTTTTATATTTCTTTTCTTTAGTTTTTCGTGAATTTGTAGTTTCTTTTTCATTATTTCCATTTTTTGATGAAATCCCCAGCCATCTACACAAAAAATTTTTAAATTTTATAATATATTTATTCAAGTTCAAAACACCTAAGAAATTTAGATCCAGCAGAAGAAATCGCAGATTTTGTAGAATTTGAAGGTGCAGATCTAGCTGATTGTGAAGAACCAGATCTGTTCCTTCTATAATCTGGTGAGTGGAAAGGGCCAGTAAAAGACCTCGGTGTCAATAAAAGCAATGAATGGATAGAACCAGAAGAAGCATTTCTTCCTCTTTTTGGCGCTAATTCTCTAGTTATCAACAATGGGGAAGATCCCACATTTAAAGAAAAACGAGATTTTATTTTGCCATTTTTTCCTTGTTCTGATGCAGATCGACTGAAATTTTTTTAGATATTTATATACATACCTTCCTATAAAAAAGAATCAGTTCTAATTTCTCAGTATTTTTTATGTTTTTAGAAGCTCTAAAACTAATCTTTTGAACTAATCGAATCTCTTGTATGTTTCACTTAATATTTACTTAATTTATCCCAACGTTATGAATTTAAATAAAATTTAAAAAGTTAAAATATTACGCGCTTAAAAGTGCAAAGTCATAAATTGAATGAGCTCTGTTGCTTCTCGCAGAAGAAGAACCAGCTCTTTCTGTAAATACTAACTGAGCTGCTTCACCCAATCGCCTTAAAAATAAAATTTAATAATTATACATTTATTTAGATAACTTTGCTGCTTTTTGTAATTCTTTTGCCCGATCTTTTTTCTCACGGTCTCTGCGATCCGCTTCTTGTTTAGCTCGTAGTGCATGGGCTCCCAACATATTAACTGGTAAAAATTGGAAGTATTTTAGGATACTTTAGGGAATGAAAAAGCGAGAATGAACAAAATGGTGAAAAGGGAAATGACTATGAAAAGAAAAACCCAGCGGGACAAGAGGAATGCCAAATTGGCCCTTTTCAGTATTTGGCACTTTTGAACAAAAGAGATTGCCAAGCTATGAAGGGGTTCACTTTTTCCACTTTCTGTCGTTTACTCGACAAAGAGCGAAAACCTCTCGAGGATTTTGAAGTGAAAATAGAAGAAGAGCAGGAAGAAAATAAATGGTTTATGTCAGCGAGGGTAAAAGCGGGAAATAAATGGATGTTAAACCATAAGTTATAAAAGGGATTTGTATTGAATAAAAATGTAAATTGACATTTCCGTTGAACACTTATATAGAACAACAATCGAATATTTCGCAAGAACCAAAGATTTAATAATATAAAGAATATGACGTATGTCTTAAAAGTAGCTAATGAATTTGAAAAGACATAAACTCCTCTTTCAAATATTTTTGTTGATTTAAACAATTGGAACATACGATAACAACAAATCTTCATTTTGCTTTCTATCATAACTAATCAATTGTCATAATAATTTATTTTTAGATATTTTTAAGATTTTATATTATTTAAAAAAGAAAAATAATTATAACAAAATTTGCTAAAGAAATTATTTATTTAATATATTTTTTACCAAAGAAAATACAAGCAATTATACTCAACAAAAATAAAACAAAAATACAGCAAAACGTGGAGTATCATAATAATCAAAGAAATCGTATGCTTGAATAGAATCGCCAAAATATCCTCAGATCAAGATCATTCCCCTTTTCCAATTCGAGAACCTGCATAAAATACAGCAGCAAATGTGCCAATTAGAGTGAAGACAACTGCCACTTTAGCGTATACCCCCAAAGTTCCATCAACACCAGTCTGCACCTTTAAATGTTATTTGAAACTAACAAAAAAGCGGAATAAATATGCTTACCTCCACAGTTTGCATTGCTACTTCGGCTGTCATTTTCTCTACAATGATATTCAAGTTTGAATAAAAGAAAAAAATGGTTTACTTTGCGGAAATGTAACATCCTTCAATCGCAACGTAAATTCTGATAGAAGCAATGGATAAAGTTGAACTTCGACTTAAAAGATGAATGATATTTGAATCAGACAAAAACTAGTTAAAAACAAGTTAAATAAAAAATACCCACAACAACAATCCTGATGATAAGCATGGCCGCCAACTTCAATATACATCCCATCAAAGCCATTTGCGCACAAAGCCTTTCCACAGTACGCGCAAGTGAAACATTCGATATGCCAAAACTTATTCTAAAATCATATCATTTGTTAGCAGTGTTTATTTTAGCTAATTTAGAAATTCAACGGAAATCTTCACTTATAAAAACTTTTTCCGCGGAGGCCTTATGTGCGGGTTAAAACAAATCATAACTTTGTCAAATCAAGTCATATTTCATTTATTTTGGTTTGGTGTCATTCGACTCAGCTCGAAGAGCTCTCTCAAATAAGCTATTATTTGCATATTCGGATTTCTCACCCAAAAATAAGCTTGCCCAATGGTTTTCCGATATTTAAGTGACCATATCCCGACCCCTGGGTACCGAATCACCTTCTTCCACACCTAGTCTTTTTCGAATGACACCGAGCTCTTTCGAATGACACCAAACTTGGCTTGTTTAGACCACGGAGAAAAAAGGGCATATACGTGAACATACCAGTTCATCCACATAAGCTCCCATCAATTTTTGATTACATGCTAAAGTTAAAAGATAAAAATTAAATTTTAAGGTGAATAATATGTAAACTTACTCGAACATTTTTCATTAGATATTTTGTCGTAACAATGATCGCAATATAGTCGGTCAACATCGTTATCGGAGATTTCAACCGTGCAAGAACAACGTTCACAAAAGCCAAGATTTGATGAATTGTTGAAGTCTTCGAAGGACATTTTTAAAAGTAATCTAAAAAATTAGAAGAATTAATAAAGAAATATAAAAAATAAAATGAGAAGTCGATTCGGAAAGTCGAAACTTGCATAACATCAAACCTAATAGAACTACAGTAGGCAAATACAGAACTACCTAACAAAAAGTTGAGGGTTTTTATATTAACTTCTAAACGCTCGTTTATAAGTCGGAGACTTCCGAAATGTTAAATACCCAGGAATGTGTCGATGTGTCAAACAATAACTGGCCAACGAGTAAAAATCATCACTGATATCGGATTTCCCGTAAAGCCCGTTTGAGAATAGCCGATTAAGAATTGACCGTTTAAGTTATCAGAATTAGACGAACAACAAGAAAGTTATGGCCATATGTATATGAATCGGCGGATATTGAAGTGTCCTTTTCCGTTCTGTTTAATAGTCGGGAGAAATTCTATTTTTTAAACAATTCTTTTAGGAATGACAACGATTAATGATCTTTCCATGTTTTATACTAAATTTGCATTTTATTTGACTAAAATTTATCATGATGAATTTGAATTTGTTCATTTCCTTTCTCAGTTCATGATTTCTTCTGCAGTAATTACATTCTTCAGCTTTACTTTTCTGGACATTCGCGCAATGTATGGTCGTTATTCATCTGAATCTTTCTTTGCAAATGTGAGAGGTTTTTAATTATTTCAATTGTATTGTATTTTAGATATCGATTCCTGCAAAGTTTGCTTGGTTTTTGCAAGAATTGCCTTCTCTTCTAATTCCTCTTTTTGTTATTTGGTAACTCTGAAAAGTTAATTTTCGTTCCAAGTTTGGGATTATTTTGGCCCTATCTGAAAACAAGAGTCCCATCGTTTTTTATCATCATTTTGATCAATGTCTCTGAACATATCCTTTTTCATTATTTTGTACAGTGTAAAATGATGGGACCCTTATTTTTAAATAGGGCCAATATTTTTATAAAAATATACTGTTATTTCAATTTAATTTATTTATCAGTCGACAAAATATTATTTACTGCTTAATTTAAAAATTATTTTCAGGCATAGAGGATTGTATAATATTCCATTTGAAAATTATATTGCATTGGCTATGTTTGTTGTTCACTATTTTCAAAGGTATGTTTTTATAAATTTGAATTTTTTACCCTTTGAGGGCTTTTGAAAGGGGAAAAATACATACTTATTTTAGCTTTGAACCCCAATTGTAACCCTGACTTTGGGAAGGTTCAACTTCAAAATAATTAGGTACTATAGCATTATCTCCCTCCATCGTCCATAAATGTTTGTCCTCAAAGTTTGTCTTGTCTTCTCCTTCTTAACATAAGATTAATATAATTTATGTGAATAAGCGAAGTATTTTAAAAATTAAATTTCTTTTTCTACATTGTATACTTTTTTAGATCTTTGATTTATCCATGGCTAATCAGAGGTGGAAAACCTACACCTATCCATCTTTTTTTACTTGGATTTATATTCACTACCTGGAATGGTTATATACAAGGATTTTTTCATGTTAAATATGCTAATTATGGGCAAGGATATTTTTGGACATTTGGAAGTTTATTCGGTTTTTAATTATATTTTTTTAAATTAATTTCTTAAATTTCTAATTTTTGAGGCATTTTTCTCTTCCTCACTGGAATGTTCATTAATTTACGTGCAGATTCTATTTTGCGTACTCTTCGACGCCCTGGTGAAAAATGTTACAAAATTCCTCATGGTGGTATGTTTAAATATGTATCGTGTGCTAATTTTTTTGGAGAAATTATTGAATGGATTGGTTATGCAATTTATGCTCAATCAACTGCTTCTTTAGCCTTTGCACTCTTTACCGCTGCCAATACAATTCCTAGAGCTAAATTACACCACAAGTATTTTTTATTTTTTTTATTAATTTAATGATTTATTTTAGATGGTATTTGAACAAATTTGGGAATAATTATCCACAAGATAGAAAAGCAGTTATTCCGTTTATTTATTGAGATTATCTTTGTTTGTTGGTATTTTCTGATTCTCATTTTAATTATTTCTTTTCTCTATTATTGATTCTACATATTTTTGGATCTCTTTTTATTAGATAAATTAATATGTATTTACTAATTAATTTTATCTGTTTGTGTAATTCAATAATTCAAATATTTTAATTAATTAAATTATTTGTAATTATTTTTAAAAATTTTTTTAGAATGTTACCTATTTGTCAAGATAAAGGAGAAGGAAACAAAGAGATTTTTCTAGATGCTCTGCCGTAATTTCTAATTTAAATCTAAATTAATTTAAGAATCAATTTAGGTATATTGACGATATTAATTACACAGAAGAACATAAACAATTGGCTCTGAAATTAATTGAGGCTGAAATGAGAAGGTTTCCAATGACTAAAAATTATTTGAGGAATTTTCCGGAGCCTGATTATGACAAATTTTTGACCCCACGACTTATTGAACATCAACAACAAATTGCTAATAAACAGGTTTTGGAGGTTTTTTGATTCATTTTTATAATTTTTAAAGGAAATTCCAAAATTGGATTTACTTCGTTATGAAGTCCCGACACCTGGTAGAGCTGCAAATAAGAAAGCTTGGCTTTCAGCTATCGAAAATTGCAAAGCGCAGCTGGCCAATCAGAATTTAAGAAAAATTAATTTGGAGCTACTTCTTGAATATGGTTTAAAAATATTTTATTAAAAATATTTAAATTAATTTTCAAGGTTCTGAGGCTCATCTTCGTTCAAATGAAATTTTAAAGAGTCAAGTAGAATCAAGCGAAGCAGAACTTTACAAAGTTTGTTTTATATTTTTGATAAGAATTTAAAAAACATTTTAGATTCGTTCCGAACTTTATGAACTAAATGCTAGACGTAAAAGAAGTCAAATGCAAGCAGGAGAAGAATTGACATCCCTTGGACAAGGTTGGGTTGAATTAGTTACTAAAAATGCTGGAATGGAAATTGCAATTGATGCTTTAGAAAAAGAAATAAAAACTATCGCGAAACGATTAAAAACAGATCCTGGACTTGTGGAAAAGGAAAGTAAATAAATTTTTTGTGTAACGATTAAGATTTCTTAATAAAAATTACGCGTTTCATTATCTGTTGTGGATCCATCAAATGCATATCCATGGGTGTACCCTCTCCCCCTCTCTCTCTCTCGAAACATGGATATAAAAAAGTAAAAATTGTGGTCAATAAAATATATTTGGAAAAAAAATTTACGTTCGGAACGCTAAAGTAAACATTAAAGATTTGGCGCATATTAATTTACAATTATTCTTTAACTAATTATCCACGTTATTTAAAATTGGAATGGAGACATTTTTGGGAAAAATTTTTTGGTATCTACTATTAAATTTTAATTTATTTTCCAAATTGTCTTTTCACATTTTAGTTTTCATAAATTATTTTACAATTTTCACATATCTTTCCTTCCTGCAGTGTTCGGAGGTATCAAATAAGAAGTCGCCGGTCTCATTCCGCTTTTACGCCCTTCTCTATTCATTGCATCCTTTAAATTATTTTTTTAAATTAATTTTTCTTTAATTAATTTAAACCTTCATTTTTCTTTTCAAAATCATTTTTCTTTCTTCTCTAACAGCATTTGCTTGTTGTTCTTTCCGCATACGTTCTGTTTCTGAATCTACTTCAATCTTTAAAACAAAAAATTATTTTTTCTTTAAAATTATTCCCTAACCTTTTTATTAACAACAAATGCTCTTTTACGTTTATCAGTGCCAATTGGCCGTGAATATTCTAATAATGCCATTAAACGAGCTTTTGGACTAGTTGACAATTCAATCATTAAAATAACTTGTGCCCACTAAATTATTTGTTTAAAAATATTTCTTTTTAATTTGCCTGTCTTTTCCATTCCTTTTCTGTAGCATAAATCATTTCGTATGTTCTTGTCATCATTGCAATTAAAACATTAAATTGCATCAAACTAGAGAATACTTCATAAATAAAGAAAAGAATCTTTAAAAAATTAATTTAAAAAAAAAGAAAATATTTTAAAACTTTTCCAATTGTAGACATTGTTGGCTCTAAAAATATTTTTTTCTAAATAAATTTACACATTTTCTAATAACCTTGACATGTACTCATATCCCCATAAAATGTTTGATATTCCCCTGTTGTCATAATAAAAACACGAATAACTGCTTCAAATGGATTTTTTATAATATTAGAAGTAGCATCTTCTGGATCAGAAGTGCCAGCTTGTACTCTTTCTAATCGAGCACGTTCACATGAAAGAAAAACAATATAAAATCCTTGAGAGAAACCAAAAAGAAACACAAAATAAATAAGGAAAAAACGAAGTAAATCTTGAGTTATAATTTTATATATCTAAAAATAATATTTTTTTTATTTAAATTATTTTTGGGACAAACCATCAAGACAAAAGGTCCAACGAATTTAACAGCTCGACAATAATACTTTAAAAAATATATTAATTATTTTGTATTCTCAAAATTATTTTTATCCTCATCAGAAATTTGTAGTATAAAGTATTGGAAAAGAAGAGAGGGAGGAAGTAGTATGCTTTATAAATTTTTAAGTTACGTTTTAAGGGCTTATGAACTAAAATTCTGAGGCCAAACTAATATCATTTAATTCGATTTCAAAATTAACTGAAATATGTGAGTAATTTACGCTAGAAAGCTTTGTGTTTCTAGCTGCGGAGTTTTTCTGCCCAGCTCGACGACCAAATACCAAAAATATTTAAATAAAAAACCAAAAAATGAAGAGAAATTAAAACGACAGCAGAAATTGAAAACATATTATCCAAAAAGAGCATAAAATCGCCTAATCCACAAGCAAATCGAATGGGAACGACACCAATAATTAAAAGCAATGACATTTTGTAAAAAATTTTTGTTGGGAATGTTATCTATTTTTAAGAGTATTTTTTTAAAGTCAAAAAATATTCTAAACTAAAATTTGCCACCATCGAACATGTCCAATACTGTATATATCCCAAAGTTCTCCAGCTAATTGGAAGAGAACAATTGCAATAGTTAATGGTTCACAAACCATACGAATCTTTATTAAAAATATTTTTTCTTTAAACAATAATTTTCTTTTACATATCCTTGAATTCCAAAAACAGTATAATGCCAAAGATGACATCTAGGATGTTCATAAAATGGAGAATCTTTTTAGTAAAAGAATATTTTTTAATTTTTCCTCCAAAAACAAACGTAAAGAAAATCCAAAAAGTCCACTATCCATTATTGGAGCTTCCTCCATTTTGATAAAAGATACCATATCAACAGGGCTAATACTCCCATTATTCACTACTTCTCCAGTATATGAAATATTTCCACCAGTTACTACCCCTTTAAAAATTAAAAGTTTTAAAAAACAAGACACCAAAAATATCAGCTAAATTTTTAAATTTCCAAATAATTTTTAAATTTTCTTTTAATTTCATAAAGATTTCGTAATTTTTGTTTTGTGAGAGGTATTCATAAACATTGGCTATGCTTATATCTGGGATTGAGAGAAAATAATAGTTTTGATATGGGATATTTATAAACAAAAATATAAAATAATACAAGTAGTTGCAGAGAATGGTCTACACATATATGCTAATGAAAATATAATATAAAAAAAGCAAAATCCAAATAAAGACATAAACCATCTAAAAATTAATTTTTATTTTTTTTTTGTTTTTTTCCACCTTCTTTTAGCAAAAGCCTCCCATTTTGCATCTAATAAATCTTCTAAAAGTCCATCAAGCATTTCTAAATGTGCCTCACTTTCCCCATAAACAACTAAATATAATGCAGAATTTTCATTTAAATTTCCATTTTCTTCATTAATTGTATCTATTTTTGCAAGAGGATAAGCAATTGAAGAAGCCTTTAATTAAATTAATTATAAGAGATTTTTAATTTATTTATTTACTTGTCCATAATCCCAAAGATATTCACTTTCTAATTGTAAAATTTGTTGAAACATTTTCTTTTTAGCTAATTTTGCTGCTAACGTTAATGGAGTTAAATTTTGTTTATTTAACTAAAAATTAAAAATTTATTTTAAAAATTTAAATTATTTTATTTAAACCAATTGTAGACGGCCACCTGTATCGTATACTAATTTAAGCATTTCCATATTTTCATGGATAACAGTCATGTGCAAACATGCTTTAAAAAATATTTTTAATTTTAGATACCTAAAAACATTCCAATTCCTCAAAAAAGTTCACAAAATAGAGAGTATATATTAGAGGGAGTTTATAAAATAGAGGTTTGGATATTTAAAAACTTGTACCATTTCCATTTGTATCTTGAGAATTAGGATCAGCTTTTTTAGCTCTAAGTAAACGATAACAGTCAAATTGATTAGTACAAGCAGCAAATGCAAGGGGATATTCACCAAAATACATTCGACTAAAAAATACATTTTCTCTTTTAAATTCTAATTAATTATTCTTTTTACCCTCCATAATCAGTCTTTAAACTTAATTCAACATATTCATGTTCTAAAGAATCTGTTCTACTTCCTTTTTGATCATCTGGGCAGAAAAAAGCTCCATAACACCGTTGATTAACATCAGCCCCGTGTTGAAGTAAATAATTACAAAGAGAAGGGTCTTCATTGACAATAGCTTGATGTAATGGAGATAAACCTAATAAAAATTAATATTTAAATATTCCCAATTATGATCCCACTCATTTTTTTCTCTTTAAATTTTTAAAATTCTTTTCGTTAAAAATTAGAAAACACGCTTTAGTTATAAACAAGAGGAATATATACAGATAAAATTCTCTCTTTTAATTTTTACCATAATAATCTTCAGAGAGCATAACATCATTAACTAATTTAGGGAATTGATTAAGTAATCTAATAGCTAATTCTGTATGTATTGGCCCTCCTTGCATTAAACAACAACCAACTAAATTTTCACCCATAGAGCCTCTCTCTTCTATTTTCCAAACAATTTCTCGATACTTTGCATCTCCTCAAAATAATTATTAAAAATTATTTTTGTACTTGTAAAAACTTTTTTTTACCTTTTCCACCTTTGCCTCCATCTAACAGTTTAAGGGCTTAAAATTAACAGAATTAATTAAAATATTTATTTAATTAATGACAAAAATTAAACAATTAAAGTCAATTAATTTCCCTAACAATAAATATGACAAATAAAAAGTCTGTCCCTAAGAAGGACTGACTGTTTATTCTCACACTTTTCTTCAACTAACAAGTACTTATAAAAATTTAAATAATAAAGAGAATAAGAGCAAAACCCTACCCTTTTTTAAATCTCCCTGATTTTCTTGGTCTTGATTAAAATCATCAAGAATATTTGGGCCGCTCTTTCCCTTTCCCTTCTTTCTTGAAAAAGCTCCCAAATGTTCATTTCTTTCTTTATTTCTTGATTTAACTAATTCAGCCACAGATTGTAATTTTCCTTTTCCCGCCTGATACATTGCTTGTTTTATTGTTGTTTCAAAATAACCATCAACAATAGCATAATCTCCCCCTTTTCTTGCATAACGCATCCATTTTATTAATTCACCCCCTCCATGCATATCAACAAGCTGATAAAGTTTGTGTTGTTTATCACTTGAAGGTTGGACATGGGCAGCCATTTTTTAAATTTTTTAAAGGGGAATAAATAATAAAGAAATTATTTTTTCTTTAAAGAAAGAGAGAGAGAGAATTAATATTAAATTTTGCCGCACAACCAAAAAATATTAAGTATTTTACTTGAAAAATCTGTTCTTGTTTCAGGCTCAACCACTTAACAACCAATAAAAGAAAATGTAATTATGTAAAAAATACGTTAAAACAAAAAAGGTATCGAATTGCGTGAGAACTGGGAAAGGGTGTAAAGAAATTAAATATAAATTGAATAAAGGTAAAGTCACCTGCCATTTTCTTTAAATTGGTTTTTAAAAATTTTAAGTTTGGATTGGATACTATAAAGAATTGAGTTGAATTATTATTAAACAGGAATAATAATAGTAGTAGTAGTAGATTAGTAATTCATCAATTTAAAAGTTATTAATTAGAGTTGAACCATTTTTAGTCTCTTTACTTCAAGGATTTGAAGGATATCGAGGTTGGATAGGTTAAGGTTTGGTGGGAATTAAAGGGGATTAAATGGGTCAAGGAGAATGTTGTGGGAATTGAAGAGATCAAGGGGGATATCGATGGAGTGGATATCGAGGGATACAGGAGAGTCTACCCCCCCCCCCCCCCCCATTAAGGATGATTTGACGGGATATAGGGATTAATGAAGGATATAAGGGTTAAATAGGATAGGAGGGGATTTGGACGTGCATCTGGGATAATAAGGGATATCATGTCATAAATAGGGTTGTACCCCGAACGTTCGGGGGCGGCTATGTCGGGGTACGGGGTTTTCCAATTGTTTCGGGGCGGGGTTCGGGTCGGGGGAGCAAAATATGGCCGGGGTTCGGGTCGGGGTACGGGGGTTTAGTGGAAAAATTTTTAGAGAAAAAAATGCTCAAAAATAATTAAAAATCGATATATTTTCGTTGATTTATTCAAAAATTAAGTAAGATTTGGAGAAATTAGAGGGGATTTGATTGGATTAAAGTGTATAACTTGGGATATAAGTGGATCTGGAGGATTAAGTGTGATTTTTAGGGATTAAATGGTATATCTAGGGATACAAGGTGATCTGGAGTGATTTTTGTTGGGTCAAGGGATATTAGTGATTTATAAGGATATTGATGTATTGCGGATAAGGGTATTTGCGCGGATATCAGGAGATATCTTCGATTAATCCTTAAATCTCCCACGAAATCCTTGTTAATTCCGTTATTCCTTTAAATCCCTTTAAAACTCCTTAATTCTTCGATATCTACAAATCCCTTTATATCTCTGATTCCCGTTAACATGACCTCGATAGTTTACCAACTGTTATGGTTGAGAAGTGGTGATACAGAGGGTTTGAAGGATTAAGGGTGGTTCAAGGGATATCAGTTAAAAATAAAATAATATTTTCAAATTAAAATTTAACTCGTTAATAATTTGATTTTGTGAAAAAATATAAAAACAACGGAGTTATCCTTATATGGGTCCGAACCCAATCCTATATTAATGAAATATCGGCTAAAACCAACGACTAAGCCACTCAACCAAAAGTCTCTTAATAAAGAAGGAAAGAAAATTATGATATTTCATTCATTTTTCTTTCAAAAATAATAAAAGCAAAGTAAAATGGGTGGAAATTTTTTTAATTTTCTTCATTAATTTCTCCAAAAAAGTGACATTTTTTAGGGGTATAAAACCCCGTAACCCCGAAACTTTTTGGGCCGGGGAACGGGGTTTTCACTTTTTTTCGGGGCGGGGTTCGGGTCGGGGAGAATCGTGAAAAAATCGTTCGGGAACGGGTTCGGGGTACGGGGTCGGGGTACAACTCTAGTCATAAAGAACACGCTTATCACGATCTTCTCTTCTACAAGTTTCATTTTCATACTACAGCAAAAGTGTTCATTGTGAATAATTCCAACCTTTTGGAAAAATTTTTCTGCATGCATTTCATCAAGTATCTCAGCAAGCAATTTTTTTTGTAATTGTACCTTTTCTTCTTAATCCCCCTATATCTCTCTTAATCCTCACAAAACCCTCGATAACTCGAGGGTTTCGATACCCTCGAAGAGAACCCTCGATAACTCGAGCGTTTTCCTCTAGATATCCCTCGTAATCACCCAATCCCGCCGAATCTCCCCAAATCCCTCTATTCTCCATTGGGACTGAACCGAGATATATACAAGAGGACTGAAACATTCCTCACGAATTGAACAGTGAGAACTGAAACGCGAGACTGAAATGAACGCTCCGTTGTTTTTTTCATTTCGTTCTCAAATTAAAATTGTAATCAGATTCGAACTCTAATTTGTACGGTGTGGATTTTAATTTTTTTATTTCAGGGATCAAATTATTTTATCCGTAATTATGACAAAACTTTATGGAAATCCTGATAATTTTCGTGTCAAGAAAGTTCTAGTTGCCGCCAAATTAGCCAACAAAGAAATCAAAACGACTAATGAAGCTCCTCCGTCTGAATTATTTCCACTTGAACTTGTTAGTTTAATTAAGTGATTATTTACTATTTTACATATTTTTTAGGTTCCAGCACTCGAAGATGGGGATGTTCATTTATTTGGTGCTGTAGCTATTGCAAAATATATTTTAGGAAATAATTCTGAATATTTCCCGAAGGTTTTGAATAGAGATTTTTTGAATTAATTTAAATTTATTTAGGATCCATTACTTGAGCAATGGCTTTTTTGGGGTGATAATTATCTTCTTTCAAATGTTCTTTCCTATGTTCTTCCGAGCATTTCTGCAGCGAAGATTGACCAGGAAAATGTGGAAAAGGTTTTATATATCCAAATTTATCCAAGTCTCAATTTTTTAAAGGCACGTACCGAGCTTCTCGATCAATTGACACGTTTAGATTCTATCATTCTCCATAAAACATTTTTGGTAGGGGAACGGATTTCTTTTGCGGATATTTCTTTGGCTGCCAATTTGCTTCCCGTAATTTTTGTTTTTTTCTTTTTTGAGAATAAAATAAATTAATTTTAGGCTTACCAATATGTTTTAGGCGAAGAAGAACGTAAGAAAATTTGCAATGTAACTCGTTGGTTTCAAACTGTTATAAATCATCCTGGAGTGAATGAAGTCATTGGGGAATTAAAATTTATTACCAAACCGGCAAAATTTAATGGTAATTTTGATTTTATTTTTATGTTTAAAAATTGTTTTTCTAAACAGATAAGGAATTCGAAAAAATTGCTGGGATGCTATCACGAACTGTTGCTGAAGAAAAAACTTCAAAGGATAAAGGAAAGAAGGACAAAGGACAGAAGCAAAAAGAGCAAACTCCAAAACAAGAAAAACAACAACAACCAAAGAAGGAGAAAAAGGATGAAGAAATGGATCCTACGGAAGAAGCTATTTCTGCTCAACCGAAGTTTGTTGATCCTTTGGCTGCTCTCCCAAAAGGCAACTTTTCAATGGATGGCTTCAAGCGTGTTTATTCAAACGAAGATACAGCTACGAAAGCAATCCCCTACTTTTGGGAAAATTTCGAGCCCGAAAACTATAGGTAAGAGGGATTTTTTGTAATTATTAAATTATTATTAATTTATGTAGTATTTGGTACGCCGAATATAAATTTCCCCAAGAACTTCGACTTGTATTTATGTCTGCAAATTTAATTGGAGGTCTTTTTCTAACTTTCTCTAAGAATCATCAAATAATTTTCAGGGATGTATCAGCGCCTTGAAAAAATGAAGAAAACTTCATTCGCGTCTGTTTGCCTTTTTGGTTTTCATTCCTTTTCTAAATAAAAATTTAACAAAAAATATAGGAACTGACAACAATTCTACCATCTCTGGAATTTGGATATGGCCAGGGCAACAACTTGCCTTTGAGCTATGCCCGGATTGGCAAGTGGACTATGAGAGTTACGAGTGGAAAAAGCTCGATCCAAAAGACGAGTCGACCAAGAAAATGGTGAATGAATATTTATTGTGGGAGGTTAATAATTAATTTTTTTTTTGAATTTTTAATGTCATTCAATTTAGGGCGACTTTGCCGGTAAGAAGTTTAACCAAGGGAAGATTTTCAAATGAGCATAAGGAGGTTAAACAGAGAAGGTTAATATATTTTTGGGACTAAATATATGACTGTTTAATTGTTAGCATTCTTTCAGTTATTTTGTTGATTTTATTTGACAGAGTGCATAAATTTGTTGGGTAAACTCAAAAATGAAATTCATACATCGTTGAACTCTCGTTTATCGTAACAATTAAAATCCATGAGTTTAAGTTATTAAAAAAATAAACAATATTAAAGTCAAAGGTTAATATGAGTTCATTAAGGTTTAGCAGCTCGGTTTTGGTAATAAGTGAAAGAAGCCACTTTAAAATTGAGATTTTTGTAAATTATTTGGCCAATTTTTAATTAAAATTGTGCATCGAGACGAAATTCGCGTTCATCATCGGTCGAAATAACCCCCGCCTTCTGATATTCAGAAACTTTCTTTTCGAAAAAGTTGGTCTTCCCTTCAATAGAAATGTTCTCCATAAAATCAAAAGGATTTCGAGCTTTATAAATCTAAAATTAAAATTTTTTTAAACACTTTTTTTTTAATTTTTTTCTTGCCTTATTAAGTCCCAGCTCAACCAAAAGATGGTCAGCAACATATTCAATATATTGAGACATTCTAAAAAATTAATTTAAGGTAAAAAACAGGATTTTATTTTACAATTGACAATTCATTCCAATTAAGTCCACGGGTAACGCATCAGTGAGATATTCCTTTATAAAAAAACGAGATTAGAATTATTTTTCGAAAAATTAGAAGGAAGAACTTTAGTTAATTATCAGCTCTATTCACAATACAAATTCACCCACAAATCAAGAATAAACCGACAAATGTTAAACGTTTTTTTGTAAAGGGATAGACTATTAGCTGCAAAAATCTATGATTTTTTTCTTTTGCCAAATGATAGCACTTACATTTTTTTGAATAAAACAAAAAGGAAATAAAATTATTAACCTTTTCAATATCAACAGCCTCTCGAATTATTTCCTCAATACGTTCATTATTTGGTTTATTATTCAAATGTTGGAAAAGTAAACAAGCAAAATCTCGATGAAGTCCTTCATCACGAGAAATTAATTCATTACTTTGTGTCAGTCCAGGCATGTAACCGCGTTTCTTTAGCCAAAAAATTGCAGCAAAACTTCCAGAAAAGAATATACCCTCAACTGCTGCAAAAGCAATGAGACGTTCACCAAATGAAGCTTCTTTACTAGCAGTCCAACGAAGAGCCCAATCAGCTTTTTTCTTGATAAAATCAAATTCGAATATAGCATTAAACAACTTTGAACTATTTAAAAAAGAATTTTTTTGGTACTTATTGGTTATCCCTAAGTAGTTTTTGCGGACATTTTATGCGGACTCATTTATGTACGAAAAGGTCAAAGGTTCTCCCTTCCTCGATTTCACTCAATTTTCTCTGTGGCATTTTTCAATGAGGGCGTCAATAAAGAAAAGATTAATTTTAAATACAAATGACCGACTTTTAAATAAGTATACTACACGCAAATGGACGACGGGAAAATGAGGTGAGGGTCTTCCAAAATATAGACCAGACAAATTGTCAATTCGGCCAAATTGGTCAGACAAAACAAAAATTGGTCCGGAAAATTGGTTCAGAAATAGGTCCAGACAAAAAATAGTTTTCTAAATTATGTTCTATTTTGTCCGTGGGATGTGCTTTCTTTGAAAATATCAGTCTATTTGTGACATGAGTCATCAGCTTCTAAATCAGAACCTGTTAAAGTTGGGTGTGTGTACCAGGATTGGTATATATTAACTCTCTTATTTCCAGTAAAGCTTGATACTTAAAATATTGATCCTGTTTTGTGTTGTTTATACATATTTGTTGACATTCAAAAAACTAATCTTTTCTTTATTGACGCCCTCATTGAAAAATGCCACAGAGAAAATTGAGTGAAATCGATGAAGGGAGAACCTTTGACCTTTTCGTACATAAATGAGTCCGCATAAAATGTCCGCAAAAACTACTTAGGGATAACCAATAAGTACCATTTTTTTTAATCTAAAAAAGAAAGGAAATACCGTTCAATAGGATCCTTAATATAAGTATCAATTAATTTTGAATACATTTCTGAATGAATATTTTCAATAGCAATTTGAAATCCATAAAAACAACGAGCTTCTGGTATTTGAACTTCTTGAGCAAAACGTTCAACCTTTAAGAAAATTAATTTAAAAAATATTTTTTGAAAATATAAATACAAGATTCTCATTAACAATTCCATCCGAAGCAGCGAAAAAAGCAAGAACACGAGAAATAAAAAATCGTTCTTGCTCATTTAATTTATTCCAATCAGTTATATCCTTTCCCAGATCAACCTTTAATAACTTTAAAAAATATATATTTAACATTTTTAACCTCCTCTACAGTCCAAAACGAAGCAACGGCCTTTTTATAAAATTGCCAAATGTCCTGATATTTGATCGGAAAAATAACAAAACGATTTGGATTTTCACGCAGTAATGGTTCATTTGCAGAATCATCAGAATGACCTTGTTTATCAATAGGCAATTCTTTGTCATTTGATGAAACCATCAATCTTGGTCTCTAGAATTAATTTAAAAATATATGTAATTTCAAAAGGGATAACTCTTAGAAAAACAACAAAAAACAATATAAATAAATACAAAACCTTCGTGCTTGAACCATTAGTTTCGTCAAATTGATTCTCTTTCTGGTAATTTCCGTCCTCGATCATTTTTTAATTTAATTTTCAAGTCCTTCCGAGAAAGGTCAGTATGTTTAATCAAATTTTTTCTAAAAATATCCTCTTAATCACTTTTAATTGAGAATTATATACAAGGGAGAATGAATTGCAGACTGTAATGAACTGCTTAGAAAAATAATGCCTTAAAGATATCGAAAAGACTTTCAACGGCTTTATCCGTTGCAAAGCTGAATTTCTACCTTAAGGACACTTAAATCAAAATATTTTGTTTACGGCGTCAAAAAAGACTCATTTGGGAGAGAAATAAAAGAATATGAGTGTGAATAAAATTTTAAATTGTATTTTTGTGGCGTAATTATATTTTGGAAATTTTTTCCATTGTGTACTTGAGATTTTTTTTTACTTTAACTTATGTTAACATTTTTTCAATAAAAGTCCTGATTTATTTAGATTTATATAAAATTATGGAGGTCACTTCAGATGATTTAAAATTTCCAAAGGCTATTGTCGCCAGAATAATCAAAGATGCCTTGCCAGAAAATGCTATTGTTTCTAATGTTTTTACATTTTTATGTTTTTTAAAACTTTTTTTTTTATTTATTTAGGAAGCAAAAAATGCAATTGCAAGGAGCGCAGCTATATTTATTTTGCATGCTACTTCTTTGGCTAATGATAACGCACATTCAAAGAAACGTAAAAATGTAACTGCCGAAGATGTCCTTTACGCAGTCAGGCAATTGGAATGTTCAGAGCTTGAAAGTCCGGTAATTCACGTTTAAATGATATTTTTTATTTTTATTTAAATGTGTGAGAATTAATAACTTAAAATATTTTTTTGTGTAATTAAATATGAAATGAACAAAAACAACAATCAAAATACTCAAAAGATGAATTATGATTTTTTGCAGATTTAAGAATTAATTTTTCACTCGGGTTCGTACTCTGTACAGAATTTCATATTTTTATGCAACTGATACCTCATTTGAATTGTTTTTCATACTTTATTTTGATTCAACCCTGCTTGACGAGCTCTTTTAAATTAAAATTTAACTCTGAATCAGCTTGGTCCCCCTCGTTGATGTTGTAGGTTCGAACCCGCTTGGAAAAACTAATTTTTCCAATATTTTAATTCCACTTTTTGAGTACTTTTATATTGTCTTCAGGCATTTCAAATTTTATTACACACAAAAATATAATTTTCAATAGTGTCCTTTTTTAGATACTTGAGGGCTTACAAATTTATCGACAAAAGAAGGATGAGCGTTTGCAGCTCCGTAAGGATCGAATTGCTAGCAAAAAAGCTGCTGATGCTTCTCAAGGAAGTGATAAAGAAAAAGAGCGTAAAACAGACGATGAAAAGGAAGGAGAAGAGAGTGATGATGATATTATTGAACTTGATGAATGAATTTTAAAATTTAATCTTTATTAATTTGGTAATAGTTGAGATTTTCCCTCCATTTTTTAATCCCATTGCAGCATCATTTATCTTTTTATGGCAAATTATATTCAACATAGGTATGGCTGTGTTTTAATCCCTTGCATGAAATAAGATAAATTATTGATCAAGCAAAAAAGCTAGAAATGGTCAGGGAAAAATGGAAGGAAATTCAAAACTTTTACCATTAATGTTTATAAACTGCTCATAACGAAAGTTTCTTAATTTTTTTATTTATTCTTGTATAGTAAATATACTTTATTATCTATTGATGTTCTTTTTCACGTTACTATTGTTGAATTGAGATTTGAACAGCCGAATTGTTCCAAATTGCTGTTGGTTATTGTCGCAACTTTGAATGACTTTGTTTAGTTGCGAAAGTGATTCTGCTGAACAGGTTTTAAATATTTTTTGTAAATTAGTTTTATTTGAGATTGCAAGTATTTCTGATCTTTAGGCGTCAACGACTGCAGATGAGGATAATGGTGATTCAACTAGACATTCAACTAGTGATAGCGTTAATGGGAGCACTACTGATACGGACTCAAATAATGAATCATCATTGACCCCTTTTGCTACTAAAAATATGGTACCAAAGGAAATCAACGAAAAAAAGTATTCAAATGGAATTTTCGACAATAAGAAATTGAGTATGTTTTGAAACATTCAAAAAGATTTATGATTATCCAAGTGAAATTGAGTCAAATTTTAACAAACTTAAGTAATGTTAGAAATATTGTATCAAAATTCCGAGAAAATATGGCAGGAAAAAGTAGCCTTTGCATTTAGTTATTATATTTTTGGACCACTATATGTAAATAAAAATGTAGAACATAAATATTAATTTTCTGCTAATTTAGATCTTCAAAGTGACACTGAAACGAGAAACTTGCTTGATGATGTTGGTGAAGATTTTGATGAAGATTACAATCTAAATTTGCAGGAATCCGAAATTGAATTGGGTAATATTTGATAATATATTCAAATAATTAACAAAAATATTAATAGATCCTCGTATGTTTGATTTATCAGAAGAGCAACTAAATTATTATACAAATTGTTTCCTTTATTTGATGCAAAAAACACAAGTAATTTATTTATTCTCTTTTTAATGTTACTTTGTAAATTTAAGGGCTCTGCTTCAATGAATGGCGCAATTCAAGGTGTGGACAGAATTGTACTTGATTTTTTTCGAAAAAGTCGTCTTGACAATCTCTCGTTATCGAAAATTTGGTCTTTAAGTGATGTAAATGAAGATGGATTTTTGAATTTAAGTGAATTTATTATAGCCATGCATCTTATTGTTTTGCATGTTAAGGTTAATTTAAAAATTGAAAGGTGAAAAAGTAGGGGATTAGGTCTAGTTTAAAATTGAGGGCTGCCTTATGTTAAGATTTATAGAGGGAAAAATGAAATTTTTTCCGAAAAATTGTTTTTAATTAGGGGAACGGGATATCAACATCTAACTCACATTTTTGATCTTACTGATCTTTAATCACGATAGGAACGCTAGATATTTAAAGGAAAATTTCAGTGTAATGTCTCTATACCTGCCGAATTGCCACAGTCTATTCGCCTATCAAACACTCCCACTAGAACCTTAATTCGCTTTGAAGACGGAATATTTGGTGCATTTCCGGAAAGCAGACCTAATTCAGCAATAAATTCTTTCACAAAATTTATCCCTGAATGTATCTCTTCAAGTTCTGGTGATAGTCAACAAATGACAAAATCTTTATTAAATTCAAATGAAAAACAAGGTTTTAATTTAATATAAAACAAATAAAAATTAAATTAAGAACCTTCTGTTCACTTTTCGAATAATACAATTGGAGGAAATAATTTAAGTAAAAAAATTGTAGCAGACATTCCAACAAGTACAAAACAACATTCATTTTCTGATGATCATCTTCATTCTTCAGCGGCAACTAGACATGATGAAGTAAAAAATAAAATGTTATAAAATTTTTATTTTTAGTCAATTGCTAAATTTTCTGACGTTCCGCCTCTTTTAGTTGATGGGCATCCATTGGCTTTAAATGGTTTTTTTAAATATTTAATTAAAAATATAAAATAACAGTTTCGACTTCAAAAGTAGTACCAGGCTTACCTCAATTGCTCGCTTCAACAGCAAGAGGACCACCACCACAACCTCCATATCGGGATTATAATGAAGGAAATAAAGGACATGGAAGAAGGTAAAATTTAAAAAAATTCAAAATAAAACTAACTCTTTTTCAGTGTTAGTTTGGATCTAAAAACTTTTTCAGCACTTTCTTCGTTTTTGAATAAAGAGTAATAATTTTATATATGAGAGAAATGTCTTGTAATATTTTTTAGTAATAAACAAGGTTATGATATGGTGGATTGTTCCAAATCTGTATTATCTACAAATACATCTTTACATCCAGGATTTGTAGATAAGAGTGCCCAAACAGAATTAAATGTGATTTCAACATGTACACAAACAGAAATAGGTATAATTTTGTTAATTTTTAGAGTTATAAAATTCTTCAGATGATATTGACGATCAACTTCCTTTCTCTATACATAATTTTAATGCAAACAATTTAACACCCAAAGAACGTTGCAAAGTTCTCCAACAAATTAATGAACGGTTAGAAATGGAAAAGTTAACATTAATGCAAGTTCGGCTTCAAGTCAAACTACGGATTGAAGAGGCAGAAGCAGAACTTAAACATTTCAAGGATAACACAAATTCTGATCAACAAATATGGGGTTTGAAGCCAACGGCTTTGTGAAGACAAAATAATCGACGCAAACCACACAACAGCCTTTTTTATTCTCCAAAGTTTTTTTAAATTTCCTTTCATGTTCCGAAAATTCCTTTTTTACAAAGTCTAGCCGCGATCAAACTTTCACTCGCTAATCTCGTCATGTTGATGTTGTGATTGTTTTTATATAAAAATGTATTAGTATTCCAACATTAAATAATTTATATATGACGACGATACAATTTAAGGATCAAACGAAATTTTAAAAATAACTTTAGAAGGAATATGTAAATCAAAATAATAAAAAGAATTGGTGGGTTGGTTGCCTTATATAGTAGAATAGCAAAATTGGTACAAATCCAAAAAAAAGAAAAGCTGATTGGCTTAAAAATAAAATACTTAATACAATCTTAATCCAAACATAACCATAACATTAAAAGATGACAAATAAAAGTTGTGGTTGCGGTATTCGCGTAACAAAAAATAGAAGATCCAAAAAACGAAACAAAATTTTAATCCATCTTATGTTAACATAAACATCTTTCATTACATATAAAGTTGTTGCTGAGGATGTTGAATTACCGTCTGATTTTGCTTGATTTGTCGCTCAATCTGCTCGGCCTGAGAATGCATTCCCATCGTGCGGTAGTATCTGAGAAATTAAAACTATTGTTTTTAAATATTTTAAAAAGCAACGTACTCAGCCCACTGAACACTGTAATCAGGCTGGCCAGTCTGTGGATTGATAGCTGGCGCAGAACCACCTGAAAATTGTTTTCGAATATTTTTTGAAATGAAAATTTCTAAAAAAAGAATATACCTCCTGCATTGTTCATTGCAGCAGCGTTTGTCAGCGCTCCTTGCATAGAAAGTTGTTGTTGTGGCTGAGCCATAGCCTGCTGCTGCATTTGGTGAGCAGCTTGATGGTGCGGCTGCACTTGTGGATGAAGTTGTGGCTGGAGCTGAGGAGTCTGCGAAACGGCCGTATTCATACCTCCAGGCATTGGCTGAAAATGCTGTTGAGCAGCAGCACTAGCAAATGTCTGTTGCGGGGCAACATTCGCAGTTGCAGCAGCAAACCCAGCTTGTTGCTGATTATAATATTGATTCCAAACTGACGGATCTTGAACCTGATGTGTAGGTGCAGCATCTAAAATTCATTTTAAATTACATAAGTCAAATAACGCTTACTAAATGTTTGAGGAATGCTTGTTGGCCCATACGGATTTCCAACAGTAGTCAATGGGGCAGCAGTTGGCGCAGCAGTCAATGTCGCAGTAGCAGATCCGGTATGGAATGGTGGCAAAGGAGTTCCAGGCGCAATATCTCCAACCTTTATGCGAATAATGTGCTGTACATGATGAATTTGATAAGGAGTCCCACGTATCACAAAAACTTTCTCATTCGGATTGGGTGGCGAATCCCGACTCAGCTCCACATGAGCGCCAGTTTCTCCAGAGATCTATTTAGAATTTTTAAAAAGTATTCTTTGACTGAAAAATATACCTGTTTAATTGTATCACCACCTTTTCCAATAACCAAACCAGTCTTATTAGCAGGAACATGCATATAGAAAGTTTCTTGCTGTTGACTACCACTTCCGCTACGAGTAACAAGATCGGAAATTAATTGAGTAGCACGGCTAATTTGTTCAGGAGTTCCTTGAATTACTGCACAGCGTTCTTGTAGACTTGGATCTGTTGAAATTTGAGAAATTTAAGATATTAATTGGGAAGTTTTGTTAATATATTATGAAGACGATAAATGTTGTGAAGAGTCAATTATCAGATTTCAAATAATATTTTCAATTTTTCGCATTTATGACACTCATTAACCAAAAAAGTTAACAAGCTCTTTGATGCGATTTTTATCTTACGTAGGTGAATCTTAGTTTTTTTTATTCTATATAGCCCGGCCTTAGAGATACCTTAGTTGAATATTAGTTCAAAAAGTTGAGATAAGAAAAGGCTTCGACAGACTATTGCTATTTGGTAAAGGTTAAACCAAAAAAAAAACAAAGCAATAGTTCTGACAAGAGAATATACCATAATTTTGTTGATCTTGAATTGAGGCAAACGAACCGTCCGGCTTGAATTGTATTTTAGCACCGGTTTCAGCAGCCAAACGCTTGATAGTGTCACCGCCTTTCCCAATAATAACTCCAACCGAAGAGCGTGGTACGATTACTTCTCCAATAGACTTAGGCCCATTTGCAGCACGCAAAGCTTGGGAAAGGTTAGGCTGAGTCGACGCATCACCTGCCAACAGACTCTCAATTATACGCTTAGCATGTTCAACTTTCTCGGGAACTCCAGAAATACGCAATGGCTTCTAAATCAAAATAAGTCGATTTTAAATTTGATGCTAGTCTTCAAATAATAGCAAAAAGTACAAACATTTCCCATAGTAACTTGATGATTGTCTTGAATCAGCATCATCTTAACACCAATTTGCTCCTAAAATTAATCAAATTGAAAAAATCAAAATAAAATTTTTGCTACCTGGAGTCCTTTTATGGTTTCACCATTCTTCCCAATTATCAATCCACACTTTCCACCAGGAATGCTCAATTCAACAGTCGCCATATTCCCATTTTGAGCCCCAAGCCCTCCGCGGGCGCTTCTCTCAAGAACATCATGAATAAGAGCCTTTGCACGACTAAATGTAAAATTTAAAAAATGAATATAGAGCGAATCTCGAACTCAATGCATTGACGAGGCCCTTGCAAAGTGCATTGACGGTACCCAGCATTACCACTTTCACCAGCCATTTGAACTCTACATCCAGATTGCTGCTGAATGAGCTGTATTTGCTCCCCACCACGTCCAATAACTAAATATGTTTTAATTACGAAACACTTGAAGAAACAAACCAAGTCCAACTTGACTTTCAGGGATGTCAACGGCGTCGACGAGTGTTTCGCTCACCGGTGGACCCATTCCCATGCCAGCCATGTCTTCTGTACCGTTGAGCTTTTCGCGTTTGGTGGGTAAAACTGAAAAATCAAAAAGAATAAATCTGCAGGAATAAATTGCAACTTTCCAGGTAAAAATATAAGGCAATAATAAATGTGAACGTAAAATTGGATAAAAAATAATTCATCAAACCGTTAATTTCAATGCCTATGAAATGATGTGAAAAATGTGTAAAATGTATGTAAAAGTATCGCTAAAGTCACACGTACAGTTCAAGTCGTCTGAATTTGTTCTCTTGTGCCCTCCGTCAGTTGCAGCGAGCTGAATAAATGTATAAAATAAGGGGTATTATGGATATTGGCAACAACCAGGCACGTCTCGCCTGTAGCTGTGCAGTTCATAAATTAAAGTTCATTAAATTTAACAAACATTTGCGCAAACCCTGCTTATAAAACATTCGAAAAAATGTGTGAAAATGCATGGGAAATGCAACATATATAAAATATATGTAAATGGAAAAATAAAAAATGTGAAATGTACTTTTAGTTTATCTTGTAAATGCATAAATGTAAATCAAAGTAAATGTAAATTAAAATTGGATAAAACATTCAACATTTAAAATCTTATAAACGAAATGAATTCAAATGGGAAATGTTTAAATGAACCAACTTTAACCATGAAATGTAAATAATAAAATGCATACGAAAATGTGAAAATTTGCAATAAAAAATAAATACGCAAATGGAAATGCATAAATTAAATAATTTTTAAAAAATGAAAATTAAAGCCAACCTTTTTTGCGCGTAGCAGTGCTGTGTTTATTTCAGAATCTGCTAATTGATGATTTTGGGTGTCGTTCATTAGAGGGCAAAAGCCGGCATCGAAGAATTATTTGTTTTGATAGCTAATTAAATCTTTATCTAAAATAATGAAATAAATATTAAAACTAGTTTCGGGCAAATTTTATTTTGAGACAAATCAGTTTACGAAAGAAAACTTCGAGCTGACAATGAGATGAACGACAAAATTAGTTCACGGTATGAACAGAAATATAAGTATGAAGGACCAAGCTGATTTTTAGGGTCTAAAATTCGAATCAAATTTTAAAGAGATCACCAATCCAACATGAGTCGAATGCCCCTTCCATATGGTCCAAAATAAAATCCTTTCGAAACCAGTAGTTAGGCCTTATCCCTTATTTTCTATAACTTAAAAATAATTCTAAACAGCTATAAACACATATGTACAATACTACAATAAGAAAAAATTAAAAAATCAATCAAGAAGAAATATCAAAAGCAAAGAAAAAAGTAACACGTTGAAACATAAGAGCAGAATGAATAGAAGTTGGCGTTTTGAACAATTCTCCCTAATTGATATTTTAAAATATTTACATTATGTTTTGAAATTTTTTCAAATCGTTTTGAAAAATCGTAATTCAAATGATTCAACAATAAAATTTATTTTGTAGTTACATTTTTAAGGGACACGCCCAAGTACCCATAACTAGCTGGAAAATTTCTGGACCTAACAGTTTCGGTACCAATCTCTTTAACTTGATGAGAGAAATCTATTACTAAATTTTGAAGGATTCGGAAATCTTTGAGCAAGTCATGGCTTTGCGTCTACTTCCTCGCGCGCCTACTTGGGCTGTTCCCATTATTAAAGTCTTGATTTTTTTACAAATTTTATACATACATATTCGACGATTTTTAATTAAAAATGGCTGATCCATTGTCGCTTCTACAAGAATATGCAATGAACAAGAGGGAATTAGGCGAAGTTAAACACGTATATGCGTATTTTTAATATTTTATTTAATTTTATATTATTTAGAATGGGAAGCTTTACTACGTTTTTGGCGATATCGCATATCCACACGATGCGAAAACTAATCTTGGTGTTTACAACAAACAAGACGAATACTATTCAATAGAATCAATCCTGCTTTTTTGGAATATGCGTGATTTACAACATACAGCATATGTACGTGATGTTTCTGGCAGAGGAATTGCATCTATCACGAGAGTTCAAAGGTAATTTTTAAATCACTTTTAAAATTTTTATTTCAGGCGCGATCTTCTTGATTTTCTCAATGGCGGTGCTCTTCCAAAAGAAGCAAACATGTTGGCTCCTGTTCCGCCGCACATTCCTACTTCTCATTTACACGCAGATGAATCACAGCAACATGCACAGAAACAATATGAACCGGAAAGGAAAAGGCCGAGGATCGATCAGCACCACGACAAAAAAGGGTATTATTGCCAATTGGTGGTTGACTGGAGGAAATTTCTCTTGTCTCCTCCATTTATAGGCAGCGCATCGACAAAATCCTGGAGAAATCAATTGAAAAAGGAAATTCCGAGCAGGTTCGTGGTTTAAGCAATGAACTGTCAGCCGAACGGGTCGCACAGCTCCGAAGCAGAGTCAAAAGCAACTTAAAAAACAAGGCATTGGATGAGGAAAGGTATGTTATCGATTCTTTTTTAAATTAACTCATTTTTTAAGCTTCATATCAGTTTCGCAAGAGACGGCAACAACCGCAACCAGTGATGCTATCGGTCGGTTTATAGCTGAAAAGGAGAGAACGCGTAAAGATCGCACAACATGTTTGGAATCGCAGTCAAGGGATTTTTCCAGTATCATTTCTGTGCTCAAGGATCTTCAGGTACTTTGGTTTTTAATAACTTTTTTTTACAAATTTTATATTGTCTGCTTGTTTTTTAGATGCGTGAAAATCAAGCCAAATCTTCTGCGCATCATTCTGCAGGTGTATATTCCTCGGGAGCTTCTACAGGGGCTGCAATGCAAAATACAAAAATGCAAAGGCAGGCGGTTTCAGCTGGATATAGCCGTTACGACCAGGAAATTTTTCAACGTGAAACAGTTGCAGATTTCGAAATTGAAACAGATCTTAGTTTTCATGGTCAAAAATTTTTTGTAAAATAGATTTTCATTTAAAACCTTTATTTTAGGGCAAGGTGCCCTCGTTAACAATCAACAACAAAGATTAGTTCCTACGGCAGACGCAGTTTCCTCTCTCCCGTCCAATTCTACTGCAACTAACGGCATTCATAAACCAACAGATCAACATCCTTCAAGACCAAATTCTGTTGCACCTTCAATTTCTGGCTCGCGCAGTCAACCTAAGCGTGTGTCGCGCACTCCAATAATTGTAATACCTGCTACGGGGACAGCTTTAATAACTATGTATAACGCTCGAGATATCCTACAGGTTTTAGTATCTGGTTAAAACTAAAATACCTAAATTTTATTAGGATTTGCGTTTTGTAAGCTCTGAAGAAAAGAAAAGAACATATAGCAGACGAGACAATGAATCATTGCTTCAAATTTAGAAAAATAATGTTACAGTGCCATATCGAGTCATAGATAATCCAACTCGTTTGAAGGATGATGAGTGGGAGAGAATTGTTGCAGTTTTTGTTCAGGTTCCTTTTCAGTATCCACGTATTTTTTTATCTATGATAATATTTAACTTAATTATTTATAGGGACCTGCCTGGCAGTTTAAAGGTTGGAAGTGGAACGGAAATCCGGTAGAAATATTTTCTAATGTTGCTGCTTTCCATCTTAAATTTGAAGAACAAAAAATGGATCCAAATGTTGCGAAATGGAGGTTTTTTTTAATTTATTTTGTTTTTTATGTTTAAAACTTTTTAGCGTTAATGTTTTGCAATTGTCTCGTACAAAGCGTCATCTCGATAGAGCAATCCTTCAGCGTTTTTGGGAAATTTTAGATCGTCATATTGCAAAAAGCAGTAAACGTGATTGGCTTCGGTATTGAAGATATGAAAGGTCGTTCTTAAAAAACCCAAATTCCTATGAAGTTGGAATTATTTGGAAAATTCTTTTGATCGTTATTTGTTGTCATTTGATGATTTTTTAAATTCCATTTATTCAGAAACTTTGCTATATTTTCTTTTCAGTTTACCTTAAATACTTTTTATCTTCATTGTCCACTTTTGTTTGCTATGCGTAATTAGATTTTGTCATAAATGATAATTTTGTTTCTAGTTAATATTTTAAAATTTATGTTAGTTTTTGACAAATCGTTTTTTATTAGATTTTTTTAAATTTTTATGATTCTCATGTTGACATATTTTTTATCAATTAGTCATATGTTTTGCATTTGATAAGTTATCATATGAACAAACATGGAAACTAATGAAGTAAATCAGCATGCATTTGTTTCGGAAGAATGTTCTCCATTGTCTTCGGAGAATTTATCAGTTAGACCACGGAAGCTTACGTTGTTTGAGTTTATGTGGATGGAAATTTCACGGTAAAAATGCTTTAACCGAATATTTGTAGACTTTCTAAATTTAACATATATTTAATACATCCTTTGATTAGGGAGCAGGCCAGTATACCGCGAGCCCAGCATACCGCCGAGCTATAACTTCGTTCAAAATTGTCGAATCCGGGAGTCCCTGGTATGGCTCGATGCGCCTCAACGAGCTGGATCGAAGCATACCAGGGCCGCCGGGATTCGACAATTTTGAACAAAGTTATAGCTCGGCGGTATACTGGGCTCGCGGTATAACGGGGTGTATCCCTTTGATTATGATTCTACTCAATTTTTAGCGGTTATTCTTTACAAGATGAGCAGGATCGCTATACAGAAAAGAGAAAGAAAGTTTACGCCTTCATCCGTATCCCGTTGGAATTGGAAAGGTTTATTTTCTTTGGCCTCAGACAATGTTTGGATGCTTTCTGTCACATGTTCACCTTTTTACCTCTTCGAATTATAGTTTTTTCCTACTTTTTGTTTTAAATTCAACAATTTTATTTTCAGGTAAATTTTTTTGGATGTCTTTCCAGAACAAAAAGTTGGACTGCGGCAGATACTTGTGATATTTTAAAAGTTTTGATAATTGTTTGTTCTTGCTGGTTTATGCAATTTGTAGATACATCAATGATGTATCATTTAGTAAGAGGTCAAGGAGTAATTAAATTGTACATCTTTTATAATATGGTAAATTATTTTTAATTTCATATATTTTTTCTATTTTTTTAGCTTGAAGTCGCAGACAAATTATTCAGCAGTTTTGGTCAGGTTGAATTTTAATAAATTGAAATTAAAAAAAAAATTTTTTTAGGATGTTTTGGATGCTCTATTTTGGACAGTTTCTGAGCGTGGAGAGCGTTTCAACTTTTTATCAGCAATTTTTCATCTTTTTATGGCAATAGTTTATGCTCTCACCCATACTCTTTTGATTTTGCTTCAAGTAAATTTTTTCTTTTTAAAGTTATTTTTTTTAATTTTTGGCAACAACTTTGAATGTCGCTTTTAATTCACATAATCAATCTTTACTAACTATTATGATGAGCAATAATTTTGTTGAATTGAAAGGATCTGTTTTTAAAAAGTTTGGGAAGCCAAATCTTTTTCAAATGTCATGTAGCGATGTTAGAGGTTTTAAAAATGTGTCTATCTATTCATAATTTAAATTTAGAGCGTTTTCATACAGTTGTTTTATTGTTAGTTGTTGTGCTCAGAAATATGACCGTTTGTTTTTTAATATTTTAATTAATTTTATTAGTAATTTTAGGCTGTAAATTGGAAATTAGAACATCTCTATGAAATGACACCAGATTTGGTTTTTAAATTTCTTTAATAGTAAAATATTTTTATTTAAAGATTATGATTATTGCTGCTGAATTAATGGTTGATTGGTTGAAACATGCTTTTATAACAAAATTTAATGAAATAAGTTCTCAAGTTTATAGAGGTCTGTTTTGGTGTTTTTCCTCAAATATACACAGAAATTCTGAAATTTGTTTAATTTATATTTTATAAAAATTTTGTTAAAAAACTCGAAACTTTTAGATTTTACAATTACACTTGCTTTTGATGTTTTAAGAAGTCACCAGCACGAATCTTTTTCAGATTTTTCAGATCAGGTAATTAGACAATAATTTTAAATAAAATTTGATTTAAGGTCAGCAGGCGAATGGGCTTTGTACCAATTCCAATTGCAATTATGCTGATACGAGTTGTAAGCCAATCAGTTAATTTGTATGACAGAACAACTGTTGCAGTTATTTGTAATTATTCTTAAAAATATTTTGACTGAATCTTTTTTTTTATTTTTAAAGCAACAGTTTGGATAACAATGCTTTTTATAAAAATAGTGAATGGTGTTTTGATGCATAGTAAAGCTGTTGATCAAGTAATTGGATATTCACAACAATTAGCTGCGCAAGGGGAATTTGAAAGTGAAGAATGTGATGGGAGAAAACCACGTTATTTAAGTAGAAGTATGCCTGGATCACCACATATGAGCCTTTACGATTTTTCTGGTATTTAGATATTTTAAATGACTACTCTTTTTTGTTAAACAGATGTTTTGACACAAACAGCGAAGAAAGCTCCAATCATTCGATTGCAACGAAATAGCAGCAAACAAGATATTGATGAGGAATTGAGAATTGAAGAACCTCCAAGAAGATCACAATCTGTTGGTAACTTTGTCAGACAGGAGACTGATGAGAATAATGAAGGAAATGAAAATAATCTTTCTGGAATATATGGTTTCAAAAATTCTTTAATATTATAATTTTTATCATTTTTTTCAGATAAAACTCTAAAGAGTGATAGAGATGAGGAAACTCAACAACAGCAGCGTCGAATGATTGTTCATCCACAAGAGGAATTAGCCAATATCCAGGCATATTCTTTACTTGAAAATGTTAATCAAACAACAGTTAGTACATCAACAAGTGATTTGAGACATGATGATTGAAAATAAATAATATATAAATTAAATATGTGATAATTTTTGACATTTTAAGGGCTTATTTTTGAAATTCTAATTTTTGTAAATCAGCATAAATTGGGTAATTATTAATATAATAAATCTAATTGTAAGAATACTTTTAATTTTTTAAAAGTTTTAGATAATTATTTTTTGTATGTATTTATTGAAATTGGTATTTTTTCTTTTGGTTTTTGGAAAAAATGTTTTACAATGTAATTTTTAAAAAATACCATGATTTTTCAAAATTCGTTTAAAGATATCATTGGTAAATACATATGTATATAAATTGTTGGGTTTAGATACTTTTTTTATATAATTTTTTAAAATATTTTTAATTAAAAAATAATTAATTATATGTTTAAATATTTAATTTATGTTTTAAATTTTTTATAAAGTTTTGTTGAAAGAATGGCAACAACAAATCCTCGTCAATTCACTTATTTTTTACGTGTAAAAGAAAGTTTTAGTGCAGTGAATGATCCTGACACAAAGGTTAAATTTATATTAAAATTTGAATAATTTTGATTTGTGGTTGGATCTGCAGTTTTTATTAAATAATATATTCTATTTCAGTTATTGTGTAATGATTTGCTCAATTTTATTGACAAATGTGCTGAAAAATCACAAACACGCGTTTTGGATTTTACTTCAAGAAAATGTGAAGAGAATATAAGCCAATTTTTGTTAATGGATCGTGAATTTGTTGGAAGAATGATTGGTGAGGGTGTTTTTTGAAATAATTTAATTTAAAATTTTTTTAGATAATTTTTCCAAATTTTCGGCTAAAGGGATTTTTGATTTATTGTCAAAAGATAATGGAATGGTTAAAGATGTGGCTATGGTAAACAAATTTTGTTTTAATTTTTTGTTAAAATTTATTTTTAGGAATCAAAATCTAGAGCATTAATTAAAGCAATTGAAAAACAATATTACCAAATTATTTGTTTGTCTGCTCTTTATTGCCCACTTGAATTACTCCAAACAATTATTACAAAATTGTGTGCATTTATTTATAAATATAGATCTGATTCTTTATTTGGATTGTCAGAATTAACTGTTTGGACTGCTTTATTGTTATTAATAAATCCTGTTAAGCTTAAACAACATTGTATGTTTAAATATTTTTTAAAATTAATTTGTTAAAAGGTGATGGATCTGTTGAAGTATTCTCACATTTTGCCAAAACATTACAGTCTAATTTAGCCTCACAATCTCCTCCCCGTCCAGGCAATATTACACCTAAAACAAGTTCAAATAATTGTTTAAAAGGCACAATACAATTAGCGCTTGGAGTTGCTATAAAATATGCGAGAAATTCTTTGGGTATATTTTCGGAATAAATTAAAAATTTTATTTTTAGGTTTGTGTATTCCACATGAACTTGATGAAATTGAATTTGTTAATGAGGGAATAAATAATTTGGCTTTAGAATTTCTATTAGCGTTTATTGTACAATCACCGATATTTAATGGTGGGGATGATTTTGCTTTTACTGTTGAATTAATTGATAATATACTGAAGAATTTTATTTGTTATTTTCCAAATAAAGTAAGTTTTTAATAAACAAAATTATTCTATGGAAATTAAAATGAAAATTATCCTTGACTCTTGCCACGCTTATAAGGTGGCAAGTGTTTTTTCAGGCCTCCGGCGATTTTTCACTTTTTAGCATGTAAATAACCAAAGGGCCACATTTCCTCCCTTCTAAAAAATAGAAATAATTTTTGGCAATCAAATAAATTTGAATCATAAAAATATTTAAAATAGTTCCTGAATATATTTTCATTTCCTAGCTTGTTGAAATGTACAATCTATGCGAAGATGAGTTACAAACAATGGCGGAATATCAAAACCAAGAAAATAATGAAAATTATTTTGGAAATGAAGAGCAACAAAAAACTTCTAGAGCACCTAATTTTTCCCATTTACATTTTAAAACTTTATTAGAATTAATTGCAGCATTATATGAATCAGAGAATAATACACAATTAATACAACTTTCGGCAGAATTTACAAATCCAAATTGTGTAAGAAAGAAAAAAAGAATTTACATATCTTTTTTAATTATTTTAATTTAAATAGGAAGGACTTTGTGACTTTATTTATCGTGGAAGAACAATTTCAGCACCGGCATTAAAAGTTGCATATTTGGACATGTTACGATCATTATGTAAGAATGGGCAGTCAGCGGAAGTTTTCTTTAATATCTTTAAATAATGGAACTTCTTTTGTTTCTAAATATTTTTTGAATTAATTAAAATTATAAAATTTTAATTTTTGAGAAGAAAATTAACAAAAAAAATTTTTAACAAAATAATATTTAATATTTTAATCACTTTCATGAAAAGTTCAGCAAAAAATTGATGAAAAATATATTTATTAAAAATCTTTACAAATTATTTAAATTTTCTGTCACCATTAATTTATCAGACCGCTGCCTTAAGGGCCCTAATGACGCACTTCTTCCTTCTGCTAATTCTTTTCTTGCACTTTCTCTTCTAACAAATCTACTTTCACAAATTCCCAATCGGGGTGAAGGTATTGGAGTTCCTGGTGGTGGAGGGGGATTTTGATCATTACCACCGCCACCCATAGCACGTTCATACCCTATGCGCATTTGGATTATAATAAAGTTTATCTAAAAAAATGTGAAGAAAATTATATTATGGCTAAATATTACTTAAATTCTTTCAACTACTTATTATATTAGCTCTCTCCCCCTTATACATTTAATAATTAAAATGGAAATATGTTAGGATTGATAAATAGGCAAATAGAGCTAAACTTGTTGAGCAAAATATGTATAACTTTATGAGGTCGAACGTTGTTTGATTATGCCAATGGCTAGCTTAACTTAATTTCAATTAAAAAGTTACCCCGCTTAGAAAAATTAAGATGTAATTAAATTTTCGCAAAAATATTTATAACTTGCCATAATCTTCCAAAGATCATGACCTTCAGCATTTTGAAAAACTTCCTTTGGAGGATTATCCTTAATAATTTAATTAATTTAAATATTTAATTATTAATAACTTCAAAGCAACGCGTGAAAAGTGCCCAATGATGTCTTTAAAAATTAAAATAAATATAAAAGGATATATTTTTAATATACGGTTCAATTGGCCATGGCAACCGAGAATGTTTAGCGCCCAAACACTTAAAATTTTTAAAAATTTAATAGAAAGTTTAAAAAATTTACTTGAAGGGCTAAACAAACCTTTAAAAATTAAAAAAATAATTATTTTTAAATTGTAAAAGAAAAAAACTTTTTGTGTTTCATTATTTAAATTAGTTAAAACAAAATCTAAAACAGTTGCAAAATTAGCTGATTGACGAAGAAATGTTGAGCTAATAAATAAATAAATTATAAAAAATATTAAATTTACCTTAAAATAACTTCACGATCACTTAATCCTAACTGAATAAAAAATAATTTAAAATTATTTTAATTAAAATAACCAAATCAAAGAATTGATACATTTGGGCATTAGATCTTAATAAATGTGACATTATATTTTTAGTACAATCAGTTATTTCGTTTTCTGTTGATAATTCCCACATTTTTTGAAGAATAGATATTTGGTGTTTTGTTAAACCGGCCAAAGTTAAATCTACAAATAAATTATTTTTTGTATTTAAAAATTGTTGGTGAATATTTGGAAATTCTAGAATGTAATAAATATTAAATTAATTAATGCCCGATTTAATCCCTTAAAAGAAACTCTCCCTCTCTTGATGGACGAAAACTTCCATTTTACATAAATATAAATTTGGAGAGAGTACATATCTCCTTCTGGGACTTATATCTCGCTCCATAACCCCAAGTATCTCCAACTCTAACAAAATTATTTTCAATTTATTAAGAGAGCAACCCCCCCCCCCCAATTTAGTAAATAATATCTTTAAAAATTTATTTTACGTTTTTCATAAATTCTAAAATCCAAATCAAAACTACAAAATTGTCCACTTTGTTTACGAAAAGGACGAGGTGATTGTCCAATATTATTATTTAAATTTGTATTTGTTTGTTTTAATTTCCCTCCAACTAAACAAAGCAAATTTTGTTGTGCAGTGTGGGGATTTTGTAGTTGTAAACCAATTAATTGAGCTGCTGCCTTTTCTGGATTCCAAAGTTCCTTTTCACGGTTTGAAATACTCTTTTTTGAATTTGTAGTTGTTCTTGGAGAACAACGAGCTGATCCACTAATATATAATTATAAATAGAGTATTGGATGGAGGGAGGTTATGTTTATTGTGAAATATGTAATATTGTGGAAGGAAAAATCTTATAACATTTAATTACATACATAATTTAAATTTAAAAAAAACATACAAAACAGTTTTTATTTGATTAACAGCCTTTGGGTCAAGACTTTGACTTCTACTTTGCCGTTTTTGCTCTGTTTGCCTTTTTTGTGAAGGGTGGAAGTTACGACTACTTGGAGTTTTTTGACGTTGTTCAGGTACTTTATTTCGTTGACGAAAATTAATTGGAACAGAAGAAATTGACTTTAAAAATTATTTTAAATTTTAAATAGGATATTTAGGTATATTTACTTGTTTCTTTTGTTGACCAGTAGTAGATATTCCTTTTTTAATTCCTCCTCCTCCTCCCCCACTACTACCTCCAACGGTGTTAATATCTTTTAAAGGACGGTTGCTAGTATAACTTTGTGTTTGCCCCATATTTTTAAATTTAAATTAATTTAAATAGAAAGAAATTAAAATTTTCTTTTTTTTACTAAAATTTCCGGCAATTTGGCACATTAATTTTTTGGACGAATAAAATATAAAAAAAGGGGAGGAAGGGGTTGTTCTCCTTCTCTTTTTTTACTAATGGATTTTTATTTGGCTTTATAGAAAGATTTGCCATTTTTAAGAAAATTTAAAAATTATTTAAACAATTAATGAAAAGAAATTAAGTAAAAGAGTTTTTGTGTTGTTAAAGATTTTTAAAAAGAAAAATTAAAAAAAAAAGAAAATTATTTTAAATTAATTTTTTTGTTTTTCTTTCTTTTCTTTTTTACAATAATTAGTTCCCTCAATTCGTTCCTGATTTGGATAACAAAAATAAGCTTCTTCAAACCCCAATTCAGAATTTGGTTTTCCTTTAAAGGAAATTAAATTTAAATAAAAAAATATAATTTTTCTTAAATTTACCCAAAACTTTCATTGCATTTGTATACTGAAATATTCCCCCTTTAATTCCAATTAAAAGTACTGACTGAACTGTTGAATTAGCATCCACTTTTGAATTTTGTATCGGATCTCTAGAAATATTTTTTAAAAATTATAATTAAAAATCTAAACTTATTAGCAATAAAAGTAGCATTTAAACGATATATTTTTGACTGATTTTGTTCATTAATTAGTTCTCCAGTTACTTGTAAACGCCCACAATCATTATTTTTTTCTAACAATTTTTTCTCATTTTCTAAATTTATTTGTTCATTAGAATCCCCACAAATTAGCCAATCTGTTTAGAAAAAATCTTTTTGAATAATTTTTAATTAAAAATTACGTTTATTAACAAATCGAAGGGAGGCAAGTACACTAAAAGAAATAAAATTTTTAAATTTAAATATATTTTCTGTTTTCTTCTCAAAACCTTTTACGCATAATAGAATTCCAATTTTGAAGTTTATTTACTGTTTCTATATCCGCATTTGGATATGTTACTTGTAGTCGAACAACACGAACAGCTGGTTCTGATAATGATGATGATGATTGGTTATTTGCTGTTTGTTGTTGTCCAAATATTGAAATAAATAAATTTAAATAAATTAATAATAATAATAAAATATTAAACATTTTCTTTTTTTATAAATATTAAAAATAATATTAAAATAATTTTTTCTTTTTTAAATTCTAACAACAATTATGTATATATTAGCCTTTTTAAGTAAATCTTCTTCTTTTTTACTTAACCTAACTCAACTATACTTATTTCCTACTTGAATATATTTTTTTAAATCGTGACCCCCTTTTTCTCATTTTTTGGAAAAAATCTGGTTACAAAATTTGAAAAAATAAAATAAAAACAATTAAAGAATAATAAATAAATATTTTTTAGTTAAAAATAAATAAATAATTATTTATTTTTATCTTCTTATTTGGTCAATTATAAACCGGAAATGCTTTTTTTTAGCTAAAAATACAATCCACATCCATTTCTAGTTTTTTATTCTCTTTTACAAAATATTTAAAATAATTTTATTTTTTTGAAAGATTTTAAAAGATTAATTTAAAAAAGTAAATCATAATTTAATTAGAATCACAGTGTGTTCCCCCACAAAAACGTCTAGATCTTTCTACCATAGAATCCACTAAATTATTTACAAATTCAAATCCAGCTTTAATTTGTATTTGAGCATTTCCTGTTGTGTCAGCAATTATCTATTTAAAATTTATTTTTTCTTTAAAAAACAGTCAAAACAACCTTTCTACACCCAACATTAAGTAAAGAATCTATCCCCAAATTTTGACTATTTGGTTTATTTTTAATACAATTATTAAGTGCATTATCTATAGTAGATGCCCAATCATTTGTTGATGTAATCCTTTTTTTTAATTTAAAAAATCTTTTTAAAATTCTCTCAAAAATCCTTACAATTGTCTTTTAATATTAGAAACACATTGATCTACTTTAGAACCAGATCCGATAGAAGGGGCAGCCCTAGACCCACTACCATCCACAGCTTCTTTAATAGCATCAGCTATACCAGCAATTCTTTGTTTTAAATCATCTCTAGCTTCATCAATACATGCACAGACTGCTGCTTTTGTTGTTTTTAATGGAGTAACACATTCTGCAGTCTGAGCACCAATTTGATCACACGAATTCAGTACTTTATTAGAAAAAATATTAAAAATTAATTTTGAAAATTAAAATAATTTTAAGAGAGTATTGTGTAGTATTTTAATTAGTATAAACAATAATGATGTACATTAACGAACGTGCCGCCCCGATTCTCAAAAATCGGGAATATATTTTTTCTCGGCACATCCCCAAATATTACTTCAATTAATCTCCTAACCTCTGCAATGTTTTGAGTAAAATCCAAGAAATGGTGACTTTAAACATTCTCTAGTTTTAGCTGCACGTTCAGGTTTACGTTCAGCACAAAATGCAAGACGAGAATGTATCCAAATATAATCAGAAATTGAATCTATTACCTTTTAAATTTTTTATTCAAAAAAATATTTATTTATTTTTAAACTTCTTCTCGAAGTCCAGAACCCCCTTCTTCCAAATCAGGAATCTCTGGAATACCTCCAAAGTCCTGTACTTTTTTACGTAAACAACTTTCTGATTCAACAGCTATTGCTTTACTTATTTGTTCTCTAATACATTTTTGTTCATCAGCAGGGGTTGACAATATTGCTTTAATTGCTCCAGTGGCAAACTAGTGGGAAAAATTAGAAAAATTTTGTTAATTAATTGTAAATATTTGAAATATGTATTGGGAAAAAGAGAGGAAAAGCCATTCAATAATAAAAGGTTGATTAATATTTAGAATAAAATTCCAGGAAAATTATTTGTAGAGAGAAATAAACAAAAATTAAATATATTTACAGTTCTACAAATAGAGCAATCCCTCAGGGGACCATTTCTATCCCAAGCTTTTTGTTCCAAATCAGAAACAGAAAGAACACAACGTTCTTGACTATTTGCATCTGCAATATTTTGTGCAAAGCAAACACTTGCTGCTTTTCTAAAAAATATTTAATTTCAAAGTAATCCCCCTCCCTCCCCCCCCCTCCCCACCTTGTATGTAATTTTAATTCTTCTTCAAAAGAAGAATATTCTTTGTCTAATTCTCCTTTAAGACAACTTAAATAAGAATTTAAAGATTGTTTTGTGTCACAATTATTTTCAGCCAAAATAATATTAATTAAATAATTAAATAAAAAAATTAAAATAATTATTTGTTGTGAAGAAGAAGACATTTTTCTTGTAAATATGTAAAATTGTTATTAATAGAAAAAAATATATTTTAATATTTTTTATAAAATAAATTTTATAAAAAAATCTTTTTTTACTAAATAAATATAGATTTTGAATAAAAGTCCTACAAGCAATTATTTAATGTCAATTAAAAAAGGGAGGAAGAGGATTTAATAATAAAATATAATTGTTGCGAAAAGTTATCTATTAAATTAAGAATAAATTTAAAATATTTTTAATTAAAAATATTTATTAGTTTTGTTTTTATAAAATTATTTAATGATAATCTTATTATTTTTTTATCAATACAAATTATTTTTTTTCGACGCTTTTGGGCGCCTTTGTGTGAATGAAAGGATTTTTGTTTGATATATTTATGGATATATTTATTTATTTAAAAGTTTTGTGAATAAAACAAAAATTGGAGCGAGACAAAAATTTATTTTAATAAAAGAGAAGAGAGAGAAAAGATTGTTTTTGAATTGCGCAGAATCTAGGACAGAAACAAATCACATAAAAGAGGGATAAATAAATAAATAAATGATTAATTTCCGATTTTTTATATACAAAAATAGATAAATGTTTAATTAAATAAAAATAAGTATTTTTATCAAAAATAATTAAATAAAATAAATCTGATTTTGCAAGTCAACAAATAAATTCAACCCAAGTTATTGCCAACAAAAATTAATTGTCGATCTCCTTCGAACATAAATTTAGTGGCAAATTTTTAACTCTAAAAATAAGTAATTGTCGAAGAAATCTAGAAAATCACTGAATCAATCGAGAAATATACATAATTAATCTTCTTTCTCTTAAATATATTTTTCTGTTTCTCCAAGATGCAAACTATTTTAGGAAATAAAGTATTTATTATTTATGGATTCTAAAAAAATAATACTTTCAATTTATGGATTGTAAATACACCTTCGGGGAGTAGGTATCGCTTTAGTCGTTCATCCCAGCCGGTGGATAAACAAATTTTAAAAATTTTAGTTACAATTAGAGGTCTGCTTGTATAAATAAAAAAAATTTCTTTAAATAATATTATAGATAATATTAAAATTAAATAAAAACATATTTAATAATTGAGATCGAATAGTAAATTATTATGTATACATATTGGCCCTTTGTCCAGATTACGCGTTCAATCAAGGGCGATAAGTACCTGATTTTTCACGATAAGTACTATTAAATCAATGGGAATAGAAAGCTCTACTCATACAGAGGTAGCGTTAACGACCACACACACTAGCGTTAACGACCATAGGTGCTAACACACAGAGCCGGGTACTTATCGCTCATAAACATTTCATTGGAGCTTAAACTTTCGCGTAATCTGCACATAAATATTTATAATATTACTAATATAATATATTACAATAATTTTAAAGACTCCACCCTTTTACTTTTCTTTCCTTTTCTTTTATTGGTTAGAGCCATTCTGTTGGCCATAACTATTTGGAGAAGAAACTACTGCCGTTGAAGCAACGCTGGAAATTCCATTTTGCTTATAAAAATTTCTATAAAGTTCATCGGCAGCTGTTTCTGCTGAACTAAAACAGTTTAATTGAGTGCTGAAAATTGAAATTAAAAATTAAAACTAAATTTCCCAGGAAAACTAACCCCCCTCCAATTACTTGTCCAAAAGAACTCATTGCAGCATAAGGACTCATATTCATAGCATTTGGATAGGTTGCACTAGTCATTGAACGACTACTTCCCATAGGGTATGCAGCCGCAGAACACCTGAAAATCACTAATTTAATCACAAAACCTTTCTGGAGATCTCTGAAAGTAAAATATAAATACACAGAATTTTCTTAAAAATTATTAGTGAAAATTTTAAATAGAAGTTTTATAGATTAAGATTATTTTTATTATTTTAAGTAGAGGGAGTTAAGTTGCCATTCAGTTAACAATAGTGCTTTGATATTTCAATTATTTTAACTTTCAAAGCACTAGCTACTCCAACAATTATTATTATTTAATTTTTCTGAACAATCTATCTGACTAAAAATATTTTTATGAATTTACCAATAATTACTGTCAATACCCCCACCACCTCCACCACCACCATTACTAGTACTATTATTATTTCCAATATTTCTTCCATTAGTTCCAGAATTATTTCCATAGCTATTTACTGAACATAAAGTTGACTGAACTAAAGCATCTGCTCGAGCAACGGCTGCCTGCTGTTGTTGATGTTGGGCTAATATATTAGCTTGTGCAAGCATTGGACCCAAATTTGAAGTACCCCCAACAACTGCAACAGCTGTTGAGGCAGCTTTGTCTAGTTGTTTCTTCTGTTTTCGAAACTAAAAATAAAAGAGGAAATTTTGGTGTTAAATTTTTAATATAAAAATAACCTTTGCTCGTCTGTTTTGGAACCAAACCTGAAAATTGAAAAATTGTAATAAATTGGAATTTCTTAATTAAGACTTTTACAGAAAATATAAGAATTACGGTTAATTGGAACGTTAAAAATAAAGTAGTGATATTTCCAGACGGTATATGTAAAATGAGGGGTTTTCTAAAAGGAATTTCTGTTCAAAAATTGAAGACGCTCAATAAATTTTGTTTGTAAATTTATAAATATACAAATTTCCCCCCTTAATTTTTAAAAGTTAATCATTCTCAAATCCACACAATCAAACATCCCCTCTCCCCTTCTTCTTTATAAATTACTTCCTCAATTATTTTAATTCTTTTCTATTCTTCCACTAATCCGCTCATTCCTATTCTTTATTTTCTTCGCAGTTTTTGTTGGTGGTGGCTGTCGGCAGATGTGTATATGCATTTTTATTCTCTTCTATTATATATTAAGTCTCAAACAAAAATTGCGGGAAATTTTGCCCATCCTTATATGTATGTATTCAAAAAATTGGTGAAGAAATGATGGGGAAAAGTATATTCAAAAATGAAATGACAATTTTTTAAGAAAATGAAAGGAGAGGAGGAATTTTGGAAGTAAATGGGAAAAAAATAATTGTGTTTATAAATAAAAATAAAATTTAATAGTTTAAATTAAGTAATTTGAAAGAAATGATGACTTTAAGAGGAGAAGTTTGTAATTTGGGAAGGGACTGAAGAGAGCTTCCAGAGTTTTAAAATTTTGAAGGTTTTTTATCAATGTCTATTATTTATATAAAAATATGTATACTTAAACAATTTTTAATTTATTTTTTGATAAAAACTTAGTTCCTTCCTTCTCTTTTCCTCTCATTTTATGCATAATTAGGCTTACTCAATTGTTATGTTTATATTTATACTATTATTATTTTGTCCCCCATTTCTCATTTCTTTTTGTCCTCAAAGTCCTCTCCATCCTTCAATTCTATTACTTTTCTTGTATTTTCAATAGAGCGAATTAATTGGCCTTCGGGATTCTCCCTCCCTCCTCCCCTCCCCCACCCCTTCCCTCCAACAAACACTTCTTTACTTAAAAATCGACTCGCGCACCCCCCTTATAACCACCAATTTTGAGCCTTAACCAACTACTTCCTGAGGGAGTTATAATAAGAAACTATTCTAGATATGTAAAAACTTGCCCAAGCAATGACCCGGAAAACAAAAAGAATTGAAAAAAGGAAAAGGAAATTTATAACTAATTCCAGTAATATATATTGCGTAATTGTTAGTCTGGATATTTTAATATTTTGTAAATATTCTGTTATCTTTTTTTTGAATAAGAAAAACTACACAAATTCTACATAAATTGTAAATTTATTTACCTGAATACGAGCTTCATTAAGTTTAGTGGAACGTGCCAACTCTTCTCGCTGATAAATATCTGGATAATGGCCTATATTGTTGAAAGTATTATCTAGTTCATTAAGTTGTTCAGCTGTGAATGTTGTTCTATGTCGGCGACTTTAAAAAATAAAATTTTGGAAATTATGTATAAACCTCCACAAATAGTTAAAAATAATAATTTTTGAAAGTAAATTTATTTTTAAAATAAATATATAGATTAATTACCGCGCTGGAGCTGAGGAATAAAGTGTTGAGGAAGATGAACAATTATTCCCAGCTGACAGAAAAATATTTCCGCTTGTTTGTCCCAATCTTGGTTCTTGTTTAGGTCGTTTTAGGTGACTAGACTGATCATTTCCCCCACCATTTATGGCATTATTTACAGCTGCTAAAGCGGCAGCAGTTGAATGGCCATCAATGATTGGACGAAGACTTGCCGCTGCTGACGCATATGTATTATAATGAGAGAAATCAGCTAAAGTATCAGCACTGCATCCACTCGGTTTTATATCCTTTATAGGGATAATTTAAAAATTTTTTTTGTAAATTATTAAAAGGGTTAAGAATTGATAACAAAATCTAGTCCTCACTCAATATTCGTTATCTACATTGTGTTAAAAACCTATTAGGCTATTACTTAAGGGTACTGACATGAGAGGAAAATATTTAATTAAAATAAATTAAATGAACATAGGCATATACTCCGAAAGGATTTTTAAAAAGAAAAATGAGAGAGGGAGAAAAAATAAAATTATGTAAAATTTGATTTGGTAAAAAACCTCAACATTTTCCTCCTTTTCCATCCATTCTTAAATAAATTTAACAAAAATTCGATTTAGTCTTTTGTATAAATTAGTTTTATATATTTGTGTGCCCGCCCCAATAGTTGTGGTTGTCTTTATATAAATATATTTATTTATTTAGTTATTTTCCCTCTATCACCCCCCTATTTTTTGCCTCACCCAAAACTCAATTTGGCGCCAGTAAATTATGAAAATGCGTTTATCTTCTCCATTTTTCTTCATTCTACTCTTGGTGACAAAAACACACACGCAGAAATACGCAAAAGAAACACTCAAAGCTGGTTATGGCCTCCAATATTCAATTAGAGAGACCTCTCTCTCTCTCGCTTTTCCTTGATTTAATCATCGCGCCCTTTCCATTACAGAAAAGAAATTTTCTGGCATTCATTCTAATTCTTCCAGTCATTTTAAGAATTTTTATTTTAGAGAATTTTCTTTATTATTTAAATAAACCTACATTTTTTTAACTATTTTTTATTTTTTGTTTTAATTTTTCAAATAAAATGTTTCGATCCTTCTTTAAATAACCCTTCCTTTATTTATCTCTAATAATTAAATAAACATGCCTGTTGAATAGAGGGAATTGAAAGCATTCCAGCAGATCCAGGCATTAATGCCTGTAAAGTAGACAATGAAAAAGAAACTCCATCAATTTGGTGTTGATTTGTTTGTTGTTCTACCATTAATTGTTGCTGATTGGATGATTCTAAAGAGTCATCCTGATTTCCGTCGATTGAGCTTTTAATTTCTCCTTGATTTCCAGAAATTTCATTACTCATTTTTAAAATTAAAAGTTTAATTTAATTTGTTAGATTTTCTGAAAGAATATTAAATATATTTTGATTTTAACAATTTTTAAAATTAATTTTAAAATTAATATTATATTTGATCTGCTTCTTTTAACAATCCGCAACTTTGCGCCAATTCTTTCAATCGGTTGTCATGCACAAAGCGCAGGTCCGTAAGCTTCTAGAAGTGGAAAATGAGTAAATTGAATTTATCTAGAAAGGCAGCCGGGACACAGAATTGAGCGTCAACGGCATTTTAAAGAGAAAGGCGGGCGGTCGTAGAGGAGGAAAGACCGTATACTAACTCATTCAGTTTAAAGCAGGCTGGCATTGAAGCTAAAATTTCCAAGTTGGGGCTCTAACTAAATTACCACTTTTAAAGAGAAATAGGAAGGCAATGAAGGAAAAGAAAAGGGTTAGGCCAAATCCTCACCCAAATTTATATAAGCCATCTTAAACGAAGAGGTTTGTCTTGGCACATAACAAAATGAAGCTACATTGAGCAATCTCGTTAGTAAGCTTTTGGGTCTATGATAGAGGAAAAAAATAAAAAAAAAGGAAAAAAGCTATGATGAGGGTTTAGGGGGGGGGAAGGCAAAAAAATATATTTAAGAGAATAAAGCAACCAATTGTATGTATATTTAATAGTAGACAAGAGGGAAAGGCACGGTGGCGGCTGTAAGATGCCGCCCACGCTTTATTTTAAATTGGCCAAAATTGAAATGTTTTTAATAAAAATATGTATTTTTAAGAAAAACATTTATTTATTTAAAAAAGATTCAGATTTTATTTGATAGAAGAGAAAAAGATACAAAAAAACAATGGAAATAAAAATTATTTAGTTTAAGACTTTCTCGTTTATTATAGGAGGAATGCCTTCGGCTTACTTTCCGTTGCGTAAATTTCCAAATTTACACAACTAGTGATTAAAGGATATAAAAATTTAGGAAAAAATCAGAAAATAAACTGGAATGTAAATTTTCCCCGTTATACAGTCTAGTGAGAGGTTGTGTTAATTTTTCAAATCTTTGCCCCCTAAATATTGAAGAGAGTTTTAGTTTTAGAATTAAATCCATCCTCAATGCTCGCAAATTAAATTAATTAATAATTATTTAATTTTTTAAAATCTCACTTTTTGGTCTGTTTAATACAAATTATAGTTACTGTTGAGGTCATAAATTAAAGTGTCATGAATCCATGAAAAAAGAATTATCAATTTTGGGTACAGATAAGATAAAACAAAAGCGGCAGCTAATTTGCCGCACTCTTCCAAATTTACGCAATTAGTCAATTTATTTTTTTTATCAAAAGTATAATTTTATCATTTTTTTATTTTCCAAAAAAAATCAAAATTAATTTCTAAGGCACTCTTTACCCATTTAGGTACAATGGAAACGGCTCTTATAATGACATCTGTGTCAAGTGTTAATCTCTTCCCACAACAAAATAAAAATACACTGAACAAAACATTCGAAATTCAACAATAAAAACTCGATACGAATCCATTGTAGCCTAAAAGGAGAAGTTTGTAATATGGGAAGGGACTGAAGAGAGCTTTCAGAGTTTTAAAATTTTGAAGGGGTTTTTCTAATTAAATTAAATTTTTATTGTTAATAATTATAATTTTATTATTACTATTAACCTATCAATTTATGTTTTCTATTAAAAATATCATTTTTTATTTTCCAAAGAAAAAATCAAAATTAATTTCTAAATAGATATACTATGTATATTTATTATTTAATTATTAATTAAAGTAATTGAGATGTTCATATCCTGCTGTTTCTTTTCATTTTTCTTTGCCGCCAAATAAAATTCAAGATATATCTTCTCATCCACTTAACACAATATAATAAAAAAATAAAAACTACATATACTTTAAAAACAAATAATTTAACGAATATGTAAAATTTATAAAAAAATTCTTTAAATATTACCATATATGCTCTAATAATTACCCCGGGTGATTATTGTTTTGCCCTCATGCTGGAGAACCCTCAAACACTAGATATTTCTTACTTTAATTAGTGTATTTTAAAATTTTTAATTTCTTTTTTGTCAGAATCAACAAATATAGTCGCGTTTTACAGTCGTGGAAAAAAGTATGGAAGCGCTAGAAAATTTTCTCTTAATTTTTAATTTTTCATTCAAAAAATACGTTCTATATACCAATCGAAAGCTCTATTCGTATCTCAGTTGACATGTTTCTGCATTTTTCATGAAAATGAAAATTGGACGAGATAATCCGGATCTACCGGATATACCAAATCCCACTTTTTCGGAAAAATTTTTCGGAACAAATTTAACAAACCCAAATGATAGAGTATATTTTTCTGAGTATTTTCCACAAAACCGCTTAGAAATATCTTTTTTCGAAGCAGAGATATGATTTTTTGAAAATCGCATTTTTCCCTTAAAAATTGAAAATTTTGCAAAAATTGACGAAAAATGCGATTTTCAAAAAATCATATCTCTGCTTCGAAAAAAGATATTTCTAAGCGGTTTTGTGGAAAATACTCAGAAAAATATACTCTATCATTTGGGTTTGTTAAATTTGTTCCGAAAAATTTTTCCGAAAAAGTGGGATTTGGTATATCCGGTAGATCCGGATTATCTCGTCCAATTTTCATTTTCATGAAAAATGCAGAAACATGTCAACTGAGATACGAATAGAGCTTTCGATTGGTATATAGAACGTATTTTTTGAATGAAAAATTAAAAATTAAGAGAAAATTTTCTAGCGCTTCCATACTTTTTTCCACGACTGTATATTCGAGTATTTTCACAATGCAAGAAAAATATTTTGTCCCAGCAATTTTAAATCAACTTTTGATTTTTCTTTAAGAAATTTGTTTTGAAAATATTTTTGATTTTCACATTGTGGTGGGGGACAGAGGATTTTTCAGTCTAAAACAATTGGAAGTCTTTTTTGCCTGTCTCATACATACAATAAATTTTCTAGCTGTCTTATGCATAAACTGAAAATATCCTAGATCTATTAACTCAATTTTATTTACACAGCTAACCTAAAATAATTTATATCAAAACAATAAGCAAATTTATTTTACAAATCTACAGAAAAAACAATATATATTTACAACATTGTGAAGGAAAACAATTCAATACATCTGAGAACATTATATATCACAATTATTTATGCTAATATCTTCCGTACATCAAGCATCTTTCTAGGCTTTGTTCCCTCCTTCTTGCCAATCTAGTGGATATGTCTGAAAAAATACAAGAAATTTAAAAGATTAAAAAACATTTCTCAACAAACCTGCACTTTCATCTTCTTTATTGCTGCAGCTATGAGTTCGGCAATATCATCGTACGGCGGGTCATCATAATAGCGGAGTGGCGCGACGAGTTCAAGAATGTTGGCGAACTGTTTAGGACATCCACCAAGCAGCAGGCGACGTGGATCCTTCGGCTCCCTCTCAGCTTTCTTTGCACTTCCTTCCTTTCCCTCCTCTGCTTTCGCCTTCGGCTCCACTTTAGTCTTCGGCTCCGATTTGGGGTTGGCCTCTGTTTTGGTCTTAGTCTCCGTCTTAGGCTTCGCTTCCGATTTGGGCTTTGCCTCAGTCTTGGTCTTAGTCTCGATCTTGGGCTTTGATTCCACCTTGGGTTTCGCCTCCGATTTGGTCTTCGTCCCCGCTGCTGCCTCAGAAGTCGGCCCCTTTCCTTTGACGTCCACCTTCCCAGGTCTTAAGGCTTCGATCTTCATGTCACGTATTTTAGCTTCTTCCTAAAAAATCAAACATTTAATTAGCCAACAAACCACCAAAAAATTAATAAACTTACATCGACACGCTGCCAAGGCAACTTCCCTTTCACAAGCTCACATGCCATGTAGAACCAACTTTCGACGTCGTCCCCTCGGCAGAGCTCCTTATGTTTGTGACCAATCCTTGAAGCATATTTGGCTGTCCCTCGGAAACCGATATTGCCTGCGCGTGGACGCTTAAGTACGCCGTCTGGCCGTACAAAACATCGTGCCATGCCAAAGTCGAGGATGTAGATGACATTCTTGTCCGTGTGTCCAATCGAGAAGTTTGCTGGCTTGATCTAATAGAAAAAAAGAAAATTAAAGTTCAATTTTCGCTTTTGTTAAATGAAAACTCACATCTCTGTGAAGAAATCCGACGAGGTGCATCTGTACAATCGCCGCCAAAGTCTTCTTTGCCGCAATCAGAGCCGTGCCCATGGAAAACCTGTTGTTGGGACGCTTACGTCGAAGATCCTTAAAAATAATTTATTTGCAAAGTTAGACCAAACTTATAAATAAATCAATCACCTCAAGTGATGGGCCGACCAATGACATGACCAAGTAGTTGCACTGATTGTTCCAGGCTCCCTTGTCAATCAGCAACGGGTACCGGCGTTTTCCTTCAACTGCCTTTGCCATCAGCGCCTGGTATACTTGCACTTCGACGGCCAACATCTGCACTTGAGCTGAGAGGCGCTCTGCCTAAATAGTAAAAATGTCCAAAATTTAAAACTTTCTAACAACATACCTTCAAGGCATACTTTTCCTCCTTCTTGGCACCCTCCTCCTCCACCAGATAGACAGCACCAAACGCGCCAGATCCTAACCTGCTGAGAACGTGCCATTTCCTGTGTCCTTCGCTGCCGACCACAGTCCCGATATTCAGAGCGATTGCCTCCATCGGTTCAAGCCGCGAGATCATCTCCGTGTTCGTGTTAGCGTCCTCCTGTTGTTGCTGCGGGGTCGGTTTAGTATATGCCCACCGAGATCGAAAATCGTTATATATACCATTCGATTCCTCTCACCGAGCTGAGTTCAAATATGCAAGAATTTTCTGCCGGAGACGAAAACTCGCAGAGATACAGGCCCCCGAAAATCGAAAAACCATAGGGGGGACCAAGCACTTTTTTTGGGGTGAAAAATTCGAATATGCAAATTATAACTCATTCGAAAGAGCTCGTCGAGCTGAGTCGAATGACACCAAAATCAACAAAATCCGACTCGATTGGACCGAGATATAGACCTCTAAAAATCGAAGATCCAAAGGGGCGATTTTTGGAATAAAAAATTTTTTATACAAATAATACCTCATTCGAAAGAGCTCGACGAGCTGAGTCGAATGACACCAAAATCATTGTGATTGGACAAGATTAGACAAAGTTATGACACCAAAAAACAAAAACCTAAACCTATGGAGCGTCGGCGAGGCGCTTGTGCAAAACCCCGCGCTTCGCGCGGGGTTTTGCGGCACGCGCCTCGCGGGGAGTCTACGGGCGCTGGGTCTGGGCTCGTAACATAAACCTATTCCTATCTCCCTTGCTCTGGACGTATTTGGGGCCTCCGTAGCAGCAAAAATCTCCACAGATGCCATAGGTAAGGAGCTAAAATAAAAGATCACAACTTTGTCCAATCAAGTCGGATTTTGTTGATTTTGGTGTCATTCGACTCAGCTCGAGGAGCTCTTTCGAATGAGCTGTCATTTGCATATTCGAATTTTTCACCCCAAAAAAGTGCTTGGTCCCCCCTATGGTTTTTCGATTTTCGGGGGCCTGTATCTCTGCGAGTTTTCGTCTCCGGCAGAAAATTCTTGCATATTTGAACTCAGCTCGGCGAGACGAATCGAATGGTATATAACTTGAGTTTCGATCTCGGTGGGCATATACTAAACTACAGCCGTTGCTGCTCCCTTCCTTGGACTGCCTGCTCGCACTTACCACCATCCCCCTTGATCACGCTTCGCTCTCCGCCGCCTATCTTGCCGTCATCATCCTTCTTGCCGTCCACCATCGTTGTTAATTGGAGTTGAGTATCGTGCTGTCAAGTGAAGCTGTTGTCGGTAAGACAGAAGTAAATTCCTGTGCTTTTATACTAGGAGAATTATTAAAAATCTCCTCATCTCATTGGAGCAAATTACTATTGCAAATTATTGCAAGGTCTAATTTTTACTTTAATCAAAATTTAAAATTGAAAAATGTACATAAATAAACAATACAAAATTCATTTTTTATTCACCACAAAAAGAGACAAAAATAAAAATAATTTTTATAGAAATATTTAAATAAATCAGGGACTTTTTGTTTTTTTAAGAAATGAAAATGAGAAATTATTTAATAATATTTTTATGACTATATTCTCTTCTCCTTCTTTATCAAATTAAAAAAATATTTTCTTACATTCTCAATTTAAACGGATTTATTTAAAATATTCTCATTTATAATTAACGTCCAAAACGTAAAGGTCTTGGTCCAAGACTGCCTCTTTTCATTATTATGGCTCTTAAAATTAAAATTTATTTTATTAAATTTATTCCAAATATATTTTCTTTTTTCAATTTTTACTCGATATCCATAAATAGCCCGCTATTAATTTCTGGTTAAAATCCACAACCGAAAAAAATCCCAAACAACCACACCAGAGCTGGGCTCCACAATTTTCGCGTGAAGTGCCAAAATCGTTAAACTCTAAGTCAATACCACGTCCATATTTAGGCATATTTACCTTTGATATCTATTTGGAATAATCATTCCAACAAGTAAAGCTTCTTCTAATTTATCTTTTTCCAATTCAGCATTATTTTCTTCGTCCAAAATATTTTGAATAATTTGTTCTTCATCTTCTTTTATTATTTGAGATAATTGTAAATTATCAAATTGTGAAAAAGGTTTTGAAATTCTTTGGGATATTTTTGCTTCTAAAAAGAAATATTTATTTTTTTAAATAATTAATTTAAAAAATAACTTGCCTGTTTTTCTTAAATTAATTAAAATAATTAAAGAAAATAAAAAAATTAAATTTAAAATTGGACTAGAAAATGAAGAATTTATTTTGTTGTTTCCTTTCATTATTTTTTTCTAAATTTTTGTTTCTAAAAAGAAATTAAAATAAAGAATTTATTAGAATATTTAAACTTTCAATAAATAAATATTTAAATATTTTTAGTTCTTTCCCATCCATTTTTGGAAAAAATTGAGAAAATATTGAGAACAATAAAAACTTTATATAATTTACACATTAAATACATTTTTGTATTTAATTAAAAAATAACTTTAAATGGGAAAATTAGCATATGTGAAAATTGCAGAAAATATTTGGTATAAACGTCAGCAAAAAACAAAAACTATTTTCTAATAAAAAATTCTTTATTAGGCAAAATTGGGATATAAATTTGTAATTTGGAAAGGAAAAAAAGAAGTTTCTCCAAATTTCTCTTTTGGAGAAACAAAAAATTATTTCTCCAAAAAAATTAATCTCTTAAATAAAATATATATGTAAACTCTTCAACATTTAAATTTTTTTGACAATAATTTTTAGGAAATTTATTTTTAATTTTGAAATAAAAAAATTAATATAAAAGTATGCAACGAGTACTTTGTAGACATACATATGTATTACATATTTAAATATTAAATGAACTGGCGGTGGCCAAATTGAGGAATAAATGACAGTTGAAAGCTATTAAAAAAAAGAAAAAATGGACAGGTTAAAATAAACTTGGCCACACAGATATTTTTAAATATGGAAATATTTCCATTAATTTAAAAAAACTATTTACTATAAATAAAAATAATTTTATAATCTTTAGAGGATTTTATTAGAAAAAATTAAAAGAAAATATAAAAACATTTAATTTCTTTTTTAAAATAAAACTTCCATTTTTTAAAGTTATAAGAAAATATTATAATTAATTTATAAATAATTTTTAGGGCTAATTTCTAGAAAGTTAAAACATTTTTATTTATTTTTTATTTTAAATTAATTAAAAAATATTTTTTAAAAAATATTACTTTTTATTTAAAATATTTTAAATAAAATAATAAATTTAAAAAAATTTATGAAAAAAGAAAAATGATTGAGAGGGTGATAAACGGAATTAGCAAAATTATTATAGTATTTGGAATATATTAATGATGTCTGATTTTAATATATAAATTTAATGAATGGCATTTGAATGAAAATAAAAGAGATGGATTACCTTTTTAGTCTAAGCAATTCATTCAATTTTTTATAAAAATTAAAAATATATAAGGCTAAAAAACAAAAGGATACCAAATTACTATGGAAAGATAAATTAACTACTGAAAATTTTTGATAAATTAATATATTTTATTTGTAAATGACGATAACGCGCAACATGTCATTTAAAAAAGGAAGGAGGATAAAATAAAATAATAAATAGCTAATTGTAAAAAAAGAGAGATTAATGAGGATAAATTAAATAATTATACTTTTCAAAGAAATGGAAGACATTAAGTTTTAAATTTAATATTTTCTTTAAAAAAATATATAGTAATTTTAAGTTATTTTAAAATATTTATATACTAGGTATATAATTAAATTTTAAATTTAGTTATTTCTTTATTTAATAAAAATTCTAATTAATTTATAGTATTTACATACATCAACTACACATTCACACATTTGTGGCTGAAAATTGTGCTTTAAGATGGGGGTTATTTTAAATGGAAGTATTACCCTTCCCCTCCCCTCAATCCAATAGCCAACAAAATTTTAAAAATTGTATCTTGTAGTCAATGTAGCTAAATATATGTAAGTTTATAAATTAAATTTTAGGCACACATTAATATAAATATTTGTTTTGGTTTGGAGTTTGTTAACGTTTTTATTTTTAGTTTATAAAAAAATTAGTTAGAAATTTGTGGGTGTGTGAATATTTTATAAAGGTAAAAAAATTCTTTTTTTTAGTTTTCGGTGAGAATATTATTTAAAAATAATTTTTGAGAAAATTGGGAAAAAATATTTGCATTAAATTTTTAATTTAAATTTTATTTTTGAAGTTAAAGGTAAACAAATTGAAAGATAAAAATATTTTTAATAAAAACGAGTTAATATGTAATAATTAAACATAAAAGAACCACAAAAGCATAAATTAAAAAATAATTTTTGTATAGAAAAATTTTTGTTGAGGAGGAAATAAAATAAAAGTAAGTTTTGTTTATTTTTATGTATAAATATATTTATTCGTAAATAAAAAACAAAATTTTAAATTCCGGGAATGAAAAAAATATTATTTAAAATTTAATATTAATTTTTGTCTCGGCAATAAATTTGACTAAGAAAAATTTAAAAATATTTTTTGTCACAAGATATTTATTTCTTTTAATTTTTCTTTATTTTTTGAAATAAATTTGTATATTAATTTAATTTAAGAACAAAAAGCATCCCCAATAAATAAAAGGAAAAGTCCCAAAGAACAAATAGCCAACAAACAATGAATTGCCAAACGAATAATTATTTTCTCTTGGAATACCTTAAATATTAGAATTTATTAAATTATTTTTACAAAAAAGCTAAAATATTTTAAATATTTAAAAACTTTTTTTTCAAAAAAAAATAAATTGCAAAAATTATTTAAGAAACACCTGTTCTCCATTCCAATCTAAATAAGGAAAAGAAAAGTCTAATACTCTCTCACAATTTGCATATAACCATTCAGGGTAATTACAAAATCTTTTAAAAAATATTAAAATAAAATTTAAAAGAATTCTTCAAAATAACCGAAGAAATCCAAGTTCTGTAGCTGGTTTTCTTTTAATATAATTAAGTACAGGCTTTTCTTGAGGGAGAAAAGGTGGTCCACGTAGCTCCTCTGAGGTTGGATTATATCCCCAACAAAGGAGGGAAAATGTTGCTAAAGATGTTAATAAAGTGCCAAAGGCGGCGCCAACTATTTATTGAAAGGAAAAAATGAAATTAATAATTTACTCTTCTAAAGTTTTTACCAATTGCAAAAAATTGTCGAAGTGGATGTCCAACAGGTGGAAGTGGAAGTAAAGCAAAAAGAAGTGAATATATTCCTATAATAGGTAGAAGATATAGAAAGAAGAGAGGGCAACAATAGCTTGTATGTATAGGCCAAAGAAGTATAAGTCCAAAGCCTGTTTTTGATTTTTATTTTGATATTTTTTAATTTAATTGATATTCTCGATTACTTTGGGTAATTAATCTTTTAATTAATTACAGTTTGAACGAGTGAATTTGGATTTATTTAGTCAGGAAAAATAGAGGAAAAGGATTATCTAAAATGTCAAATCAGAGCAAAAGCATAAGGAATATGAAAAGAAATCAAAAAATGGAGGAACATGTATATTAATTTATAGGAGATCTAAGATGTATTAACCAAAAAATAAATTCATATGTGCTGTAGTTAATCGAAAATTATTAGCTCTAGCAGAATAGCCAAATAAAACAATTCCAGCACAAAATTGTGAAACTGCACAAATAGCTATTAATGTTGCTATAATTAATTTAACAGCAATTAATGTTTGTTGTAGTTGTAAAGATTGTATAGAAGAAGATTGTGTAGATGGATGGGAGGAGAAGAGTTGACCACCCCCAGTTGAACTTTTTTCAAGTAAATAAGATTGGAAACGTCCAAGTACACGTTCACATTGGAACTTAAATAAAATAAAATATTTAATTATTTTTTAATTTATTAAAAACTTGTTTTGTGGCTGTTCGATTTAATAAACCGGCACAAAAACTTGTTTGGCCTTCCTTCATTTGAACTATAAAATTAATTTTTAATTATAAACAAGTTGTTCCTTTACCCCTTCTCAAACAAATTGCTTCTGTTGTTGAGGTTAAAGAAAGAAAAAATGCAAAAATCATAGAAACAAATTGTAATAATAATTCACATCTTTAAATTTAAAATTTAGTTATTTTTAAAAAATAACTGGTGTATCATCGACACTCTTGTATTAGAAAAATGAAAAACAAATAGACCCCTTCTTTAAAAAATCATCAACATGCGTGATTTAATGAATTTGACAAGTTATGAACTTTAACTTGTCAAGGAAGGAGATAGATGACCTCCCGGACGAGGAATACTCTCCTTCTGCACAATATTCCTCCATTTACGCTTTGTTTCAGCTCGAGGGCATGCATTGTTCTAATACATACATTACTACTCTAATTAGTTAAAGAACACTAAATGCCGACAATACATAAACATAAAAAGAACTTGTTTGGATAGTCCAGTAAAAGCGCATAAACTGAAGTAATCCCTGCAGAAATACCTGACCAAAAAACTAAATAAAAATGAGCATATGGAAGGCAAAAAAAGACATGGGCAAGTCCAATAGCAAATTCGAGCTTTATTTTTATTAAAATTTATTTTAAAAAATTTTTGAAAATTTACGAAAGCAAGTAAGCCAAGTAGGGGATAAAGAGTCCAAATAATTCCAATAACTCTCATAATCTTTAATTATTTTAATAATTTTATTTGTTAAATTAAATAAATTTACTTAGGAATAAATGCTTAAATTTTAAAATAAATTTGTATACATTAAATATTTTTGCCTTTTTTAAAAGTGAATTCAAGAGATTTTGTCATTTCTTTTTTTAAACTTCCATTTTCAATTCTAAATCTGTTTTTCCCAAAGGAATTTAATTTGTATTTACTATTTTGTTTATTTTTTTATTATTAAATGTTTCAATTTAAAATTTTTTATTTTATAAAGTTAAACTACCTAAAATTTACAATTAGGTATAATAATATTAGTTTCTCTTTATGTAATTCCTCTCTCTAAAAATTATAGCTTTGTTGTAGTTGATTTTAGAATTGGAACTCTTACTCACTTTTTGAATCCCAAATCCCAACACAATTTGGAAGGGTTTTTAGATATTTAAATTTGAATTTAACTTCCAAAAATTTACTATAAAAACCATTAAGGACATAGTTTATAACTAACGATATTCTACAAATCCATCTTTCTTCCGTTTGATCGCAGTAATAGCCGGGTGATGCATAACGGTTAGGATATATTTATTTATAATTTAATTATTTTTTAATTTTTTAAGTTCTAACGTCGATGCTTTTTTTGTTTGCCACCATATTTGGAACGTTCATCTTATTGGCACAATGCGCTAAGAAGAGTGATGCAAAGGCCAACAAGAAAGATAAAAAGGGCAAGAAGAATCCCAAGACGGTAGACGGAAAGAAGCAAAAGAAGGATACGAAGGATACGAAAGCAGCTAAGGATAACACAAAATTACTAAACAAATCCCCCTCCAAAGGAAATCCAAAATCGGCGGGAAAAACAAAATCTGGAAAGTTTGGACCAAAAACGATAACTGTGGTCACTGCAGAGGAATATGCGAAGGATGAACTCAATGAACTGTTGGCAAGAGCAGTTAAACCTGACCCTGAAACAATGAATCAGTTGAAAAAGATGAAGATTGACAACAAGAGAAAGCCCGTCATGATTCCACCCAAACAGCAAGGAGGTACTGCTACAGTGATTTTGATGCCACCACGGGACATGCAATCAACTTTGCTGGTAACTGCAATGCCTGATCCTGCTCCAAATAAAAAGAAAGATGAACCAAAAGGTAATTTTTAAAGGAAAATAAATTTAAAATAATTTTGAAATTAATTTTCAGTGGATGAAGAATTTTCTGTTGAGGTATCGAAGAGAAAGGATATGGACGAGGGAGACAGCAAGAAAGGGGAGGGGATGAGTATTTCTTTGGAATGATAACTGGTATTGAAGAATATATAGGAGAGAATTGTAATGAAAATAAATATTTGGATTGAAAATTAAATGTAAATAAATAAAATTGTATATTAGTTTATTGTTTCTTTTTTGTTATTTTCTTAAATAAAATTGTAGGTATGTAAATGTGTTTTTTTGCTTTAATATTTTTTATTAGAAATTGTAAAAATAAACATTTTATTTCCTTATTATAGTTTAAGTAAAATTGTACAAAATTATTTTTTAACTAAAAAATGAAAGAAAATATGGGATTTTTAAATAAAATTTTTGAGAGAAAAAAAAAGAAAATTAGAGCTTTTTCCTAAAATAATTTTGTTAAAATCCATTTAATTATTCAATCTCAATCATTCAATTAGTAGAAGGCAATAATTTAAAAGCATCAAACCAATTGCCTTTGAGCAATTTAAAAGTAGAATTATAGCGTTGAATTGTTATTAACAAAGTTGTTTGATCATCATCAACAAAATGTTGATCGAGTAATTCCAAAAAAGTTTTCATAAAAAATGTCCAGAAACGCCTAATTACTTTTTCTCCCCCAGCCAAAAAGCCCCCACTAATTACTGAACGATGCTTTCGATAAACCTTTAAAAAGAACCCTTAATTAATTTAATTTTTAAAGAAATAACCCTTTCAATTGTGTAACGTTCTACACGTTCTCCATGAGTAGGAAGTTGAATAAGAGTAATTTGTTCAGAATTAATTTGAGTAGGTTTCCATATTCCTAAAAATTTTTAAGAAAGTAATGTGGTTTTTCCAAAGTTTTTTTTTCAAATTAATAAATGTACATATTTTTTTGTTAATTTTTTTGTTAAAATATAAAATCCTTAAGTTTTTAACAATTAATTTAATTAAAATAATTACTCCAAATAATTTATTTAATATCCAAAAACCTAAAGGTATTGCTGATTGAGATCCATGCCCATACCCAGCATCTAACCAAACAAATAATTGTTCTTCTTCAAAAGGTTTAGGAAATTGAGATATTTGTGTAGCATTATAAAGAAAATAAGGCTAAAAGAAATAAAAAAAATATTTTTTTAAATATTTGAGGAATACTTTAGAATTAACGAGAATATCATAATCGGGGTATAAAGTCTCTGGATGTGTTTTCATTTGTTCATCCCATTCTTCCCTCCAATTTTTCTGTTCCCAATTCATTATTTCTTCAATTTCTTTTCGATATTTGTAAAAAGGTAATTCAGACAAGGATATTTGAATTATCTTTTTTTAATGGAAATTTAATAATTAATTAATTTATTTAGTGCCTGTATTCTTTCCAAATTAATTTGTTCATTCAAAACTTTTAAATATTCATAAACAGAATTGTCACAATAAATAATTATATTATTCTGCATTCTAAACAGAATATTTGTTAAATAATTTAAATATTGATCAAAATGCCGAGTAAATCTGTTTTTTTTAAATTAAATTAAAAAAAGAATTTTTATTCAAATAATACCTTTGCCAATTACCACGGCCAATATCAATTAAAGCTGTGACGAGAATTGGGGCCTTAAACACTTTTAATAAAATTTATAGAAAATAATTACTTACCTCTCTTCTTTTTCTTCTCAACAAATTATTTTCTTCATTATTTTCTACAAAAATATTTTTGTAAATAAAAATTATTATTAATTTACCCCTTTCAATATTAGATGATGGTTTAACATTTGCTTGTAATGAAAATTTAATTGAAAGTGGTGGAGGAGGAGGGGGAGGGGGTAAATTATTTAAATTTTCCCCTGGTGGGGGTCTTTTCCAAATAGGAATTTCTGATATTGGAGGAGGTAAAGGTTCGAAAGGTATTTCTACTGGCTGAATTTCTTCTTCTTCGTATAATGAAGAAAAATGTTGTCGATTATTATTGTTGTCAAAAGGGCGTTTTAAATTATTTATTTCTCCACTTCTTTCAACACTACTAATTATTTCATTTAATTCTTCTTGCAAACTAAAATCATTAGTAATTGTTTGTTGGGTAGTTGTGAGGTATATTTGTTGGTTTTTATTATTTTTATTTTCTTCTGTTAAATAAATATTTACTATATCAAACAAATTTCCATTTACCTTTCTTCACAATTTGTTCACTTTCAGCCTTTACGGGTTCAAAATTAATTGTAGGCCTTTTTTGATTATAATTATCATTTACAGATTTTATTGCCATATCTTCATATTTTTTTGATGTTTTTTGATTTCTTAACCATAAAAGGTCTTCATCCTCCTCGTCTTCTAATGTTTTTTCCTCTTCTTCAATTATTTTATTTGTTTTATTTTCTTAAATAAATATTTATTCTATTAATACTCTGAAATATATATTAAGATAAGCTTTATTAAAATAACACTCTTTAATAGAATAACACAGAAATTTATACAGAAAATATGTTTTTTGGCACGTTTCACAATTTTTACAAGTTCAGAAAAAATACATTGGAAAAATATACCCAGTAAAATTTCATTATAATAAAGGTATTGATATATGTATGTAGAAAATTGTATTTAATAAAATATTATAATTTAAAACGCCCAATAAACTTATTTTTAAAAAAAGCAGAGATTCTCTTAAAATATTAATTACCTATTTTTGTAATAGAATTTTCTGTAAAAGGTAAATAATAATTATTTGATAGTTTATTATTATTTGATTTTATTGTTGTTTTAAAAGTAGATGTTTGGATTAAATTTTTTGTTGTTTTTAAAGTAGTAGATGTTGTTGATGTTGGTGTTGTTGATGTTGATATTCTTTCAGTTGTTGTTGATATTGTTCCTAATTTATTTCCATTTTCTAAAATTGCTTTAATCGTTTCATTTGGAACATTTTGGGAATTCTCAAAACGATCAAATTCAACAAAAGATTTTGTGGAAATATTTACTTTAAAATTAATTAATTTATTTATTCTATAAAATTTACTTGGAGAATTTATTTTATTTTTGTTAATAATATTATCGTGAATTTGTATAATTTTAGAAGAATTATCCAAAATCTTTTTTTCATTCGAATTAGTATTTAATAACATAATTGAAAATTTAAGTTCTTGTGGACGAGGAGTCTGAAATGTTGTTGAATATATTTTGTTGTTTATTTTTGTTGTTGAGATTTTTGGAGAAGATGAAGAAATAAAATAATTATTAGTTGAAGAAGGTAAAAAGGAATTAATTGTTGTTGATTTTAAAGTTGTTGTTTGAATTAAAGAAGTGTTATCAAAAATTGTTGTTGTTGGTGGTGATAATGAAAGATTAGAAGATAATGAAAAATTATTATTTTTCTGGGATTGAGTTAACTAGAATAAATATATTTGGAAATTAAAATTTAAAAAAATTGGAATCCAAATTTTGGAATTTATTAAAAATTGAAATTTATCATAATTTTGTTACAATAAAATTATTTTACTAAAATTATTTAATCAAAATTTTTATTTAAATTTTTTCCCTTACTTTAAAAGATTCATCATTATGCCAAAATATAAACACCCAAAGTAAAAGTAAAAAACAACTCCCGACTGCAACAAGACTTGCCAAAGTACCAATACGTAACAATATTCTTTTCCGACGTTTATTTCTTTCATTTTTGACTGAATACTTTATACTATCATCTGTCAAAATTTTAATTAAATTTTAATTCCCCTTCTTTTATTATTTAACCTCCAATAGCAATGCTGTTCGGCCTCCAAAGTCTTTGCATTGCAGCATCCTCAGAAGAATATTTCCTTTGACAGCCGTTCTCATCCAAAAGAAACAGCCGTGTCTTCTTTTGTCTATTATTATTACCACTTCTTCCGACCACCCATAATCGTTTCCCCAAACTTTTTTGTTTGCTCTTTTGAAGTGTAGAAGAGGAAGAGGAGGAATTGCTTGTTAAAGGTGTTGATGTTGGTGTTGAAAATAATGAAGTTGTTGTTTCTGATTGAGTTGTTATTACTGGACTCATTTAATGTCCAACTACTGAACATTAGAAAATAAAAAAAAAGAAAATGTAATTAACTGAAATTTTTTTCATAAAAAACAAAATCCCTTTTGTAAACAATTGTAAAAATAGAGAAATGTTTGTAAAATAAAAAAAGGGGGGAGATGGGGGGAGGGGGGGGGGGGGGGGGTTAATTATGAAATAATTTAAAGTTCTGGAAGTATCCAAATATTTTCTTTAAAAATTATAAGTGTTAATAGCAAAAGAAAAATTTACAAGATTAATTTAATAAAATTTATGTATTTGTTAATTAATTATATATATAAATATTTCCTTCTTTTCGAATTAAAATGGCTTTAAATTTTAAGTTTTCTAGACAGATTTTCCTTTTATTAAACTGGTGAGATTAGATTACTTCCCTTTCTTTTAAAGAAAAGAAGGAATTTAGAGCTTTAAATTTTAAATTAAAACAAATAGTTTTTCACTATTCTCATTTAATTAATAATCTTTAAAAGTTTAAAAAAAGATAAATAGTAAATAAAAAAATTAATTATTTATTTATTTATCCTTCCCCTCTTTAATTAATTTTGTAAAAAATAACTGCTGCTGCTACCTGCTATTAATCGTTCATTTTTATTTATTTAGGGACACCTTGCAAGTCCTCCCTTTTAAAGACTTATTGACAGTTTATTTCAACAAAAAAATAAATAAAAATAGGAGAATGTACTTAATTGTGCACTAATTGATTCGAAAAATTGTTGGAACGTTAAATTAGTGAAGAAAAAGGGGAAATAAATAAATAAAATTAATAAAATGACTTTAAAATAAATTGGATTTTAAATAGAAAAAAAATAAAAATATGTCTGTCAGACATTAAAGAATTGCAAAATAATTATTACAAAAGAAAATTGAAATTCTTTTTATCAGGCGGGGAAAGGCTTTGATTATTTTCTTTTTATTTAGAAAATTGTTTAAAGGAATTTATAAAAAATTCTATAGGAAAAAAGGTTTGTAGATGACAGAAATTCTTTAAATAAATAAAAATGAATAATTCATTGGAATGAAAAATTAAAGAAAAAATAAGATTAAATAATTCTTTTTTTATTAAATAAAAAAACAATTTAAAAGCGGAAGAAGAAGACAGCTAAAAGTGGGGGATCGAAGGTTGGTTGGAAGGTTCAGGACAAAATCATTTGTATACAAAATTATTTGCTATTAAATGCACAGATGTTCTCTTCTCCTCTCTCTTCTCTTTTTTTATTTCATTTTAATTCTCTCACCTTCCCCTTCCCCCCCCCCCCCCCCCTCAAAAGATAAAAAGAAAATAGATTACTAATATATATCTGTTAACATTTATCATTATTATTGCAGAATATATTGGCCAAAATATTTATATCTTCTTCCAATAATATATAGATTATTTTAATAACAATGCGCATATAAGAAACAAAATGAGAAAAAGAAAAAATAAATAATTAAATAATAATTAAATAAATAATTTTTTTATTAATTTGTATTAAGCCTTAATTTTCAAAAATTAATATAATTTTAACAAAAATATTTTTATTAAAAGTATTTTTTGTTGTGCAGGTATGTGCCAGTCATCTAAAATTTCTTTTTTGATGGAATTTTGGTCCACGCAGGACAATTTTGCTGCTTTGAAAGGAAATTTGATTCTCAAAAATTTTGGTTATTTTTAATGGTATGTGGGTGGGAAATGGACATACAAAAAACAAACATTTGCATTTCGTCATTAAATTTTGTAAATATGCACATATAAATAAAGGCTGAAATAAAATAAAATTTTTTCTCGGTATTTTTCAGCTAAGTTTTAAAATCTACTTGCTCAAAATTCCTTTCTTCTTTATTTATGTTGCGCAATTTAAAGTGTTTTAAATTTAAAATATTAACTCGTAAAAAAACGTGAATAAAAAAGTAAAGAGGTTACACGGACAAAAACGAGCTAATGTTTAAGTATTGAAGGTAGTGTAACTAAAAGAGAACAATTAACAAAAAAACGATTTTTTCTAAGCAGGATCACTTAAGTAATTTTTTCAATAGAGTCAAAAATTCCTATTACCTTCATGTTTTATTAAAATCAATGACTCAAACATACTTTAAGCTTTTAAATCATCGTAAAGTACTTCCGCGCAGTGGACTTGTGTACTAACTGTTTTTCCTAAAAATTAAACAATAAATAAGCGACAGCGTTTACAAATACACAAAAAAACATTTATTGTTGCTATACATACTTAAGAAAAAAGGTTTCTTGTATTTTTAAATGTTTCAGTTAGTTACTAAAATAATTTACTAAAAATATGTGGGTTAAATTTAAAATAAACTTTTAAATGAATAATGAATAGATTGTGTGATCAAACAAAAATTTTCAAAAAAATTGAAAGAATTAGAACTAAAGAACATTTCTACATATTTCTTAAAAGTATATGTATTTTTGAAGACAATCTTAATATCTGCATAAAATATCTGTTCATTTTTGTTATTTAAAACATCAATATTTGTAAAATTCAAGGGTGGAAGAATTTTTAGTTCCGAATGCTGTTTAAAATAAAAGTGGGAAAAAGTCAGAATAATTTATAGTTTAAAAGATTTACGCATATGTACATTAGCCAATGATTTAGAATTAAAGATTAAAAATTAAAATTTAGTGTTAGAAGTAGAGTAAGTCGAGCTCGAGCGAGTTCGAGTTACTCGACTCGACCGCTCGGGTTTTTTGCGTAATTACTCGACTCGGAACTCGGGATCATAATACTCGGATTACTCGAGCTCGGAAACTTCCTACTCGACGTACTCGGTTAAAACCGAGTATTTTTATGCCCCCATCTGCGGCGCAAAAAGGAAGATTTTTAGCTTAAGGATCTTCCAAAATTCTCAAAATTTTCGCCTGCGGCGCTAAAAAGGAAGAAATCTAGTGTGTTGGTCTTCCAAATTTTTCAAAATTTTCGCCTGCGGCGCTAAAAAAAGATTTTGCTCTCTGGCCTTCCAAAATTCTCGAAATTTTCGGCTGCGGCGCTGAAAAAGGAAGATTTGTGTATATCGGAGGATTCAATCAAGTTAAGTGGATTTTAGTGATATCCGGATATTTCAAGGGATCTAAAAGAATAGCGAGGGATCTGACTTTCTGAAAATTGGTGTTCCTACTTGACCTTCAGAAATTCTCAAAATTTAAGCCAACGGCGCGAAGAGGGATAGAGCAACGGATCTCATGATCACCTTTCGACAATATACCTAATCCAATGATATCCCAATTAATCTCCCGAATTTCCAAGATTTTGCTCCTAATACACACAAATCTCACTATAATCGGCCCAAATCCCGCTTAATCCCTTGATCTCCATCTCATTCCTCTTATCACTCGATATCCCCTTAATCTACACGAATCCCCGAAATACCCGGATACCCGGATACCCGGAGCCCGGTTCAACCCGGAGCCCGGATTAAACATGGATCATGTGCATATCCTGGAATTTCTGCTGATTAAGAGGGATATAGACGGATTAACGAAAATAACTGGGATTTTGATGAAGATCTAACGCATTACTGCCAACAAATACCCAAAACACCCAAAACACGGCACTGATGATGAATAGTCTTTAGTAAAAGTATTGTTTTTATTGAAATTATTTTAAATTACTGTTTTATAAAAATTACTCGATTACTCGACTACTCGAACTCGAACTCGACCTAAAAAGTTGAGCTCGAGCTCGAACTCGGGTTTTTCAAACTCGGATTACTCGAGCTCGGTTTTTTCCCAATTACTCGGTACTCGACTTACTCTAGTTAGAAGCTAGTTAAAAGCTAGATTTATGTCTAATCTAGCTCTAATGTCATTTTTGGGTTTCTTACTTCAAGACATATTCAATACATATGTTTAGCCCAACCCTAGTTATTGTGGATCCAGGTTTTTTGTTTTTTAGTGGTTAAAGTACATATTTTATCTTTTCGATAAAGGAAAAATTATACCTATTTTGAATTTAGGTAAAATCTGTCTAAATATTTAAGAGTAGTACGGTAATTTGTGATGAAATGGAATTTTGATGGTCAGTTAAACGCCAGAAAATTTTCGTCGGCATAACTTTTTTAACTTTGATTAAATCTTAAACTTTAATTTTTCTAATTATTTTTCTTTTAAGTTATTTAAATCTGATGGGTATCGAGCATAGTGTAGTTCGGGAAAGGCGGCCACGCTCCAAAAACGAGGAGAATGATGTGTTAATTATTCAAAGGTCTGATTTGGATTTGCCTGAGGCTTACAGAGCTGTTGAATTGTCTGAACAGGTTTTGAAGCGGATTAACGGGGAGAAAGACGAAAAATTTGAGGATTTCAAGTTTGTTTTTTAAAAATATTTTTAAATTAATTTTTAGACAAAAATTTGCCAAATTGGAGGAAGAAAATTCAAAACTTTTACAAAAATTGAAGGAAAAAGAAGAAAATAATCAAAAATTTGGTGACTCTTCTATTAAAATTCCTTCAATTTTAAATAAAGAAAATGAACTTTCTTTGTCTACTGAAGAAATAATTGGTAAAAATCAACAAAAATTTGATGAGATGGCAACGAGAGTAGAGAAGGTTTTCTTGAGTAAACAATACACAAATGCTTGTTCTGACATTGAAAAGGTTTTTTTGTTTTTTTTGTTTAAAAATTTAATTTTTTTCCAAATTTTTCGTTCCCTCATTCCAAAATAATTTTTATTTATTTTCAGTCCATAACCGATTGTTTGGCCGTTAATCCACAACGCGTACTTATTTGCCAGCATTTTCTTGACATTTACAAAGATTGTATTGTACAACACAAATCTAAACTTATTCAAGACCAATTTCCTCAAGAAAAATAAAAAATAAATGTTTTGAAGTTAAAGAAAAATTAGGGTTTTTGTTTTGTTTTTTTGTTATTCTTTTTTTTTAAATTAGTAAAAGTAATTTTTCAAAAAAAATTTTTTTGTTGATTTTATGCCTTGAAGGAGGAATGTGTATTTTTGTCTCGAGTAAAGCTTTTATTTTTTAAAAATATTTTTTTCCTTTTTTATGTTTATTTATTTAAACTTTAATAATTTTTTTTTCAACACAAAAAAATATTTTTTTATTTTTTAGTTTTTAATGGAATGTGGAAACGGCCAAAATATTGGCTATTTCTTCTATTACTAATTTTTGTTAATTTAATTATTATTTGGATTAAATTTTGTGATGACAGTCTAGAAATTAAATATTCAAATAAAATAATTAAAAATCAAAATAATTATGGAGATTGGGGAAACTGCTGCTCAATTTCAAAATGTTTGGACCTCAGAAAATGTTTGTTACACCCAGAAAGGCGTCTCTCAATCTATGTACAACCGATTTTGCGCTTTGTTGATTTGGTAAAGATTTTTAATTTTTAAAAATAATATTTTTGAGGAGGAGGATTTGTTGGAGTGTTCGGCGTTACCATCCACAGAGTTTTTGGAAATCCGCAAAATTATTTTACAAAGTGAATACAACGAAGAAGAGGCGTCAAAAGCTTGTTTGATATTACCTGGGATTGATTTACTTTCTCTTTTGGATTGCCCAATTGAAAATTATATAAAGTTGTTGAATATAGCTAAAAGGTTTTTTTAATTATTAGAAATTAGAGAGTGAGCTTTTCAAAAAAACCTTGACCTTGATTTCGGTTGGGTACTTCGACCAGATTCTTGACCCTGAGTTAAGGAAAAATCAAGGAACTCTGAAAAATGCCTTGATCAGGACTCTGGATCCAGGAAGAATCAAGGTCTGGATCCAGATACAGCTCGCTCTCTACTAAAAATTGTTTAATTTTATATTAATTTTAATACAAAATTTATTTTTATTTTTTTAGTGTCCTTCCAATTAATTCAAATCTTATTTTGTTCAATTTTTTAGCAAATCAACATTACTTTAATCGTCCTTTCCCTTTTCCAGTTATATTTGTGAGGTATTTTAAGATTTAAAAAATTATTTTTTCCTCTAAATTTTCTTCAAGTTCTCAACATTCAATTAATTCATTCCGTCCAGCAATTGATTTTTCAATTCCTTTACCTACCCCTAAAAATTCCCCAACTTTATCAACATTTCCTTCAAATAATCAAAGAATTATTGATATTCTTATTCCATTAGAATTTTCAAACAATTTAAACGACAAAAATTTAATTTTTTCAACATTTTTAAATTCATCTTCATTTCGAATTAAATTTGTCAAAAAATGTAAAGATTCAGATGAGCTCCTTAATTTTAGAATTTGTGATGCTTTTTCTGATAAATATTTATCTGAAATTGATGAAATGATTGAAGTTTGTTTATTTTTTAAATAAAAAGTTTTTTTATTTTTTAGATTTCTAATTTTGTATTTATTTCTGATAATATTTTCTTTCCTCAAATGTTTATTTGGAAAGCACTTCGTGGAGGTGCAATTCCAGTTATTTTGTCTGATTCAATTTTACTTCCATTTTCTGACTTGATTGATTGGTCAAGGTAAATAAATTTATTTAAATAAAAATTGGAATAAAATGATTAAATTTATAAAGTATAAGTAGTTTGTTAAATTTAAAAAACAGTACATAAAATTAAGCTTATAATTTTTGCAATTTTAGTTGTTTGATTTTTAATTTTGACAATTTAGCTTTTAAAAATTCTAAATTCTTATAACTTTTCTAAATTTAGATTTTCATTTATTTTTGTTTCGTCATTACTTCCAAAAGTGCCACAAATTCTTCAATCTCAATCGCCTAATCGTTTATTTGAAATGAAAAAAATTGGAAAATTAATATTTTTTAAATATTTTTCTTCAATTGAAAATATTTTATTTTCAACAATTTCTGCAATAGAAGGCCGTATAATTCCTGGAAAATCAAAAAGTAAAAAAGAATGGAATATTATTGAACAAAATTTTTTTAAATGTCTATCATTTAATTACTATAAAAGGAAAATAACAATTCAACAATAATTTATAATTGTAATTTAGTTAATTTAAAAGGTATTTTTTAATTAAATATTTCTTTCTTATTATTTTTAAATTATTTAAGGCTTATTTTTTAGCCCTTTTAATATTCGAATATTAGATGCAAAATCTAAAATTTTCATTTTTGTTTTTAAAAAAATTTGAGTTTTATAGGCAAACTAGTATTTCCCTAAAATTTCAAAATCCAAAATTTTTTTCTTTTATAATTTCAGAAGATTAGAGATATCTCTAAATTTAAACAAAATTTAATTCAATCTCCCTGTCCATTTTTGAAGAAAAGTTAAAAATTCAACAAAATATCTGCAACCTTTGCTTAAAAATTTTCTTCATCCGTCTTTATATTTTATATGTTGTATTTTAATTTCGGATTCGATTATGAAAAAAATAAAGTCCCCATTAAATTTTGGTTACTGTATTTAATTTGAAATTTTAATCATTAAAATTTGATAGCAGATATTTTTTAAATTTATTTTTAGAAATTGTTTTTCTATTTCATTTCTAAAAATAACAATACAAACACTTTTCTGAGTGCTCCTATGATATATTGGCCAATGAGTTTATGCTCAATGTCAACTAGGTCCAACAACTGTCACACTTTGCTAATTTCCTCGTGGTTCAAGATTTTGCTGATAAATAAATTATTTTTTGTCAAATAAAAAATTATTTTTGAAAATAGAAGAAATCATCTTTTTTGTCAATATTCTTTTTTTCAAATTAATTTAAAAATTATTTAAGCAAAAAAAATATATTTTTCTTCTATTCTGAAACCAAATTATTTATTTTTATTTATTTTTCCTTTCATCACTTACTCACAATTTACCACATATCTGAACACGTTTCCCTCAAATAAAAGAATTTTTGAATAGGAAGAAAGAAATTTGATCCCAACAAAATTTTCATTGGCATTTGGAGGAATAGAGAAAAGGGTCCGAAAAGCAAGAAAAAAAGAGAAAAACTTGCTATTACTTACAAGCAAAATAAAAATATTAGAAAAAAAGTGGCGCCAACCGAAACTACGGGAAAGCAATGATGATGAACAAGCAATAATAGAGAGAGATGGGTGGTGTTCGTTTTTTTTTACTAAGAGGCAATCCTTTCCAACCTTTTCCCGTTTATTTTATTATTTTATTCCCATTTAATTGAAGAATTAAGTTTATAAAATTTGGCGATTTTATTTGTTTTTGTAAATACATTTACTCTCTCAATATTAAAAAAACATTTTTTGTTCTAATTTGCTCTGATTTTTTTGCACTAATTAATCTTTTCTTCACATTTTTTGAAGGAGCCCACCCACCCATAAAATCATTGATATACAATTTGGTGACCTAATTATTGTCTTTTTAACACCTCAAAATTAGATAAAAACGTCAAGGTTTATGAATTAAAAATCTAATTGATTTTTCACGTAAACGCGCGCCAGTCGTTTTAATAATGGTTTTATGATGAAATGTTTATTTGTGTAGATTGCCACACTTCTATGTATTTATTATCAATCAAATGGCAGGCTAAGAAAATTTCCTTGAGATTTAAGATATTATTTCTTTTTTTAATAGGAAGATACGAATTTTGCCTGATTTTCAGATTTTTCCTCTCAATACCCCCCCCCCCCTCCTACCTCCCCTTTTTTACAGTTTCTTGCTGAACCTTTCACATTTTTTATTTTTTGATTTCATTGCCCAAATACTTTAAAAACGTTTAAAAAATACAGTCACAAATAAATATCGATTTAAAGAAAATTTCAGAGCTGATGAAGCAAAGGTTAGCTAAAATATATTTTAAAGGCTGGCAGCAAATATAAAATGGAAAGACTTTTTATTTATTCATTCAAATATTTACGTTTTTCCTTCAAATCGGCGGTTCTGATACTGTCAAATCGGCGCCATTTAAATCATTTATATTTCCTTAAATGCTTTTCCTCCCCCTCAATAAAAACTAACAAAACAGTCATTCCCTCCACCGTTACTTTCTTTTTTTACTCACGTCTTAGAATAATCGCCAGCCATATTGTTGAAATATACACAAAATTTTGTTTTTAATGATTTTTTCTTTCCCACATCTTGGCGATAATAAATAAATTCTTTCACGTTTTTATAAACTCATATTATCAGTACAAACACCTTACCAAACCTTTCAGTTTCGCTTATTCATTTTGTGGTCCAAACTATTTGTTTTTCCAGACAGTCCTTTAACGTGCACTCTTTATTTTTAACTTTTATCGTTTTTGAAATTACTTTTTATATGCTAAATATATTTTAATTTATTATACAATTAATAGTATTTGGTGGTTTTTTCTTCTAATAATTGATACAATTTTTGATTTAAAAAATAAATTATATTATTATTATTTTACCCCTTATGACGAAAACTAAAAAATATTTAACAACTCGTATTTTTCTAAATACTTTAATTCTGTGTAAATCAAGGTTCAGGGTTCCCCGAATTTCTTCCACAAGTTTTTCCTTATTTTGAGCAGATTCTTCTTTTTAAATTTATAATTTCCTGTCTTCTTCAAAATTTTACTTCTCTTCCCACTCAATTTCAATGAGTGAAGTATTTATCCCAATAAATAGCAATCAGCAACAACCAAAAAAGGAAAAGAGGTTAAGCTTCTTCTTGGCAAACCCTCTCTCACCCACCCACATATTCTCGAATAAATTGCAAAACATGTTCTCATGTATTTTTATTTTGAATTACTCCCCCACATTCTTTTCCTTTTTAAGAAGCATTTACAAATTCTATTTTTGTCCTTTCTCTTCAAGGATATTTTTGCTTTACTTTTTACTTTTCATTTTTAATTTCCTTTAATACCGTATTTACTCTATTATAGCCCCCCTCTCAATTAGAGCCCCCCTCCTTAATAAAGCCCCCGTTTCGAGGATGGTTTAAAAATAGAGCCCCCCGTCTCTATTAGAGCCCCCCTTTTTAACAGAGCCCCCCTTTTTTTGTCAAATGTCAAAATAAATAATTTAAGCAAAAATGTTGTTCCCGTTCCCCAGTCCCTCGTTATAGTCAGAGTCGCGCATGTTTCAATCATGTGTGAATAACACAGTTTATAAAAAATAGTTAAATCGTACGCAATGGGGGAATATAGGGAGAGCTCTTCCCTATAAGACTCGATGTATTGGGACAACTCTTTTGATGAATGAAAAAGTGATTTCCCTTTGCATATTCATTTAGGACGTACTTGTAGGCACCAGGAACGAGAAAAATTACCGATTTCGTGAAACGAAATCGGGACGGCTCTTTCCCTGATATTCACCAAATACTTTCCAATCGCTGTCCCAAGGATAAGTTAGTCGTAATGTTAAGCTTAGATAATGGATGGCTTTCTTTTGATATAAAATTTATTATTTAATCACTCATTAATTCCCAACCTGTTAACCCAATTAATAATAAATAAATTAAAATAAATGACTCATATCACTCTTGATCCTTGAAGCCCCTGATCTTCCAGATTACATTATTTCCTTCAGTCCTCACAAATTCCTAGATATACTTCGTACTCCACATTCCTCAACAATGGAATTCCAAAAATAATGGACTAATTGAATGTTATCCTTTATCCAAAGTACATAAAACCTTAGCTTTATAACTTTTGGAGAAAAGGAAAACTGTTGCATGCATTATCATGCAATACCTATCTTGTTTTTGTGCTAAAATTACAATTGATTTTAAAAGTTAGAAAGTCTATAAATTGAATGAAAAACCTGTTCCTATTTTAAAAATAGGTTGAAAAATACAGCCCCCCGTCTCTATTAGAGCCCCCCTCCTTAATATAGCCCCCGTTTGGAGGAAGGTTGAAAAATAGAGCCCCATGGGGCTCTAATAGAGTAAATACGGTATTTATGTTAAATTTCAAAATAAATTTTAACGATAAAATAATGCTAACAAATATATTTATTTGTACAGACAGCACTATTTAGTATTTTATTTCCTAAATTTTGAAAAGAGGGGACAATCAGAGTTTGAACATACAATTAAATATTTTAGAATTTATATATTTTTGATTTTAAAGCAAAGCTTATTTTTTGAAAAAATTTTGTTGTGAATTTTTGAATATAATTCACAACATAAGAAGCAAATTCTCGATTATTTTCTTCTCCCAATAATTTCTAAAATACAAACATTTATTTTTTTATTTTCCTTTTCCTTAAAATAATAAAATTCCACAAGCATCTCCATTATTCTCTTTTTTTTCTCTTTAAAATACCTCATTTTTGGATTATTGTGCGCAATTTTGGATTATTGACCAATTATTTTAACATTAAAATGTAAAATTCCTTTTTTTTAAATATTAAACATTTAAATTTATTTGTTTATAAAATAATTATTAATTTTTTTTGATTGAATTTCATAGTTTAAAATTTAGTTTGTCAAAAAAATTTATTTTTTTATTTTTGAGGCAATTTGTATTTTTTTTAAGATAATACATTTCATTTCTTGTGATCAATATGTATATCAAAAGTCGGGTCCTCAAAAGGGGACCCAAGTTATTTTATTTGCCAATGAAATAAACTTTACACTTTTTTTATTTTTCATTTTAAAATTTAAATTGTTTAAATTGATTTTTTATTTTTTTATTTTCCCTCTTTTCAAAATTATTTTTTCAAACTTTTTAAGGAGAAAATTTAAATATGAGGAATATAAATAATACTTCCTCTTCTACTAATTCTCCAGCTGCAACAATAATTAAAAGTAATACAAGCACAACAACAGTTTTTCGTTCATGCACAGAATTTAGTCATGAACGTTCAAGACATCCAATATCTTCAGCTACTGTTGTTTCTAAACTTTTAATTCAACCAGCACATTTAAGAAGCCATTCAGTTAGTCATTGGTCTTCACCAAAAAGGTGAATAATTTACATGAATTATTTATGTCAGACTTTTAATTTAATAAATAAATATTTTTTGCATTCTCTGAGATTAATTTAAAAATAATTATTTAAAAAATGAAAATTTAAAGAAATTTTTAAGTAGAAATCAAGGGGCAACATTGTTACATGCTTGTGAGCATTTTAGTATATTACCAGCTATGCCAAATAAACAAGTAGGTTATTTTAATAAACAGAAATCTTTTTTAATTAAATAATATGTGGTTGATTATTTAATATATAGGTTAAGGTAAAAAATATTAAATTATTTTGATCAACAAATTTTCTGATCATTAAAAAATTTTTTTATTAAAAAATATTTTGTATTTTTCTTCCTACTATTTGTAAAAATATTTAAAAGATTTTATTTATTTTGTATTACTGCCATCTGTTAAAAAATTATTTTTCTTTAATATTCCATCGATATTAATAAAGATGAATTAAATTATAAAAATATATGAGATTGCCCAATTTCCATATTTTTATTCTTGACAATTCCTTTTAAATATCTTCTATTTATTGTCTAATGCATATTTTTTTCTCAATATAATTTCTTCATTAAATTTATAAAGCCTTCTTCCTCTTTATTTTTAATTTAAAAATAAGAATTAAATTATATTTTTTCTTTGAACAATTTTTTTCAATTTAGGAAAAAAATTATTTTCGATTAAACAATTAAATATTTAGTTTTTAGAAAAATACTAAATACAATTGTTTTTGTTAGAAAATAATTAATTATTATTTTTTGTTTTTCCTTTCAATAGCTTTATTTACAAAGTTTTTTTTTATTTCCGTTTTTTTCTCCTCTTTTAATTAATTGCTCTTGAATGCAAAAATCTTTTGGGTTTTGCAAAAAAATAATATAAATATATATACTTGAATATTTACTATTAACTTGATGTGTATTTCTGGGATATCTAAAAAATCTTTAAAATATCCATTTGTATTTACAATTATGATTATTTGAATTAAAAAAAATTAATTAAAATTATCAAATATTTTCATTATTTTATAACTCCCCACGTATTCAAAACAAACAAAATAGTAAAGAGAAAAAAATAATTGAAAAAATCGGCGCAGTAACCAAATTTTAATTTGCTTTAATCAAAAAAACATACTTGAATATTTATTTTTTGTTGGGTTGGACCTTGATATTTATTTGAAAAGAAAAGAAAACCTGTTTTTTTAGTTTTATTATTTTCCTTCCACTTATCTCTCAAAAAGTTTTTTATTTGATAATTATGTGAAAAGTATTTTTATTTAAATTTAGGTTTTTCTGAAATTAATTTAAATTTAACTTTTATTTATTAAACTTTATTTTAAAAGTTTAATAAATTATTTTTAATATTATTTTAATATTATTTCTTAAACTTTATTCAAAGGAATCTGACAAAGACTGACCATACATTTTAGTTTTCCAACTAAAAGACGTTTCTTGAATTTTTAATTTTTTCTCAAATATTTTTTTAAATTCTAATAATAATTTTTCTTTTTAAATTCTTATTTATTTTCTTTAAAATACCCTAAAATCCACTTTAGCTCATTTAATCGCGCAATTAGTTTACGGACAATTGCTTTTAATATTAGAATGAGAGAAACAAAACAATTTAGAAATTAAATGGGTAAAAAAATAAAAAGAAACATTAACCCCTCAGCATTTTAATTAAAAATTTGTCAGCAGCTTTTTTATTTTTTTTAAATAAATTACCTCTTATATCTTAACTTGCTTGAATATTTATTTATTTATTTTGATTAAAAAATTTAATTTTAAAACATTTTTTAACTAGACATCACTATAGAAATAAAATTATTTTCCTTTGAATTAAGAAAAAAGATTTGTATAACAATTTTAATTAATTAATTTTAAGATTTTTTTTTCAATTTTTCGATCAAAATTGAGAATAAATAACTGCATATTTCGTTCATCTTCTTCCAATTTATTTTTTCTTGTCATTTCACTAAAAATTTAATTTGGCCAAAATTCCATTTCTTTACCTCTTTAAAGTCCTCTAACATTTTTTCTTTCAAAAATCCCTTCTTAGCCCATTTTTATTTTATAAAAATAACTACTTAAATATATAATGTCCAACCAACCATCTCTTTGAATTTTTTTTATCTATTTTTCCTTCATTTGTTTTTGCTTTTTTAAACAAGTATTGGCATTTGTTTATTTTTTTAATTTAAAATTAATTTAGCTTTTGTTTAACATTATTATTTTATAATACATAATGTAATAACTAAAGATTTTATTAAAATTATTAACTAAACTGCCTATATTTTTTTAGATTTTGTTTGAAATCGTTGAAAAATAACGTTTTTTTAATTTCTATATGTAATATTTCCTCTCTCTCATTAAAATGTCATGTCCATAGCAAAATTTATTACTAACATTTTTTTCTTAAAAACATTTGGTCAATACTTTTATATTCCCCCATCCTTAGCGGCTTTCTCCTCCAGACGATTACTCTACGAATTAAATAAAATATTTAGCTTATAAAATGCTTTTCAACCAGATTATAAAGAGTAAATTTAAAACAAACATTTTAAGTAAAAATTATTTGTTTGACTTTGTTAGTCGGTTTTTAAAGTACTTTTTTAAATATTAATTTGTTATTTTTCCCATTCCCTAATTAATTATTGTAAGACTAGAAAGTAATAAATATTGCAAAACGGTCCTTTACGTCTACTTGCTATATCTTTTATCATTAAAATGTTTAGTGTTGTTATTTTTTAGAAGATTTATTGTAAGTTAACCGCTAGGAGGAACCGTAAAAGCAGTAACATATTTATGGTTTTATGAAGGACGTAGACATAATAATTTTTATGTGGGAAAATGACAAGATTTGAGGAAAAAGTAAAAAAGAAAATTATTAATAAATAATTGCGATAGCTCCGGGTTCAGAAGCTTTCGAGGATTTATTTATACATAATAATAGTTAGGAATTTAAATTTATAATTTACTCTATTGTTTATTTACAAATATACAATAAAATTACAATTTACAATACAAGAGTTACACGTAAATGTACGTAAAATGTACACTACAATTTTTCTAGAATTTATTTTTCTTCCTATTTTTACCTTTAGTGATTATCCAGGAGAATAATAATTTTTTGTAATTATTTAGAGAAATGTTTTTTTCTTTATTTTCCATTATTGACTATAATCTACTAAGATATAATTACACACACACTCATCATCTTCTTTAAAAATAAATTGGTATTCTTTATGTAGCTTAAAACACAATTTTACTAAATTGCCTTTAGTTAAGCAAAAAAAGATGCTAAAAGCTAACCAACCATTTCCTATAACAAAATAAACATAAATTTTGCAGCAACATTTTTAGTTTTTGGCCAAAAGCCTTCTATGTAATGGAAATTCAAAAATATACATTAAATTAAATTTATTTAAAAAAATTTTTTTGTTAAATAACCAGAAATTCTTGTCAATAATTTCTTGTTAATATCAATTTTTTGCTAAAAAAGTTTTTTTTATTTCTAATAAATAAATATATTTTTGCAAATGATTCATAAAAATTTCCACCAAACATTATTTTTTCACTGAATATTTTTGCTTATTTTTATGACTGCACCGTTTCACTCTTTTTCCCCATTTTTGTTTATTAAACAAAAATAAACATACATAAAAATTTTTAAAAAAATATATACTTTTAAGGAAATATAAAAAATATATATTTTAATTTAAAAAATAAAATTTTGAAAGAAGATTATTTACTTTAATTTAATTATCTAAATTTATAAAAAGAACGTAAAATTTACAGCGGGAAATTATTTTAATTTTATTAGTTGATTGACCCAAAAAATTGTGGGGGAATAATGACATTCAAGAATTCCCTGCTGTTTTAAATTTTATTTTCGCGCATTTGAATTTTATTTTTAATTTTCACGTGGTTAAACTTTCGATATTTTTTGTTGAACGAATAATTATCTTTATATGTAGTGAATATCAATGAATATCACAAATTCTTTATTTTAAATTCTTTTTTTAATTAAAATTTTATTTTTTTATAAAATTAATTTCTAGTTTTTCTTTTTACAAATCCAGTTTCCGGTTGCGCGCGTTCCAAATTTATTTTAGCTTCTCCCAACAACTAGTTCCTCAAAAAACACTCGCTTTTTCATTCTTTACAACCTAAAAAACATTTATTGATTCATGAATAGGTAAATGAAAAATAAATTATTTTATTTTTATTTTTTTATTAATTTTAAATTTAATTTTAATAAAAAATTACAAATAATTTGTACATTCATTCACTTTTTGTTGAAGATAATATCTTTTTTTTATCTACATCTACATACTTTCCTTTTTTACATTATTCTTTACTTTTTTAAGATTTTCTTTCTTACAAAAATTAAAAGTTTCACATAAAAAAGACACAAAAATTAAAATGCTGCTTAGACCTAAATTACCCTCAGATTCTGAATTATTATATTCAAAAATCCTTTCCCCCTCCTCCTCCTCCCCTTCATCATCTTCAAAAAAAGATTTACCCAACAAACAACAACAACAATTACCTCTTTTACCTCCTTTAGCTGTTGACACCTGCTCCTCTGACAGATTATTAATAAAAGAAGAAAACAGCCAACAACAAAACAGCTTTAATAGCAACGACAATAATAAACCCCCAAAGAAACCACCCAGAATATTTCATTACCAGTCGGTACAGGTAAAAGGAAAAATATTTTAAAAAATATTCATTTTTTTGTCTAAAATGGTTATGGACTCTAATCATCAGTAACACAATATTTTTTCTTTATTTTTTTTCTTATCATTTTCTATTTATTTATTTTCTCAATATTTTTTTACCGCCATAATTTTTCTTTTTATTTCCATCAGGACTATATTATTTATCAAAAAATTAAATAAAACTTTTCAAAAAACCTTTAATTTATTTAGCCATAAATTGGACAAATAATTTTAACAATTAAAAATTATTTCCGAGATCAACTTTTTATATTCCTGTTTATCCAAACTAAAATTAATAGGTATAGGTAGGTTAATCATTATTAAACTTAAATTTCAAATTTTTATTTTTAACTATTTATTTTTCGTTTATTTACTCGTCTTTTGTCAAAAAACAAATAACAATAAACCGATAATTTCTTCTTTTCATAACTTTATCTCTTCATTAAATCAAAAACGAGTAAATATACTAAACATGTAACAAACAATTAATTTTAAATCCTTTTTCTTTTTCATGCATTTAGAAGGAGCTATAGCTTTCTATTTTTTTCTTCTCCGTCAGTTATTCTAAATTTTCTTTAAATTAACTTCTAAATATTATCAAAATAATTTCCTAAAAATCTTAATTTTTTCAAGTCTTTTACAAATTAAAAAAAAATTAATTAATAAAGGATTGCTTATTTTTTTAAAGGAGTTTGGGACTCACTGATCTTACCTTCTTTTTTGAATATGTACATACTAATAAACTGTTAAATTAAATTTTTTGTTATGTACATTACTTTATCTATCTCAGTCCTCTAAATTTTGAATTTATTTTTAAATTTTTTTCTGCTTCATTTCTGTGTTTATTCATTCATATATTCGCTTTTTCTTCCTCAATTCGTCCTTCGCTTGGCTCTTAGCTCAAATGCAAATGACCCTTTCTGTTTACCTTACATTTATTCCTATCTAAATGGGAGGAGGGCGCTGTGTCTGGGACTATTTTTGCATTGATTGTGGCCATTTAGAGATGCTTATAGTGTCCCCTATTTTTTGTTAAAACATAACACACCTCTGTCCATTTTTATTCTTTCCCTCAATTTTATTTTTCAAGGGTTCTTAGAGCTTAGATTTTTAAATTAACTAAAATCAAATCTATCAAATCATCTAAAGGATTAATCTTTTCGGACATTATAAATAAATATATTCTTATAAAACAGTTGGTTCTTTCATTTTCCCCCTTTACATCTGCTGGCAGTCATCATCGCAGACTTATTTTTTCGTTGAAGAATCGATCGGGTTGTCTATTCGGCGAGTTTGTCCTTCCAATCTACCTATCGCGCATTCGTCAATTCCACCCTTCCCCAATGGCGTTGTTGTTGGGGTGAGTGCTATATGGGTGGGTGACCCTTTCCCTCCTTTAAACGGCCTTACCTTTTTGCCCTGATACGTAGTAGAAGAGCACACTTCGTCCTTTTCCGCTCTTTTTCATATTTGATTTGATTCATATTTTATCTTTTTTTGTCATTTTTGTCCAAATTAAAGTGATTTTTATTAAATAAAGTTCTTTAATTTAATTAAATAATACTCAATAATTAGTAGATTTTTATAATTTTAATTTTTTTCAGCAACTTATTGCCAGTCCCAGCAATCACAGTTGTTGTTCTCCACCAACATCTTTTCAACATTTACAGTCCCAACAACATCAACAAAGACTTTCTTCTCCAACAAAAATGCCCTCCTGTACTTCCTCCTCTCCTTCATCATTACAACAACAAAAACAACATCCCCAATCCTCATTTTCACCTAATTCTGCTGGTTCTACTTCCTCCCCCAATGCTTCAACAGGAAGTGTTAATGGGAGGCCTTTGAGAGTTGCACAACCTCCCCCACTAGCAACAGCTTTTACTCAGCCAGCACCTTCTACTTCTTTCCCTGTTGCTTCTTGTAATGGAAATATTTTTAAAGATCAAAAACAACTTCACAATTCTCCCTCTTCCTTTAATTCCAAACAAAAACATCCTCAATTACCAACAAAAAATTCCTCCATTTCCAATTCTTCAAATCAACGATTAGGGGGTTTAAGGTGTTAAAAATAATTAAAAATTAAATATAAAGGATATTTTTAGTTATACGGAATTACTTGAATTGGCGCGTAATCAACAGAGGCAGATAGAAGCAAATGAGGCAGAATTAGATGAACGAAGAAAAGCTGTTGCACTTTTTGGTGTAGCCAGGAAAACTGCTGGGAGTGAACGGGAACAACAACAAAATGCTCAAATGTAAAAATTATTTTTTATTAAAAAATATTTTTACGGGAAATTGAGCAGAAATAAATAAATAAATATTTAAATAAAAATATTTTGAAAAAAATTCCATTAACACTCCTTTTTATTGTAGAATCAATTGACCAATCTAAAATTGTTAGTTTTATGTGAGAAATATATTTAACCACATCTGGCTTTTATTTAAATAAAATATACAAAATTAGAAATGAAAAAATGTTTTTGCATTTAATTTAAATAAAATTAATTCAAAAACTAAAAAAATTAATAAATTCTTTAAAATTAATTTTTACTTAAATTATTCTTACTTATTAGGATAAAATCAAAATAAATTCTTTGTTTATCTTCTTTAATCCTTTATTTACAAAAATCTTTTCAATCTTTGTTCTGTTTATTTTTCTTGTTTAAAAAATTAATTTTTGAAAGCAATGATTGGGGGTTGCTCTAATGTTTTTCAATTAGTTCGAAAATAAACATTCTAGAGAATAAACATTTATTTCTAAACAAATAAATATTTAATTACACAGAATTTTAGCCTAAATTAATTTACATTTTTAAATATCATTTAAACTGCATTCTCTTCCAATAAAACATTTTTTATTAAAAAGTTTAATCTTTTTCTAAAATAAAATCTATTTTTCTTTTTGTTTTAATGATTTTCCTTACTGAATCATCATTTTTATTTATTCGAATATAAACGTCGCTTAAATAAAAATGCCCTTTCCTTAAAAATATTTTTTATTTTAATATTCTCCTTATTTTTTATTTTTAGTTTAATGTCCAATATTCGTTCACAAATTGACCGTGATGAAAAAGAACTTGTACGTCTAAGCCTCTATAGGTTGGAATTTATCTTTTAATTTTAAATGTCCATTTAAAATTCAAATTTTAATTTTTAGAAGAGAGGCCGGTAAACTACGTGAATACAATAATCGTCAAGCAAGAGAATTAAAACAATTAGAAAATGATTATGGAAATGATGAGAAAGAATTACGGAAAGTTTTTGCCAAAGTAGATACTCTTAGAGGGCAATTAGAAAATTTATATATGAAAAGGGCTGCGGCTTCGGATATTGAAAAAAGATTTTTGGTAAATGAAATGTCGTCTTCTTCCTCTCCAAAAAAGAATTTAGAAGGACGTTCTAGTAGTAATAATACATTCCAAAATGAACGAAGGCCTAAAGCTTCTGTCAGCCCTTTTAATAAAGTAAAAATTAAATTTAAATAATTTTGTTTATTTTTGGAGAAAAATATTTCTTTTATTATTCTAAAGGACCTGATTTTTCCCTATTTTAATTTTGGAAAAATAATGATTACAATCATAGCTATTTCGAAACTGAAAAATCTTTGAAAATCGAGTAAAGTTAAAAAATATTGAAGGAAATATAACCCCCGAAAATCGAAAAATCAATTTAGCCATTTAATATTTAAATATTCCTTTTTCAAAACTTTAAAATAATTTTTAAGTACGAAAAAGGCCGTGATATACCAGACTGTTCGGGAACAACATCAATTAATCATTCTCCTACAAAGAATCACCAAATTTCAACAAATCCAACAATATCCGGACAGGGAACAGCAAAAATACAATGGAGACGTGAACTTCCATCAAACAGTACTAGACAACAACAATATAATAATTTACAACAAGCAACTTCCCCTACACATTCAAATATGAATGGTTCTACTGGCGGATTATTGCCTCCAGCGGTGAGTGAAATTATTTTAAATTTAGGAATTAATATTGACTTAAATAAATTATTTTTGAATATTTTATTGCTGTAAAGTTATTATTTCATTGTAGGAACACCTAAAATGGAATTTAAGTCCAATTACATTTTTGATTATTTTTTAATAATTTTTAGATTAAATTCCTTACATTCTTTATTAAAATATATTAATACATATAAATTATTGTTAGCATTTTCAAAAATTCTGGGAAATTTCATTATTTTTTAAACAATTTAAATTTTCTTAACTCTTTTAAAAAATATTTTTATTTTACTTTAAAAAGGTTGACAAAATAAGTCTGCGTCGAAATTCCATCAATCAGGCAAAGCGTAATTCTCTTGTGAGTGAAGGTGGAGATGAACATGTCCAAGCCCTATTATTGGCAGAATTAAGAAGAGGCCGTTCCCACATTTCTTTTGGACGATCATGGGATAGTAGCCAATTAAGTGATGAATTTAGAGCAACAACAAGAAGAGGAGAAAGATTATTTGAAGAAACAGAATGTTCAAGTAGCCAAAACAAATTAGAAAATCGTTTTAAGGCAAATGAGAGTAGTAAAATAACAGAGAAATGGACAGATAAAGAGGAGAATAAACCAAAAATTTCATCAGAAAATCAACAGAATCAATTAACATTTTTGCAACAACAAAGCATAATTTCACCAAAAACATCACCAAAAAGAACTCCATTGCCGCCTGAAAATAGTTTGGATACTTTTAATAAAATATTTAATAAACAAGAACCTAGAGGGAGGGAAGAAAGTGAAGAAAAAGAAGAAAATGAAGATTTCATGGAGAAAGGAAACAGAAATGAATACCAAAAAGATTATAATGATAAAGTTGAAACTTCAGTTATTGAAGTTAATAATGAAGAAGGAAAAGGGGAAGAAAACAGGAAATTTGAAGAAGAAGACAATGAAGAAGATAAAAATAAGGAAAGAGAAGAAGAAAATAATTATAAAACTGTTCAATTACTCGAAAGAATAAATCTTCGATTGGATGAAGATTTATTTGTTAAGGAGGAAGAAGAAAATGAAGAAGAAAAGGAAGAGGAAATGGAAGAGGAAATACATGATGTGGAACTGCCAAAAACAACGATAACAACTGGAAGTCCTCCACTTTCTGACAGTTCTACTGTTTCGAGTAGTGAATTGGAGAGAGAAGGGATTTTGGTGAGTTTAGTTTTTGATTAAAATTGTTAAAGAGGAATGAGGATAAATTGATTTAATTATGTTTACTCTCCTCGGGGACCCTTTGGTTGTGTCATTATATCCGATATTTTAAGAAGAAGTATCCCGTTCGAGGAGCTAACACAAAAAAATAAAGATCCTGTCTGGATCTTTATATTTTCATTAGCAGAATTAACAATATCTGTCTATATTGTTCCAAATCTTTCCGATGCCTACTAAAATATTATTTTAAAACATTTTTCCTTAGGCATTATTTGACGATTCTTGGCATAAAAGCATTCGTTCAACGGGTAATAAAGGAATTCTTCGGGAAAGACAACAAAATGGTGTATTATTAAATACAAATACACGTTTAGAACCAAAAAAGCAAACAAATCGAGTTAAAATTGATTTGGTTATTTTATTTTTGGATGTTGCTTATGAAGGGCAATATGAAATGCTTGTTAAATTAGCATCTCAAGTAAATTATTTTTTTGGAAATTAAAAATTAATTTTAAATTACAAAAAAAGATTGACGATATTTCTGTTTCAAATAGTGAAGGGTTAACAGCTTTACACTATGCAATATGTGCAAGTAATCATGATATTGTACAATTTTTGGTAGAAAATGGGGCTGATGTTAATGCTTTGGTTTGGAAAAAAAGAAAAAACTTTTTTTTGAAAATAAAATATATTTTTTAAGGATGTTGATGGTTGGACTCCTTTACATTGTGGTAAAAGGAAATAAATTTTAATTTTAAATTAATTATTTTAATAGCTGCCTCTTGTGGTAATTTGCCAATGATTAAACTTTTAATTGAATATGGTGCTTGTCCAATAGCTACAACAATTAGTAAATCTGAGGTAAAAAAATTAAGAAGAAAATATATTTTTTAAATTTATTAAAAATTAAAAATTTTTTTAGACAGTTGCTCAAATATTTGATGATTCTAATGAAAATGCAGCAGTAGGGATTGAATATATGAATTTTGTAGAGGAGTGTATGGGGGTTGTTAATGATTCTAAGGTGTTTTTAATTTTTAATTAAAGATTGTCTTTTTGATTTGGTTTGAAAATAAGGGAATGTTATTTTGCAGTGTTTAATTAGAGAATTTTAAATTAAAAATATTATATACTCATTTCTAAATATTCTTTTAGGTTTATGCTGCTTATTCATATTCTCCTCAACGAGCCGATGAATTAAGTTTTGAAGAGGGGGATGAATTAAAAGTAATTAGAAAATGTGAATATTTAGAGGAGGAAGAAGAAGAAAATATAAAAAAAGAAAAAACAAATTTAGAAGAAGAATGTGATGAACATTGTTGGTGGTTATGTGAACATACAAAAGAAATATTTAATAAACAAAAAAGTGGATTTGGTTAGAAAATTTTGAAAGATTTAAAAAAAAATTATTTTTAAAACTTTTTCAGTACCTCGTAATTATTTAGCTTTATTTCCAACTTTAAAACATCAAAATAAATTTAATGTTGATTTTAAATTACCAAAAGAAATTGTTTTTGCTGAACAAAATAATTTGGAAATGAGGAGGAAATCTCTTGATGATGAAGGAGAAAATGATGAAGAATTAAATGAAAATAATGAAGAAGAGGAGGAAGAAGAAGAAGAAAGAATATGTAATAATAATGTTTTGAGAATTAATAATGCAACAATAACAACAAAAACAACGAATTCTTTAGGCCATCAAGAATTAAGTACATATGCTTAAATAAATAAATAGATAAATAAAATAAATAAATATATGCAATTTAATCAGCAATAAAACAATTATTCGAGAGAGTAAATTATAGAAATTTTCTTTATTTTTTATCCACAATTTATATTTATTTTTTAGAAAGTTTATTAAAATACTTGCTCTTTATTATTCTTATAAATAAATTAGTTGTATTAATCTTTTAAAAATATTTCTAAAATTTGCCTTAAATTTACATCTATTTTTTTACTTTTTTTACTTTGCAATTTCTTTATTTAATTGATGCCATTGCCTCCTGTCTTGTATTCAGTAAAATCTCTCTACATACTATTTTTACCTTTCCCTAATCAGTTTTTACCCAGATGGTGTTTTTTTATGTTTATATTAAAAATAAAGAGGGATATTTTTTTAATTTAATTTATTTAATTTAAAGAAATAATTATTTAAAAAGAAAATATTTTATAGAAATAATGGCACTTATTGGAAAAAAAAGGATTTTTTAGGTAAATGTCCGGTTGATGTCCTACATGTCCACAAAGACATCAATTGGACATTTACCGGATTTATTTAATGTTGCAACTTGCTCAACCTTAAATTTAATTAAAATGTAAGTAAAAATTAGTTTGTGTTTCCTGTGATTTCCGAAAAATTTCCCTCTAGATATTTTTCGTTGACAATATTTTCAATCAAAAAATAATTAAATTTTTTGATTTAGTTTCTTATCCATATTTTGATAATTTGAAGGAAGGCTACGGGGAGTTTGGGAAAATAAACATAGTAATTAAAACTTTTATTAAAAGTTGCAGCATTTTAAATAAAAAAATACTAATTAATTAAATAGCGTCAACACCTAAAGAAGTTGTTTTATTTAAAGTTGTTCTCCTTCCTCCATTACTACTGCTATTCGAAATATTTTCTGTTTGATTAATATCTTCGTTGCCACAATTTTCTTTATAAAATTGTTGTCCATTTTGGAATATTACCAATGGACGCATTTGAATCTTAAAATAAATTTTTTAATTAAAATTATTAATTAAAGGGAAATACCCACCCATTGTTGTCTATTCCCTCCATAACCATTTAATCTAAGGGAATCACTAAAAGTAAGTCCATTTGATAAAATTTGTCTTCGATGGCTAGTACTTGTTGTTGTTTCTGATTCTGCTCTATATAAATGACGAGCAGTTTTTCGGCCAAATCGACGTTTATAACGAATATCCTCATCTTTAGATTGCCCGTTATTACTTCTTAAACTGTGCATACGTGATACTAATGAAGTTATTATTCTGGAAATGTTAATTAATGAGAGTATTACATTTCAGAAAAATACTTACTCGCTAGTTGCAGTAGCAATACCACTTAGATTTGCACCTTTTTGTTTGTCTTTTGCTGTTAACCAAAAAAATAAAAAAGGATTCCAAATAACTGCTGACATTGCAATAACATGAGCTATTAAAGGCCATAAAAATGGCTAAAAAATAGAATATAAAATTTAAAATTTAATTATTTACTTGTTGTTTTAACCAAGCTGGTTCTTGTTTAAAATCTTTAACTAAATTAACAGCCGTAATTGGGGTATTACAACCAATAAAGGCAATTACCTTCAATAAAATAAAAAATAAAATTTTTAAATTAAAAGAACCCTAACCATTCCAATAAGTATATAATTAACTCTCTTTTTTCTATTTAAAGCATCTGTTCTTTGTGTATTACTTAATGATTGAGAAAATTGGGCATTTTGAACTGAAAAGATTAAGAAAAAAATTAATAAAATAAATGTAATAAAAATTATAGAATCCCCAAACAAATCCAAAATTAGTATAAAGACAAATACAATTAAATTAATTAATTACCAATCATATCTTTGTGTACTTTTCTTAAAATTCGCCAATAACAATAAGTAATTATTGCCATAGGCAAAACAAATTGAAAAAGCATAACTCCTGTTCCATAAAGTCTTCTTTGTGTATCATCTGGCCAATTAAGCTCATCACAAAATTGTCCACAAAATGGGGTTGAATTACGAGGGACATAATAATCACTTAATAAAGAATATATATTAGGGTAGCACCCCATCCCCCGACACTCCCGTCCTCGAAGGCTCGGGTGCTATATAATATTTGTTAAGACTTTTAATCCTTTAAACTGAAACTCTATTTTAATTATTTTATTAAATAAATATTTACCCATTAACTAATTTGTAAGAAAGTAAATAAGGAATGTTTAACAAAGTAGATATAATCCAAATAACAAAAGTAATTGTAGCTGCTGTTCTTAATGAAAATTGTCCTCTTGTTGGGTCAATTATATGTAAAAATTTATCTAAAGCAATAGCACAAAGTGACCAAGAAGTAACAAAAACAGCACAAGAATTTGAAAGAGGAACAAGTCGGCACATTAAAGGGCCAAAAGCCCAATCTTTTGTTAAAGCATACCAAGGAGTTACTGGGACGGCCGTAAGGCACAAAAGTATGTCAGTAAGTATTAAATTTAAAAGAAAAAGATTTCTGGTTGAACGAAGACTAAAAAAATAAATTAAAAATATTTTTAACGTTTATTTTTTACCGTTTATTTTGAGCAAAAGCTAACAAAACAGAACCATTTCCAAGTAATCCTAACAAAAATAAACATCCATATGCAGCTGCTATTGCACATTGAACGGCTGCCCAGCTATTTTTAAAAATGGAAATAAATAAATTTTAACAGAGATTATTATCGAGATTTTAAATAAAATATATTTGTGTTCATCTTTAAATAAAAAATTCTCTCTTCGTACCTAGTTAAATCATCAATACCCTGAGCAAGAATAGCTTCAGAAACTTCTGTACAAACAATTTGTTGCTGATTATCTGGAGAAATATTTTCATTTTGATGATATGCAGATGTTTGTGGGGTTAAATGATTTTGATGTTTTTCTTCAATTAGCGTCATTATTTGACAGGGAAATAAAAAAATAAATTTAAAAAATTATATAAAAATATATTTAATTTAATTATAAGCTAAAAATATTTTAATATTTAATTAAATGAAAGGAAATAAAAATTTTTTAATTTAATGTAAAATTTAATTTAATGTAAATAATTTAGAAAAATATTTAAATAAATTATAAAAGAATTTAAATAAATAAATTTATTATTTTTGTTAAATTATTGAGAATATATTAAAATTAAATTTTGAATAAATTTTTAAGTTAAGTTTAATTTTTAATATAATTTTAAAGGAAAATTAAAGATTTTTTAATTAAAATTTAATTAAAAAACAAATTTATTTTAATTATTTCGATCAATCCAAACCTAAAAAAAGGTAACAAACAATTCCTCCTTTTATTCAAAAATTAATGGGGATCTGTGGCCAAATTAAAATTTTATCTTCCGGAAGAATAAATAATAAAAAAAGGAAGAAGGTCCTTTTTTACTTCCAAATAATATACTAATACTTCGTTTTTACAAAATTCAAAGAATTCCAAAAAATAAAAGGAAAAAAATATCAAAAAATGAATAAAGAAATAATTATTATTTGCACACAAACACGTGCCCGATATATAAAAAATAAAATTATTATTCATTTATTGGCATTTATTAAACTACATAAAACAATTTTTTTTAATTTTTTGTTTCATCTTAAACAAAAAAATATAATTATTGGTCTATTGAATATATTTAAAAGAATATTACAAATAATTATTCAAAAATCTTTATATTTTTTTGGAAAAATATATTCAAAGAACTGAATTTTAGTTTGTAATGACGTGAAAAAGAAAAAAAAGAAAATATTTTTAAAAAGCTGATTATGAAGAGAAAAATAAAGATATATTTAAATAAATGATTGAATACTATATTTTGAGTAAAAAAGATGTATAACAATAATCCTTGTAAATTTATCTGAAATAAAAATAATTAAAATAACAGTTTAAAAAAGATTTAAAAAATATAATTTAACAAATATATTTCTTAAAATAATTTAAAAAATTTTATCGATAACATTAGAAGAAAATTTTTAAAATATTAATTAAAATAGAGGTTAAAACATAAAATTTATAAAAAAAATTTGCATATATTTAAATAAAAATCAGACAATTCAAAATTTATTTAAAAAGAAAATATTTTGTAAAAGAAAAAATAAATATTAAAAGTCTTTTCCGGTTGATCAGATAATCTTTGACTATTCAAGAATATTTTAATAATATTAAAAAATTAAAGCAAAAATAAGGATAACTTAATCTGCAAAAAAACTTTTCGGTTAATCAAATTTTCTTTTTACAAAATATAAAAATAAGAGGGGATATATAGAAGAGAATATTTAAATAAATATTTAAAAGTACAGAAAAAATAAGCAAAAAAAAAATAAATTAAAAAATATTCGTGAGAATTTTAAAGTGGTTGGGAAGAGGTGAGTGAAGGATTTTCATCTTAAAATTTAAAAAGGAAAGAAAGCGAATTCAATAAAGGTAGATTTTTATAGAAAAAAAAATATATTAAAATTAAAAAAATATTTATAAGAAAGGATTTTATTGAATAATTATAAAGGAGTAATTAATTGAAGGGAGGGGGGGGGGAATCGAAAAATGTAGTAGATAAACAAAAAAAGATTTTTTATGTGAATATTTAAAAAATAAATTAATGAATCAGAGTTCTTTAAATTTTAATTATTTATTTATCTTTGTAAATATTTTTGTAAATATTTTCTTTTGTTTTCAAAAAAACAATAAAGATAATTAAATAATGGATAAAGAATGACGGAGAATATAAAAAAGAAATTTAATATAAAATTTAAAAATTTATAAGAGAAAACCTTTCAAATAAATAATTGCTAATTTAATTTATTTAAAAAAATTAAAATAAAAAGATTTAATTTAGTAGAGATTCTAGAAATATTAAATTACTTTAAATTTTTATTTTATTTACTTGAAAAGTGAATTTAATTAAAAAATGATTTTTTAAATAATTAATTTTAAATTTAAAAAAAAACATTGAAATCTTAACTTTCTAATTTATTTTATAAAATTTTTTGGAACGATAAAAGAAATTACTAGTTATTATAATGAAAACTTAGAATTGTATTAGACTATACTTATAAATATATTAAATATTCGATTATATTCAAATATATCAGGGATGTAAAAAGCGCGGAGGCGAAAGACAAAAAATGGATTCTTTATTGATAATATAGATTTCAAATTAGGGTTGGATTAACACTCTATTCAATCATTGGAAGTGGGTCTGCCATAAAAAAAAAAAAGATTTATAACCTCCTTTTGAATAATTAAAATAAATAAATTTAGTTAATAAGAAAAAGGTTCTAGATAATTTAATTATTAAGTAAAAATACATATAATTATCCAAATATACATATTTTTAAGTAGAATTAACATAGAATAAAACATTTTCTAGGAAAATTAATTTAAACAAAAATGTCCTTAGAATATCTTCTTTAAATTAAAATTATTTTTAATTTATCCTTTTATTTTTAGACAGAAATATAAAGAATTTTTTTTATTTTTAATTTCCTTTTTTAATTTCCTTTTGATGAGTGCCAAAAAACGGTTAATGTCGAAAAAACCAAATAAGGATCTAATATGTATTTATATAAGCCCCCCCCCTCTCCACCCCCCTCCTAACTCATCAAAAAATATATTTTATTGTCTCTCCCAACCAAACAAGACCAAAGGCTAAAATAAAAAATATTTTGGAGAGAACAAATAATCGAGAGAATATTAGTAACCCCCCTCACCCCTCCATCCCCCCTTTTCTTCTTCTCCAAATAAAACTCCCAAAAATGCTTGAGTGGCTCCAAGCTGAGAAAAATTGACAGAAAACAATTGAAGTAACGTCACGCATTGTGGTGCTTATTGTATAAAAATAAATATTTATTGGCTTTAAGAAAATTTTCGGTTGGTCTCTTTTGTGATAAGTAAAAAGAAAATATTTATTTATTTATTTTAGGAAATATATTTTTATAAAAAAATTATTTGGAATAATTATATAAATTTATTTTAAATAGTAAATAATTATTTTTTATTTTTATTAAAAAAATTGAAATAATTATTTTAAAAATAAATATTATTTTAAATATTTATTTAAAAGACCAAAATTCAAAAAATTTTCAAAAATCAAAGAAAACAATAAAGAAATTGAGAAGAGTTTTTTTATTTAATTTCTTGTCTATTCATAAAAATAAAAAAAAAGTTTTTCTTTGTTGACAAAAATTCTATTTAAAAAATATATTTTTTATTATAGCTTAAATATTTTTTATTTTCTCAATTTTTTATTGCCAAAATATATTTCTAAAAAAGATTTAAATAAAAAATATATTTTTATATATATCGAAATTAAATTAAAATTTTATAACATTTTCTTAAAAATATTTAAGTTAAAAATATAAATAAAAAAGATTATATGTAGTATAAATAGGAAATAGAAAATAAAGAAAAAAATTTTTTGTTTAAGCGAATTTTCTGAATTTTATTGAAACTAAAAAAATCTTTTTTCTTCTTCATTGTTAACAAAAAGGCATTTTATAAGAAAAAAAGTATATTTTACAAAAATTGTAAATTAGATTTAAGTAAATATTTTCTCGAATAAATTTAATGTTTATTTTGTTTTAAATTTATTTAAACGAGTAAGTTTAATAATCTAGAAGGAGAATTGATCATCAAATAATTCAAAATTAAAACTAATTTTAATATTTTTTAATAACTAAATATATACAACAAATTTGAAGATGAAAAGTTTGTTTAAAAGTTTTTTTTAAAAAGTAAAATAATTTAAAATAAAAAAAAGAGAAGATTTGATGAGTAAAAAATTAAAGAAAAATATATATATTTTAGTTTTTTAAAGAAAATCATCAAAATTTGTTGAGATGAGTTAAAGACATGCCAAATATTTTTTAACAAAGGATTGATAAAGTAAAAATAATTTTTTCTTCTTTTTAAAAACAATAAAAAAGGAGAGGAAGGGAGAGGAAGAGAATGATTGAAAAATTAAATAAAAGCAGTTGCCCTTGTCTGCTAAAAATTAAAAGGGAAGTAAAAGCTCTTTTTAAAGATAAGAAAACAATTGCTTAGATTGATCCTAATAGAAAGTATGTATTTTATAATTTAGTTAATAAAGGAGAGTAAGGGAGAAAAAATAAAAATAAAAATAAAAATAAAAAATGGAAAATAAATAAATAGAAGGTATATTTAGAAAATAAACAATTGTGGATTTTTTAAAGAAATATGTATATTTAAAATATACATATATTTAATTATTAGAATTACAACACCTAGACCCCGTATTCCGAACATTTTTAAAGACCCCCCCCCCCATTCTCTGGTCCAAAAATTTCGGAAGTTTTCAAGATTTAAACATTATAGTATATATTCTTTGGAGAATTAATTAATTGTTTTTAAATTAATTTTAAAACAATTTATTAAACAAAATAGTTTTAATTATTAAAATGAGTAAAGATTAAAAGAAAATTTTGTTTCTAAAAATATTTCTCAAAAAAATACTAAAAGAAAATAAACAATTTGTTGGCAAATAAAATGCATAGAAAATGAATAATAATAAAGAATGGAGAGAGAATAATAAATTAAATAAATATTTAATTAATTAAAAAAAGTATCAAATTAAAAAAAAAGAAAAATTATTTTATTCTTATTTTAATTTAAAATGCCAAAGAGTAAATAATAAATATTCTTTTATTTGATATGAATATTTTGTAGGAAGATTATATTTTGCAAAAATAAATTTAATTTTTATTAAAATATTTTAATAAAAGATTTTTATTTCAACCAAGTAATTAAATAAAAAACTTTAAAAACAAAATAAAAAATTTACAAAAAAAAATTTTAAAAATAGGGAGGAAATAAAAATAAAGATTTTGTCTATTTAGTAATTGTTTTTAAATAAATAATTATTTAATTAAATATTTGCCATTCAATCTCCCCTCCCCTCCTCTCCCCATTTTTTCTTTCAATTTAATTAAAAAACTCAATGACGCCAGAACACCAACTGAGACCTTTCTAAAAATTTAATTAAAAATAAATTAAATTATAAATTCAGACAATGAATGGCATTTTCTGAAAATAAAATATTTGAAAATAATTAAAATAAATTGAGTATTTATTTATTTATTTATTACAGATTTTAAAAATCCAAATTTTAATCTCAAGGGAAAAGTAGTTAAATAAATTTAAATGACATTTATTTTATATAAAAATTTAAATTTGGAAAATTTTGAATTAATATTAAAGCTTAACAATTGGAAGAATAAAAATAATTAAAAATAAAAAGTTGGAAATTTCAGACAAACTTGCCTCAAAATAAATTGAAAATAATAATTCTTTTATTAAATTTCCGATTGATAATTCTCCTAATATAAAAGCACAGGAATTTCCATCTATCTTACCGACAACAGCTTCACTTGACAGCACGATACTCAACTCCAATTAACAACGATGGCGGACGGCAAAAAGGATGATGGCGGCAACAAAGGCGGCGGAGAGCGAAGCGTGATCAAGGGGGATGGTGGTAAGTGCGAGCAGGCAGTCCAAGGAAGGGAGCAGCAACAACAGGAGGACGCTAACACGAACACGGAGATGATCTCGCGTCTTGAACCGATGGAGGCAATCGCTCTGAATATTGGGACTGTGGTCGGCAGCGAAGGACACAAGAAATGGCACGTTCTCAGCAGGTTAGGATCTGGCGCGTTTGGTGCTGTCTATCTGGTGGAGGAGGAGGGTGCCAAGAAGGAGGAAAAGTATGCCTTGAAGGTATGTTGTTAGAAAGTTTTAAATTTTGGACATTTTTACTATTTAGGCAGAGCGCCTCTCAGCTCAAGTGCAGATGTTGGCCGTCGAAGTGCAAGTATACCAGGCGCTGATGGCAAAGGCAGTTGAAGGAAAACGCCGGTACCCGTTGCTGATTGACAAGGGAGCCTGGAACAATCAGTGCAACTACTTGGTCATGTCATTGGTCGGCCCATCACTTGAGGTGATGATTTATTCATAAGTTTGGTCTAACTTGCAAATAAATTATTTTTAAGGATCTTCGACGTAAGCGTCCCAACAACAGGTTTTCCATGGGCACGGCTCTGATTACGGCAAAGAAGACTTTGGCGGCGATTGTACAGATGCACCTCGTCGGATTTCTTCACAGAGATGTGAGTTTTCATTTTACAAAAGCGAAAATTGAACTTTAATTTCCTTTTTTCTATTAGATCAAGCCAGCAAACTTCTCGATTGGACACACGGACAAGAATGTCATCTACATCCTCGACTTTGGCATGGCACGATGTTTTGTACGGCCAGACGGCGTACTTAAGCGTCCACGCGCAGGCAACATCGGTTTCCGAGGGACAGCCAAATATGCTTCAAGAATTGGTCACAAACATAAGGAGCTCTGCCGAGGGGACGACGTCGAAAGTTGGTTCTACATGGCATGTGAGCTTGTGAAAGGGAAGTTGCCTTGGCAGCGTGTCGATGTAAGTTTATTAATTTTTTGGTGGTTTGTTGGCTAATTAAATGTTTGATTTTTTTTAGGAAGAAGCTAAAATACGTGACATGAAGATCGAAGCCTTAAGACCTGGGAAGGTGGACGTGGCAGCAGCGGGGACGAAGACCAAATCGGAGGCGAAACCCAAGGTGGAATCAAAGCCCAAGATCGAGACTAAGACCAAGACTGAGGCAAAGCCCAAATCGGAAGCGAAGCCTAAGACGGAGACTAAGACCAAAACAGAGGCCAACCCCAAATCGGAGCCGAAGACTAAAGTGGAGCCGAAGGCGAAAGCAGAGGAGGGAAAGGAAGGAAGTGCAAAGAAAGCTGAGAGGGAGCCGAAGGATCCACGTCGCCTGCTGCTTGGTGGATGTCCTAAACAGTTCGCCAACATTCTTGAACTCGTCGCGCCACTCCGCTATTATGATGACCCGCCGTACGATGATATTGCCGAACTCATAGCTGCAGCAATAAAGAAGATGAAAGTGCAGGTTTGTTGAGAAATGTTTTTTAATCTTTTAAATTTCTTGTATTTTTTCAGACATATCCACTAGATTGGCAAGAAGGAGGGAACAAAGCCTAGAAAGATAGTTGATGTACGGAAGATATTAGCATAAATAATTGTGATAGTATTGAATTGTTTTCCTTCACAATGTTGTAAATATATATTGTTTTTTTTGTAGATTTGTAAAATAAATTTGACTTATTGTTAGATTTTTAAGTTTTTTGGTATAAATTATGTTAGGTTAGTTGTGTAAATAAAATTGATTAGATAAGCTAGGGATAGTTTTGTCTTCAAGTATTGAATTGTTTTCTTTCACAAACTTTTTGGTTGGCTAGTTGATTGGAGGAAGTGTCAGAGCGATAACCCAGATAAATGATACTCGATCTTAGATTCTATTTTTCAGACCGAAGAGGTGTATCCTAGCCGAATTTCCTTAATTTATAATTATTTCAAGTTGGCAAGCACTTTAATTTTAAATCTCACCACTTTTCCGCCTTGAGGATACCACGGAGAGGACGTTGAAAGTGAATTAACATAACTACAAACAAAAATATTATAAAACAATTATTTTACAAATAAACCCTTTTTCACTGCTGGAAAGAAAAGTTGAACGAAATTTAGAAAAATCATTAGCAAAATAAATCTTTTTAAAAAATAAAAAAATGTACCTATTATTTACTCTTATAGAATACATATATTATACATAATATTCTGGTTATTTATGGTCCTTAATTTTTAAAACTTTCTTAAAAAGTTTATTCTTCACTAATAAATTTAAAAATTTTTATCTTAATTTTATAATAATTTTGTGAGTTTCTTTATTTTTAAACAGTCAATTTATGTATTAAACAATTAAATAAAGTTAATAAGTATTTATAAAAATTTTAATTATTTAGTATTGAAAATAGAAATTAATTAATTAATTAATTAATTAAGAACCAGATTTTTAATATATAAAAATCTCTATAATTAGACTGGCCAAATCCCAACGTAAAGCGGCTAACAATTCTACAAAACAATATTTAAAAACCAACAAAAAACCTTAAAAATTAATTAACCAACATGAAAATTAAATTTGTTTAGAGTTCTGACTTTTTTGTGACTCAGTCGAAATTCCTCGATTTAAGCAACTTAAAGTATATTTTCTGTCTTTTTATCCTTTGAACTGAGGTACTTATCTTGTTCCCGCCTATTTCCTTAATAATTCAAAACATAATTTGCACAAAAATATATTTATTAAAATGAGAAATTGAAAGGGGGATAGAGAAAGATATACTTGCCAAATTCTTATTGAAAAATAGTGTATAGATTTAAATAATTATTATTTTTATTTTAACCCGCTGAGCAATTTAGGCTTAATTTTCTTTTAATAATATTCTTCTTCTTCTTTTCGTCTTCCTCTTTGTTTTGCATTAATATATTTCTTTTTAATTTTTATTATTTTATTAATTTTCTCTTCATCATCATCTTCTTCATAATTATTATTGATATTACAATTATTTTTAAAAATATTTGTTTGATTATTTAATATCCTTTTTGGAAGCAAATAAAATAAAGAACAAATTAATAATCCAAAAAAAGGAAGACTTAAAAACCCTCTTCTTTGGGCAAAATTACAGTCTGATCTAATACAAGCACACAAATCTACATGATCATGAGGATCAAAACCATACCTTTTTAAAGAAATAATTTAAAAGATTTTTTAAAATTATATTTTACCTATCAGAAGATACAAATAAATCTCTTAATCTTATTGTTGTACAAATATTAGCTCCCGTTTTTGTTGTTCTGGATAACTCTCCAAAACGAACGGCTGTTCTATTATGATGAATTATATCAGAAAGACAACCTCTCATAAATCCAAATTTTCTACGACCTAATTTTTTTTAAAAATAATTCTTAAAATTTCTTCAATATCTAGTACCTCCAACTCTGTCATTCATTCTTAAAGTTATACAAGCATCTGTACAATTTTTAGAATGAACATATTGAGAATCAAAATGCCCATGATCGCATTTTTCAGTAAACCCCAATGGACGCCGGTAGAGATGTGAAATGAATTGAAATTGGTCTTCCAAATATGGACTCATACAACTGTGGCAATGAAGGCGATATGCTAAAAAAATTAAATTTTAATAAAACTTTTAAAGAAAATTATATCTTTTAATAAGTAACTTGTTGAAGGTTTTACTACCAATATACCTCGATCAGCTGAGGCAATTATTATTTATCGTTAATCATTAATTATTAAATAATTAATTGTCAACATTTTAAAATAATTCTCTGAGAGATAAAAAGAGAGGAGATTTAATTAGTTATAATAAAAACGTTCCATCGACTTTATTACCAAACAATCATTAATTACTAATTTACAGCGGTTTAAAAACAATAATAATTCAAACCCCAAGGATGCGCAATGTCAGAAACGTTGGCCAGAAAATATGAAAATACTTGAAGAAAATCAGAGCCGCCCATTCGGCAACATTTTCATTTTTTAAGAAAAGATTTATATATTTAGATGAAAATTGAATAAAAAGACTTGAAAGAAATGAGATGAATTGAAAAGATTTGAGCAGATTTTTGTGTAGAAAAAAGGGGAAATTGAGCAATAGAATGGAGGGGGAGGGGGGGGGGGGGGAAGGAAAAAAAGTTTTATATATTTTGTCTGTTATTGTGTGACCCACCCACCCACCAATCCATTTATTGTTGTTTCTTAGCTATATTTGCCAAGAATGGAGCATTTTGAGTGAATTGGACCACCGGTAAAGATATATATATAAAAAAGAGAAGGGGGGAACGAGTAAGAGCACTCAACTCTCCTTTATATTTTTGACATTATTGCAGTTTTCCCTTAGGATTGAAAATTTGGAGCAAAACAAATATTTATATAAATACGTTGAGTTAGCGGGCCGTGCAAGAAAATTCAATTCTCCAAATCTAACAAAGTTTTCCTAAAAAAATGAGGGGTCCTTTTGGGAGTAGCCAATGTCCGTCATTTACGTATATAACAATAGTAAAGAATAAATAAAAAAAAACAAATTGTTCATTGCTTTTTTCATCCTTTCCTCTTTACCTAGTTGGAAAAAAATAAAATTGAATTTACAAAAAAAAAAAGATTTTTGGGGGTTTTATTGTCAAAAATATATTTTTTGTTATTATTAATACTCAATTTTTTTCTACATAAATTAGTAAACTTTTTTCTTTAATTAAATTTATTTTTAGTGTAATTTATAGAAAAAAATTAATTTAATTTTTAGAAATAAAAATATTTTTTAATTACTATAAATTTCTTTTAGATTTTAAATTATAAAAATTGTATTGAATATTGGAAGCAGTTTATTTAAAAAAAACATTTTTTTTTAATTTTAAATTTATTTAAAAAATAGTATTAATTAATTTATTATTTTCCTTTTAATTATATTTTTACTGATAATTTTTCGTCAAAAAATTAAATATTCAAAAAAATGTATTTAAGGTTTTATATTATTTATTTATATAGAGAAAACAATACGGAAGTCAAAAATTCAAAATGACGAGAAAATTGCTTTGAAAAAGTAAAATTATTTAAAAAATATACTAAACATTATTTAAATATATAATTGAAGTAAAAATACTAAAATAATTGAGTGAATTTAAAAAAGATTAATTAAGGAAAATAAATAAATATTATTTTTTGTTAACTTGCCTGGTTCAATAGGATATGTTGGAGGATCTGAAACAGATGCAAGAATAAAAGAAACAAGTTTAGTAAATTGTGTGGCCATTTTATTTAAAAAAATTAATTTTTGAAAAAATAAATTTAATTGTTGTTTTAATTGTTGTTTTATAATTTTTAAAAAACAATAAATAAAAGCCCAGAAGGGCATAATATTTAATTATTTGTTTCTTTTTTTAATGTTGGAAGGAAAACTTTAAGTATTTTAACTTTTAAATAAATAAGATAATGATTTAAATTTGAGTTTAAATAAAGTGAAATGAAAGAGAATTATTTAGTGTATTATATTTTAAACAAGTAAAATTTAGAAAAAAAGAAAACAATTAATGTATAGAGGTTAAAAAATTAGAATTGACAAAAAATTAATCTAAAAAATATAAAATAAAGTGAATAAACTTGAATGGGCGAGATTAAAGAGCGGAATAGAGGCTAATTTTTGGATATTTCATAAATTATGAGATTTAATTTAAATTTTTATAAATTTTAGAACTATCCCCCTAATTTTCGAAAATATTTTGAGTTTAAAGAGGTATTCTCCTACATGTGATTACCCAAAAATTAATTCTCCTTCTTCCCCTACAAAGTGGAAGATCAAATTAATTAGCAATTTTTAATTAATATACCTACTAATTTACTAATTAAAGTTAAAATCTTTCATAAAAATAAAAAAAATTGTTTAACCAAAAAAGAAAAGATTTATAATATTTTAAAGCAAAAAATAGTTGGTGACGACAATCTTATGTAAATAATATAAAAGTCAGTCAAAACCACTACAAATACTTTCACTCCCCCCCCCTCCCCTCTTTACTCACAAACGGATTATGTCCTTGTCGCTATTGAGCCCAAGAGGGGAAGGAGGATGACATAAGGAGTGTTGGGGGATATATAGATAGCTGTTGTTAGTGGACAAATAACCAAAAAAGGAGAGAATATATTAAAGTTTTTTGAAAATGGACATTCACTCCTTATATTAAATATTTATTTTGTTGAAAATGTCAGAAACACAGTAAAAAATAAATTTAAATTTTTAATTAAATAATTTATTTTTTGTTTGAAATAAATACTTTTCAAGACCATTTTAACCAAAAAAATACTTTAATTAAACAGGGGTTTGTATATAACGATTTTACTTATACATTAAGTTATTAAAAAATAAACTTCTTTTGTTAAAGTTTAATAGGCATCCTAAATTACTAAAAGAAAATGCTTATAATTTAATTAATTAATTATAGTCTCTATTAGATAAAAATTTCTAATATTTTTATTTTTAAATTAAAAAGTAAAAAATATTTTTAAAAAATTAAATTTAAAAAACTGTTTTTATTGCTAAATGCAATTTTCTTTTATTAAATGCCAAATAAATGTAAAATATAGAGATGGAGCGTGGCTGTTGTTGTTGATAGCTAAAGGCACATTTAATTCTTTTAATAGAGGGGGAAGTAAGAGAGAAAGGCGGGGAAACTGTTAAAAATGCTTGAATGGTTTCACATACAGGAAACCCCTTTTACTATTTTAATCGCGCAACGTTTATTTTGTCACTTCTTTTTTATCTTTTATTTTGCCACAAATTAATTGTTGGAGGAAGTAAAAAAGAGAGAATCTTTTATTTAAATTGTGTAAATAAATGTTTAATTTTATGTATTTAGTAAAACATTCAACATTTACTCCACTCCAACTATTGGGTGGAAATACATAGGTTCGAGAATTATTTACAAGTAATTCATTCTAAAAGATCTTCTATCCGAACAAACTTTTGGATTTACAAATAAATTTTTTTAGTATTATTTATAAATTGGGGAACTTCTTTACACCTCCAGATACTTAGGTATAAACACTCTATTTTTACGTTTCCATTTGGGACATTTGTTCTTTTTTTTGCACATTATATATCTTTCGAAAGAGCTCTTCGAGCTGAGACGAATACTTACTAAAATCAACAAAATCTGATTTAAACAACAAAGTTATGACCGTTTGTTTTTTAACCCCTTACAACAACAAAAGAACGTTTTTCCAGCGTGGATTTAGCTTCATAATTTTGTTAGGAATCAACAAATCTAGCCGATCTTGTTATCATTCAACTCAGTACGAACACCTCTTCTGATGCTTTACGATAAATTATAGATCAAACAAAAGAGCTCAAAAGGAAAACAGGCAAAAAAAAAGGGGGGGGGGGGTCTAACCCAAAGTTTTACCCAGATTTCCAAAAAAATAATTTTAAAAATTATTTTTAATTAATTAACTAACCATCTCCATAAAATGGACTTCTACTTTTATAATAATTCTGAATTTGGGAGGAAGATAAAGATATTTGTTGTTGTTGTTGTCCTTCATTTCTTCCACCAATTATTAATCTTTTGTTTAAATAACTTTCATCTATATATCCATTAGACGAATAAATAAATAAAAATAAAATTAATTTAATATTAAAATAATTTTTAAAAGTTGTTTTTAAAAAGAAAAACATTTTTATTAAATAAATTTTTTATAGAAGAATTAATGGTGGAGATAAACTACCTGAAAAACAAATTCAAATATATTGCAATTAAAGGTGGATATTTAAAACTTAAATGTCTCAAATATTTCACAATTCACAAAAATCGTGCATGGGGTTTCTGACAGTAGGATCCCTGATATATTTTATTTAATTAAATATATATCAAATAAAATTAAATAAATAATAAAAAATGTGTTTTATTTTTGATGAAATTTACAAAAATAAAAAGAAATATAAATTAGTTATTTGAAGAAAATGAAAAATGAAACATTTGGCAAAATAAAATTAAAGATTTATTAATAAAAATTTTTTTCTAAATATTTAAAATCTACTTAAATAAATTTTGTATTTTTAATAATATAATTAAATTAAAAAATAAATAATAGATAACTTCGTTGCTTTCAGAAGGCGTAGAATCAGTTCGGAAAAATCCGGAGATCAAAAAAACCCCGGATTTGGGACCAAAAAAATCGGACGGATCCGGTCCGGCCCGGTCACTAGCAGACGTGGGCGAAACGTTTCGTTTCGTTTCGTTGTTTCGTATGTTTCGTATGATTTTTACTGTTTCGTCTCGTTTCGTTACGAAACACTTTTAAATTTGTTTCGTTTCGTTTCGTTACGAAACACCTGTGATTTTTCAACGAAACGAAACAATTTTTTAAGCCTAAACTAAGGCCAAAATCTATAAAATTTACCATCTTTTATTGAAAATTTAAAAAATTTTCGCCTGCGGCGCTGAAAAAAAAAGAATTTCGGCTTCTTGGCTTTCCCAAATTGTCAAAATTTTCGCCTGCGGCGCTGAAAAAGGAAGATAGCAATTACTTATATACTACAAATCCGTTTATACTCCACTCCCTAATCCACATATACATATTACTTAATCGACGACAAATTCTATTACCGGACTCGCATCATAATTTAAAAATTGCGGATTGCGAGTTGCGGAAATACTGGAACCGGAACTTCCGGCGAAGCACTAGCTTATATCGCCTTCCTCTCGAAATGGAGATATGGAGACAATTTGGGTAGGCAATGGAGCAAGATGGTGAATTTTTTGGCCTACGGCCTTTCAAAATTTTAAAATTTTTCGTCTGCGGCGCTTAAAATAAAATTTTACTTGAAAAATATTCAATTTTATTTAAAAAAAAGGGCCCTATCCCGAAAGAAGGGTCGAATCGTTTTTTTTCATTACTTTTTATTAGTTTATAAAAATGGTCAATTTTCCTTAGAATTGATGTATGTTGATGTTTGCCTTAAGGAAAAATGGAGAAGGACAGACAA